CAACAACAGATCAGAGGAGGAGCCGCTGTGGGATAGAGATGACAGTTGCTCTTTAAAAATTACGATTTAAATCAAGTTGATTTAAATCAAATTCACCCTGTTTGCAAGGCACATATTTAATCTAGTCTGTTTATTCAGATAAGCAGATATACAAATAGTTTTTGTCAAATTGGCAATCAAAGGCATAAATTGCATTGAGTTGCTCATCCAAATAGAGAAACAATTACTTCTGCGTTTCCTGAATTTGAATTTTTGGATGTGCATTGAATAACATATACAATAGCCAAGAGACTTGGAAAGAAAGGAACTTTGCAAAATTGTTAATATTGTTTTTCAGAAATTCTAAACATTTTCATATGGATTAAATTTGATTGTATTTGAATAAGTTAAACAATTATGCATTGTTTAATAGAAGAATAAGTAGCTACAAACTACTGGGGCTATCCATTGATTTTACTGACAAATTAAATGCTCAATTTCTGCCAAGTCTGTAAGTCGAACAGCAGATTTTTATCATTAAGCAGATAAAGTTTAGACCCAACATTCTTATTTTGATGGAACTTAATTTCAAGTTATCAGCATTTAGGAAAATAACTTAAATCCATTCCTGATGTTAGAATTTATTAATCAGCACGTCCACAAGATCTGGTTGTTTTTCTCAGAATGATAAAAGGAGCATCACACTGCAAGCCCCAACACTTTGGGGCATGTGTGCAATGCATGACGTAAGGAGTGTCATGCAACAGGGTGAGGCTTGTGCTGCAATGCTGTTTTCATCAGTCTTTCCTTCTACACCCCCCTCAGATCATTGGATCCATTTTTTATGAACATATTCTTGGAAATCAAAGCCAGGAATAAAACAAAAAGGCTTTAACATGTGCCTTCTAGTTCCTCCTCTACAGAATTATAAAAATTGAAGAATAACAAGTTATATCTACTTTTCATATGAAGCGATGCCTGTACTTATAAAAGCTCTGAAAGTGCTACTTTCTGCTTAAAAACAGCCTGTGCTTTTTTCTGTGTAATAGCAATAGCACTTAGACTTATATACCGCTTCACGGTGCTTTGCAGTACTCTCTTAAGCAGTTTACAGAGTCAGCATATTGCCCCCAACAATATGGGTCCTCATACCGACCTCGGAAGGATGGAAGGCTGAGTCAACCTTGAGCCTGGTGAGATTCGAACTGCCAAATTGCAGGCAAGCAGCAGGTAGCAGTAGCCTGCAGTAATGCATTCTAACCACTGTGCCACCTGGGCTCTTAATAATCATCATTATTAATGATCATTTTCAGAAGCATGTATTATTAAATGGTCTCTAGAATGTCCAATTCTATGGCAGACTTTGATTTATAAAAACACTAAAATGGAAGAAAACTATACAATATTATTTCTGCTTAAAATATAAATGTAATATTTCAGTTTCATCTACTCTTTTTAAATCTTAATAATCAAATTCAGCTTTAAAGCAGATAGCTCTGCCTAGCGGTAACACAGATATATGGCAATCAGGGCAATCTGAGACTTTCCATACCCAACGCCCTGAACATATGCTGGGCTAACGCTTCTATCCACTCTGTCCAGCATGATCTCAAAGTTAGCTCATGTAATCAGCCAATCATCAGAAGCATTCTTAAATAGAAAAATATGTTTGGTACAAATGCTAATTCATTAAAATAGTTGTCTTAATTGATTAGAAACTGGTTTGGATTAAGGTATATATTAGGATGTAACAATGTTTTCTGTAAACTTGAGCAGAACCCATTATGTTTCCAAGGTTCAATATAATTTAAATATGCTGTATAAAAGAAGCTTTGTCAACAGTTTCCCAGTGAATTAAACTATTTATAGTAGTGCATCAACTCCTACTTTTAGCCTAACATATATGTAAATACATGTATTTTATACAAAATGGAATTCAGTCTGTTTGCACAATACATATAAATCTTCTGTATAATATCTAATCCAAGCGATAAATACCCATATTTCATATGTTTAAGATGTGTTTATAAGAATGTAAATAAATTTTTAGGATTACTGAAATACAAGCTTTTGTCATCTGAAAACATGTGAAAATAATTACAAGGTTTTCATTTTACAGCTTTCCATCAGCTAAAGTTATGGATATCCATGCGTGAGCTTGACACAGCCTATTTACAGCCATGTTTCATCTACTGAATGTTATAACCTGAGAATAGTAATTCTGCCATACACATACTTTTCTCTGCAGTAGACATTTATAACTATTTTAAGTGAAATTATAAGTTTATTTTTTAAATTTTGAGGTTAATTCTACTTTTCTTTCAATTTCACATTTAGTTTTGAGGAAAAAGTTTCCTTTTGCAGCTTACTTTCCCCCCCCCCCCCCAAAGTACCCATTTTGAAGTAGCATTACACAATGGACTTGTACTGTGTTTAAAAGAATAAGTTTTTTATTACATTTATATGCTGCCTGATTCCTAGTGCTTACGTTGGCACTTTTCTATGGTCTTGTTTTGAAAACGTGCTTACTCTTTGTCATTTGTGCTGTAGTCACTTTTCATTTGGATTACTGCAATGCTGTAATGGGGCTGCCCTTGAAGACCATACAAAAGTTGCAGTTAGTCCAAAATGCAATAGCAGGCATAGTTCTTGGTACCCTGTGGTTTGCTTGATTTACAGCACTGTTGCATGAGCTGGATTGCTCCCATTTCCTTTCTGGGTGCAATTCAAGGGTCTTGTTATCACCTACACAGGGTCATATTATTTGTGGGACCACCTGCACCTAAGAATCTCTGCCCCTTTACTAAGTCAGGTATGGTAGGTGCACTCCAGGTCATTTCCCTTAAATGCTATCAACTGATGGGACCTTAGAAATGTGCCTCCTCTGTAACCATCCCAGCTTTTTGGAATAGCTTCCCAATTGAGATTTGAGGGGACCTATCCTTTTAGCTTTCTAGAATGATGTGAAGACCAAGTGCTGGGCCAAGCTGAGGGTGTTGAGTCAGGAGGCTAATAGTCTGGTTCGTCTGGCACCTGATGGGAAAGATTGCTTTGCTTTTAGTCCTGTTTTTATTAGTTGGATCACTATGTGCGATAGTAGGCCCTATAAGTTCTGCAAATAAATTTATCTGCTCTGCTTACTGAATTCAAGTCTTGGATATCAATGGCAGAGATGTAGGGCATTGTTCTTATATATTTTAATACCTCTGTTTCAGATTTTCACGCTTTCTGTATTTTAGCTGAATATGTCTAGAACTCTTGAATATTGAGGAATGTTTGCATGTTAAACTTATCATTTGACATAATGGTGTCTGTAAGAAAGAAACTAGTAATGTTTCTTTACTCTTAAATAAGCTTCTTTCCTCAGCATTATACTGAATGCTTCCGAGCTTGTATCAGTACACAAATAAATCAAAAATGTATTTGAAAATTCTCATACCTTGAAAATACACTGCTACAAAAAGGCTAGGCTTTTTAAAGCTGAAATACAGGACTTGAAAGTAGATAGCCCATGTCTGTTGATTCTTTTGAGTGTCTCAATGGCTTTTGCTAACACAGACCATAGTATCCTTCAGGTTATCTGATAAACCATATCCATTTCAGAGGTTTTGAGCTTTCTGGCCAGACTGGGCTTGGAAGTGGTGATTAGTTCTGTTCACCACCATGACAACTGCTGTACACTTTGATTATATCATTTCAGATAATGGAAGTTCTGCATTCAGTCATTTCTACATTCTGTGGCCTGATGGACATCATTCCACCATGACTGTCTCTTGGTTACTGCTTCTGATTTCATGTAAGCTCATGCTTATATCATTAGCGATGGTATCTTGGATCTTGTCTTCGGTTGGCCTCTTTCAATTGCATTCAATTTTTGTAAGCATCAAACTTTTCTCCATTGACTATTGCTTTTGCGTTTATGTATCCAAAAACCATAGCTTCATTATTAGTACTTCCAATAAGCAGCGTGATTTTTATTTCCTCCAATATTAAATTATTTGTTCTTTTTGTAATTGGTGGTATGTTCAACTATTTTCTTCAGCACAATTCAAAGGCATCAGTTCTTCTTCAATCCTCCAAATGGTCTAGCTTTTACAACTAGAGTTACCATCAGTTAGTTAAAGCTAATGTATCTTGGCTGCAAAAATCCAGGTTACCACTAGATAGCAGCAAAGTGACAGGGAAAGCTCTTTGACATCTTGTGGTATGCAGATTATTACAGACAAATATGGTAGCCATAACAATTACTTTCTCATACCAGTCCAAAATATTGCTATCCAAGGGCTCAAACAGCTCAAGACCTCATTATTTCCTTGGAAATAGTAAAAGTAAAGAAAATAGAAGAGCAACTCAAAAGGAGAAGTTCCACAACTTAAACAGGAGTCCAAGTATCTTTTTAAACATATCAAAGTGGGATGTACCACTTACTTTCAATACATGGAAATGCAATGGCATTATCTCATTATCCTAATACACAGTCAGGCTGTGGCTGTGAAAATAAACGCTATAAATCTTGGCCGGATCTATAATAAACTTATATATAAACTTATATTAGGCTTTACATGAGAATCAAGAAGCGGTCTGCAGTCAGCCTTCTTCGACCGACTGGTCTCTAAAAGTCATCTCCAGCAATCGAGACGTTCTAGTAATGCACTCGGAGGCTCCAAATTTTGAAGGCTGCCCAAAATTGCAAATCGGGTTTCTCTCAAAATCTGAAAGGGAACCTGGGTTTTGTTTTGCTTTTGCTTTCTTCTTCTTTCCAGCAGTCTACGAAATAAATACACCCGCCACTTCAACGGCCATTAAAAGCCAGGCTGGAGGGCGGAGACATATCTGACTACGGAGGCAGGAATAGGCAGCATCTGCTGGTCAGGTGACTTAAAGCGAGCTCTTCCTTAGGAATGGGCTCAGGAGGCGGTAGGGCGCATGTCCATTCTCCTTCCGCCCTTTCACTTCGAACATGCACTGAACACTTGAGAAGCGGTTTCTTAGCGGCACTCTGCTTCCGGCGCAGTTACGTCACTTCCTGCGGACGCCGACGCTCAGCTCCCTCTCCTTTTCTCTCTCTCTCTCTCTCTCTCTCTCTCTCTCTCTTCCCCTCTCCCTTTTTTCCCTCCCCCTTTCTCCGGACCCGGATGCTGACTGGTGGCGGCGGCTCCTCTCGGGACTGTCACTGAGCGGCTCCGCCGGGCCTCTTGTCCTGCGCGATGGCGGCGGAGGAGGCCGGGGGAGCGTCTTGTTCCTCGGGGCCGGTGTCGACCGGGCCGGGGCCGGGTCCAGGACCTGGTCCAGGACCGGGTCCGGGTCCAGGCCCCTGCGAGTGGTTGCTGCTGCGGGACGGCTGCCTGCGTTGCGACGCCGACGGGCTTTGCAGCCTGTGTTACCACCCGGCGCTCAACGCCATCCTGGCCGTGACCGCCCGCGGCGCCATCAAAGTCATCGACGGCACCTCAGGAGCTACGCTGCAGGCGTCGGCGCTCAACGGTGAGGAGGCGGCGGCGGGAGGGGGGGGGAGTCGGGTCAGAGGCCGGTCCAAAACAGGGACCCCCGTGGGTGGCGGGAGGTGGTGGTGGTGGCGGGGGAAAGAGCGGCAAGCGCCCGCGGCGGGTTTGTGTAGGGAGAGCGGGCGGCGTTTTAGGGAAGGAAAAGCCCGGCGCGTCCCCTCGTCTCTTCTCTCCCGCTCGCCGTGGCTTTTCGATCTGTCCCGGGTGTGTGTGTGTGTGTGTGAATGTGACGGTTGGGCTTCGGGGCCTGGAAGTCCGTTTGCTTGCTGACAAGAGCGCGAAGGCGAGCCGGTTTTCTTTCTTTCTCTTGAGCACCCGCCGCTTTTATTCTCTCGAATTGTGACTCGGGAGGGACGTCGAGCCGAAGCCAATAAAGAAAGGCCGGCCCGAGTTGTAAGGAGGAGGAGGAGGACAGAAGTGGAAGTCCAAAGTTGCCTTCCCGTACCGGCCCCCTTCCTTGAACGGCTCCCTACTTTCTTTTTCCCCCCAAATGGTTTGTTTTAAAAGCAGGGGGTTCCTCAGCCCTCTGTGCTCCGGGAATGCTAGACCTCAAGTCCCACCGCTGTCATTCCACATGGCAGTGCTGAAAGGAAGGGCAACGTTGGCCAAGAGTGGCAGAATCCCAGTTCTGGAAAACTATTTCAAATTCTGACTTATTCCCCCCCACCCCTTCCTATAAAACTATGATTCCACCAATTGTTAGAGAGACAAGTTGGGGAAAGATTGACCAAAATAAGTTTCTTCAAATGCTTTATTAGAAATGGGTGTATCCATGTGGTAGCTGGTGATTACAAACGTGTGTTGATATGCTGTAATTTACCAAAGTATGACTACAGTATTATAATATACACGGTACAGATTGTACATAATCTTCGCTTGAATAGCCTATTGGTAATAACACTGAAAGTATTACTATACTAAAAATTCAGACACCCCTTAACTAGATTTGACAACCATTGATTTAAAACCTCAACGGTTTTGGTATTCAATTAGGTGGTAATGCTGTGTTTCTGTATATTAAATGTTACAACTAAGCAGATTTCTGCTTTTCCTATAATGCTACTTTGAAGTGGAATATAGCAACATGTTGAAGTAGTTGTAGGTTATTACCCACTACAGAATTTTGTTATATTGGTCAGGTTTTTTTTTTATGCAATATATTTCAACATTTGAAAAATGTGTTGAAGACAAGGAAATGTAATCCTAGTTTATCATTTCTTAGAACGCATTGTGTTTTGTGAAGGTTGTGGTAGGGTTTTTTTTAAAAGAATAATTGGTAAGGCTAAGAATATTTATAGTGAGAACCAAAAATACCTGGGATAAGAATGTTTTTATGTAAAAATAATTTAAAAGGTAGATGACTAGAACACTTAAGTGTTGTGGTTGTATGAATTATGCTTTATTTACATACTTGTTTTAAATGCCACTTTCCTGTTCAAAATAAATAATTGAGTCTTTATAAATTAAAACAGCATAAAATGTACAAAAAAAAAGAATTAAAGCACAAATAATAAATAATATTAAAGGCCTCAGTACAGATAGTTTTTACAAGTGTTCTAAAGGCAAAGAAAGTGAAGCTCTCTTTACTGTAGGTAGGCCTCTAAAAGCAAGACTATCATCTCCCATAGATCTGAGAGGAAAATCTTCTGTTAGTCAGATCATGACCTTTTTTGGGAACATTGGTAATTAGCACTAATGTCTTTAGTTATACTTGAAAATCATTTTATTTTTTTATTTTTTATTTTTTATTTTATTATTTAAATTTCTATACCGCCCTTCTCCAGAATAGGACTCAGGGCGGTGAACAGCCAGAATAAAAAACAATACATACAAAATTTAAAAACAATTTAAAATAATTAAATATTATTGGCCGTAAATTAAAATAACCCAATTTAAAATAACCCAATTTGACAACCAATGCAGATTTTTCAGTATTATCAAGTTATGGGACATCTGCATTGTGCAGGGTCATCAATAACATCAAAATAGCCAGAACTTTCTCTTGGTTATGTGCATATGTTACATGTTAAAAGAGGCAGGGTTTTGATTATCTAGTTGTGCCCACTGTTTTTCTGCTGCTCACTATCAACCTGCAACTATTCTTATCATGTTATCTTGGTAATTTTGTACCAGTTAGTAGTCTAGCTATTTAGTGTATATTAATTGCAATTTTCAAATAGTTTTCAAGAGTACTCCTATAAAGAGTGGAGTACATTGCAGTTATAGGTAGTCCTCGATTTACAACAGTTTGTTTAGTGACTGTTCAAACTTACACCATCACTGAAAAAAGTGACATGATTGTTTATCACATTTATGACCATTGAATCATCCCTGTGGTTAGGGGATCAAAATTCAGATGCTTGACAATTGACTCGTATTTATGGTGGTTGCAGTGACTTGGGATCGTCTTTTGTGATCTTCTGACAAGCAAAGTCAATGGGGAAGCCAGATTCACTTAATAACCTTGTTACTAACTTAATTGCAGTGGTTCACTTAATAATTGTGGCAAGAAAGGTCATAAATGGGGAAAACTTGCTTTACAAGTATCTCACTTAACTTGCTATTTTCATGCATTGATGTAAAACACTGGTGGGTAAAAAATTATTAACATAATATCTGAAAAACTGAGATGAACACCGCCCCCTAGAGTCGGGAACGACTAGCACATATGTGCGAGGGGAACCCTTACCTTACCTTAGAAGATTTGATATAGTTTATCAGCTGAGTGGGTTTTCCATTTTCCTAACTGAAAAGTTGATTGAGGTGGATTTTGCTGAAAAGAGCAATGACTGCAACACAAAATGTTTCATGCATTGATGTAAAACTCTGGTGGGTAAAAAATTATTATCATAATATCTTATAAAAGTTGTTTATTTAAAAAATTACTGTGAAACAGCTACTTCACTTTGGCCACTTAGAATACAATATTTTTCATTAACATAATTCCAATATTTTTGCTTTATAATATAATCTAGGAAATGCATTCCAATGTGAGCAGACCCATTCTTACCTTTTTTCCCTTTTCTTTCTGAGAGAAATGTTTCTTTCATTTTTTCTTGTTTACTTTCAGTTTCTCTTCTTGCTTACCAAAATCTGTCCTTTCTTCCTTTTGCCTAGCAGAGAGAGATTGCTTGTTCAATTGCTTACAGTCTTTCCTACTCCTTGTCTGACAGAGAGATCTGTATGGCAGAGTAGCCAGAGCCTGTTTTCCCCTTGGCCACTGCATCTTTTCTTCCTCAGTACTTCCCAACCTTTCTGCTTTCCTGCTGCATAGACTGATTCTTGTCAGAAAGAAGCATAAGAGGCATCAGGGCATCGATTTCATGGCCTGGCCAACCAGAATTTTCAGTTGCAAGGGGATCTGCTAGGTCAAGCTGAGGTGAATGGTTAGGCCACTAATGCCAAACTGCCTTTTCCTGGAATGCACCTTATGTCTTTTCAGCATCCTCTGTACTTACTTACAAAGTGTACATATGTTTTCTACCTCTGAGCTAGGCAAAGAACATGTTACCATAATTGCCATCTAGTCATAGCCTAATTCTCAGATCTCATATAGAGATGCTCGAGGTTTGCTAGGCTACACATGCTTAATAGATAGGTTGGCTTAATAGATATTTTTGTGGTATTTGGATATATCTGTATTTTCTTTTCTGACACTTTTTTCTCTATTTATTAATGAAATTTGGATAAAAATGCATCTTTGTGATTTTGCCAAAATGTAAGTCTTTATGGGAGTATTATGTATGAAGTCTGATTTATTTATTATATACCATATCATATTCAAAAGCTGCCCATCTCCCTTATATGAAGTTGCTATTTGAGGTTTCATTTATTTATTTAAAACATTTGTATAGCTACCCAACTTAAAACCAAACTCTGGACAACTCACAACCAAAGAATAAAAGGATACATGCACATAATAAAAAAGAGAACAATAAAACCAACATGTTGTGTTGCCATCACAACAAACTTCCCTGATGCAGCCCACAACATTCTCACACTTCATCTTCATCACACTTCATCTTCCTTCTATGTCAAAGTGTGGGGAAAGCCAGCTTTTTTAATGGTTAAAGAAGGTTAAAAGGGTAAAGTCCTGCTGGCTCTCATGGAGGAGGGTGTTCCATAGGGAAGGGCTGCAAAACAATGGAAAAGTCCTATTTGTTCACTGTGCTCCTTCACTTTTATTATTAGAATTTGTGATAGAAATGGAAATAAGTGCATCTTTTTAAAAGTTATGTATAGTTTTAGCAAAGTATTTGATGGTTGAACAAAGTAAAGTGGCAACAGGATTAATATTTGAGACTCGTAAAATCTTTTCAAGCACATATGACCAATCTGAGGTATGTGATATATATAGAACATGCAGAAAACAATTTTGGATGGAAAGCTTTTTTTTTAATGCCTTTTAGAGCCTACTAGATATCAGGAAATGCCTGTGGCCTTATTGGTGCCCATGAAGACAGCATTGCCACCATTGGTCTAAACCAAGAGCCCATGGTGCAATAGACTATTGGTTTAGTCCATTGAACCATGGACTAAACCAATAACTTTAGTCTGAAGAATTTCCTTAGCTGTACTAAAAGTAGGCATAAGAGTACTTTTCTTCCTTCAGCAGTACCATAAGGCAGAATTCCCCAACCTTTCCAGTTTTGTGGACTGGCTGGGGGGGAGGGGAGAGTGGATGGTTCCACGTGAGTAGCGGGCAAGCGGGCATTGTGCAGCTCCATTTACACAAGCAGAGGGCAAGGGTGTGTACATAGCTCCACTCACACATGCACTTGCCTGCTGCTCGCGCAAGTGGGGATGCACATGCATGCTCACCTGCCATTTCCGTGGCCTGGTTCCAAACGGCTCAAAGCCTGGTAGCGGGCTATGGTCTGGGAGTTGGGGAGCCCTGCCATATAAAATACCATTATGGGAAGTTTCTGTAATGCTTCATATTGGGATTGGAAGCAAAGCTGTTTATACCTAGTACTGTTGATGTATGTTGTGATTACTGTTGTTACTTTATTTTTACATCATCTGTGCTGAAATTATAGTGACATTATTTATTTATTTATTTATTTATCTATCAAATGTATATAAACACCCATCTCATGAAAAGTGACTCTTAATAGTTTCTGTTTTAATGTTAATGAATATAATGTATGAAGCAGAGAATGCAGGTAGTAGAAGAAAGAAGGGTTTATAAGGAAAGACATCTATGACATCTATGATAGTTTTTCATAATTTGATTAAAAATATTTTTAATAGGGATGTACAAAATGTTCCATGCATTGTTTCATATACAGAACAATTAGTTTTGATTAGTCCAAGTCTGAACTGAAATATGTATTTATGTTGATTCATATACGGAACAAAACAGATTCTAAATACAGACCAAGACATGATTATTCTAGGCAAAAATGGTTTGGGAAAAAACAGGAGAAAAAAAAATAAGAGACTTGATGGATTTCCTAAGTGACACAATGTATGAATATTGGTTGTAATGACTGAGCAAAGTCACGAGAAGGAAATGGTTGGGCCAGTGGGCTATGCAATGCTTGCAGATTTTTCATTATTGCTGAGACCATCAATAGTGCAGGATACTGGTGACAGTTGAGGCTGAGGAAGGGAAGAAAAGAGGCTGGGGAGACATAGAAGCAGGCAGGCCCATGGGAGTACCTTATTGGGAACTGCTAAATGGAGAGAGCCTGGGTTGTGTGTAACACACATCATATCACCTAATATTCTGAGAGCTTTCTGGATTTAATTTCATCCAAAATCAAGAAAAGCAAAAACATTCTGTTTATTCTACTGGAGCCTACTTGTTTAGCTATCTTCATCTACTTCCAGAACACTTTTTTTTATTTCCACCAAAATAATTCAGCAGTTTGATTGCTTTTTAAATTGTAATCATTCTATGCGATTTTTACTATATATGGTAGACAATATGATATTTAATTCTTTTTGCACCAATCGTTTTATGCATTCATAGTCTCTTTCACTTCATCATTCCACCAGATATCCTATTCCACATTGCTCATTAACATCTCCATATATCTTGTAGCAATCTGTAGCATACATTTTTCCATTTTGTTCTTCCACACCCTCTTTTATTAAATCCATTCACTCATTCTCTCTGGATATTAATCTGACAGTTTTTCATTCAGGCCTTGTATTTTCCTGTGTGGTAGTTCTATTTTCATTGTTGCTTCTTGTACTTTCCCCCCTTTTTATTCTATATTGTCTTGCACAAGTTGAGCAGCAAACAGTTCTCAATTAGCACATTTCTAATGATTTTACTGGTTTTGTCATAAACCAATTAACAGGTAATACAAGAATTGAGAGGGGTAGATTAGGCAGAGAAAGAACTATAGAGAAAGAAATTCTTGTCTAGAACTTATATCTGCAACTTAAATAATCAAAGAATAATTGGTTTCTTGCAGTCCAGTAATCTAGATCTAAATTCAAACAGTGAATTTGGGATATGGATCTCCAAAGAAATTTAAGCAAGGGAATCACACCACATTTTTTATCATATTCTCCTGTAAGGGTTCACTCTTCCCTCTTATTTATCATCCATTATGATATTGAAATTTTATAAGGCTTTCACTTTAGCTGGGTTGGAGACATTGCCTTTAGCAGTTTACATTTATGTGTTAGAAGGGAGAGGGGCAAGACAAAGAGGAAATGCAGCCTGGGGCTGAATAGGAGACAGAGAAAAGAGTTACGCTAGCCAATTCCTAGAATGTCCCAGGAATATCTATGAGTGTGAGAGTAGTAAAGGTTAAGCCTGGTAAGATTCTGTCTGTTGAGTACAAGCAAATAAAGAACTGAACTTCGACTGGATTGCTCTATGTCATTCTTGAGTTGGGCCTGATGTTCTGTTACTGTAGCTTCACAATAAAGTAAAGTTAGCTTATCTGGTTGTGTTTCCTGTCTGGTCTACCTGAGAAGACTGATAACAATCTTGCAAGTCTCCTACTCTCTTCAAAGGAGAGAAATTTCAGGAATGTCCTCTGATGGTCAAGATACTCTGCTATCCACCAAGCATCTGGCAGCAGCCTCGTTGCAACCCCAGAAGCTAGTAGATGGGCAAATGACCACTTTGCAGAATGCCATGATAAAACTAATGCAACAGCTGAGGTAGAATTTGCCTCAACCCATGGCAGCACAACAAATTGCATCTTAGGCAATGCTTCTGCATTCCCATAGGAGCTTGCCAGAACCAGGATCAATTCTGGACATTCACTGCTCAATATGTTTATGGCAGGCAGACCAGTGGAGTTTTCCCATTGATCACACCAAAATGAATTTTGGATTAATTTTGCTGAAGGAAGCAGCAGTTCATTCATTGAGGGAACCATCTGATATTGGAAGGACCAGGACCTCGTGTAAACCTGACACTTTGGCAGCCCTATACAAGATGGAAGATCTGGGAGCTGAAGCGGTGTCAGAAGTAAATAAGAATATCCTGGAAGAGTTACATCAGCATTGTGTAATAATAGACATTGACTGGAAGAGTTAAGGCAGAGAACAAATGGTAAGGGGAATCTACAGTCTGTTTTTCCCCATATCACCTCTCCCAATAGCCTCTTCGGAAGCCAGCAGAGGAGAAGGCATGCAAATTGGATCAGCCAAGATTTCCAGAGAAAAAGCAAAAAGGAAGGGATCAAGGATTGTACGTTTACTATGGAGCTCCAGGACTCTGTTAAAAGCACCAGTGTCTTAAACAGCAACAAGATGCAGAATTTGTAAATCAACAGGATGATAGCCAGCAAGTACCCATCTCATTTCATAGTAGCAAACCAAGGAAACTTTGCCAATCCCTCCCCTTCTAGGAATTCCAAATAGGGGATGCGCCACCATTTGAAAAGAGCTCAGTAGGCAAGCATACTTAATTGCTCCTGTTACTGTTACTTTAGATTCTAGAGAGAAGGTGAAATTTTCTTCTCTTGTGCAGTCTAGGATAACCATAAATTTCATAAATACAGAAACAGTATAGAAATTAAAGTTTTCCATATGTAGTCCTTGATTTAGAGCCACAATCAGGATTGGAATTTCCATTATTAAGTCTTGTAGTCATAAAGCACAACATCACACGACAGCATTACTTAGTGATGTAATCTTGGCAAGCCCCATTGCCATTGTTAACAAAGAATCATGGATCATTAAGTACCCACCCCAACCCACCCATACTTGGTCCCTCCTTCCCTTCCCTTGGTAAGGTAAGCTATTATCGCTTTTTTAACTCACTCAACCTATCTATCCCCCCCCAAAAAAAAATATCTGTGCCCTTTTGGACACCTTGCACTCTGCCTTGCAGGTGGTAAGTAGCCCCAGAACCTCATGCTTTTGAGGCTCGTTGCCACGCCATTGATCACTGGCTTCTGGGTGTGCTGCAGTTCTGGAGCCAAAAGAAGCACTGGACCACAGTGCAGCAGCAAATCTTTTGCAGTGCAAGGAAAGTCCAATCAGGCCCAACAGTATAGTACAAAGCAGGTGCTCCATGAATCCCCAGTAGTACAGCACAAAGCTTCTGCACAATACCACAATGCATAGTCACCTCCTCTAGAAGCCCCAGTGGTGCTGTGTAAAGCTGCCACTAGCACCGCAATATGAAGTCACGCTAGGAAGTCCCAGAGGCGCAGTGTGAAACCACCAACCAGCAAAGCTGCTGCCCAGCACCGCAGCATGAAGCTTCTGCCTTAGAAAGCCCATCCCAGTTGCCTTCACTGCTCTGTACTCTGAGATCCTCAGCTGATTTTCACCATCTTCCTTCTGCTACGATGTAGCAGCCCTGGCCCTTCACAAGGCACCATGTGAGGCCATCTTCCCCATTTCAAGCTGGCATACTTGGTCAGCAAAGGTCAGCTGTGATGGCAGGGGCTGGGGAGTGCAGGGGGCAAAGGGACATACATGGAGGAGGTAGATAGGGGACTTGCATTGCCTGTGCAATCTCAAGTTCGGGCAGGTTGTCAAGCACTCAAATTTTAATCACATGACTACAGAGGTGCTGCAATGGCTATAATTTCTGGTCATAAATCTTGTTCAATTCCTATGTCACTTAAAACGGTTGTTGAATAAAGGCAAAACTAAAACTCATAGTCTTGGTTTTTATTCTTGTATATAAAGAATGTATTTTCTTTTACTACTCTTGATAATGTTCATTATTTGTCACAGGTGTGTGCATACATGTGTGTGTGCTTTTCTTTTTCAGAATGCATAGCAATTCTGTCTTTTGTTCAGATTATTTTTCATCAAAGATTGAACAATTTGGTCAATTTAGTACTAAAACTACTACTATAGTACTAAATAAATCATTAGGTTATGAATTAGATGGATGTTTGGAAGATATTTTTTATCAAAGTTATACTGAATAGGTATATTCAGATTTTGGATTGTTGAAACATACTTGTCTGTACCTATAAACATTTCTTCTATGAAAAATTAGAATAATATTGTTTTTAAAAATCCAAGCTTTCTTGGGTTTTTCAGCTTTATTTCAGATATTTCTCAATTTAAAGTGTATTAAAATAAGGAAAATAAATATCTCTATACCTGGAGAAGAGACTACAGTATTAGAAGTTAGAATACCATTCATTGATATTCAAATGTAAATGTTTAAGGAGCAGAAACTTCGGTAAAATCTTCTCAGAAGTCGTGCATAGTGTCCTTCCATGATAGGCTTTCCCTTCTATGATCAGTGAGAGGAGATTGCAGTATATTTCAGCAGGATTTCATGAATATGCTTATTTGATTTGAATTAAAATCTCTATTTTATTGTTTTGCTTTTTACATTTTACAGCTAAGCCAGGTGGTCGGGTGAAATGTCAGTACATTTCTGCAGTGGATAAAGTCATCTTTGTGGATGATTATGCAGTTGGATGTAGGAAGGATCTGAATGGCATCTTGTTGTTGGACACAGCTCTGCAAACTCCTGTTTCTAAACAAGATGATATAGTTCAGCTTGAACTGCCAGTTACAGAGGTAAGTGATTAGTAGTCTTTCTATTAGACTTCTACAGGAACCGCACACACCAGATCTAATTCCCTTTTAACTTTTTCCATTGAATATATGTATTTTTATTATAATACTGCTACTATGCTGGGAAAAAAAGGCTTTGTCTCTTCCTCATTTACATGTATCTATCATGCAGAATCTGATTTTCATCATATGCAGGACCTCTCAGTAATCATACTCACAAAGTAGCCTAGGATCTTCATCTGGTCAAGGAATGAATAATTATGCTTGATTGGTGGTAAATTTCAGGAACATGTAACCTAAATAATCCAGTGGCTCCCAGTTTGTTTTCAGACTGATTTCAAGTTGATGATGATTGTCTTTTAAAAGTTTGAAATGCATCTTCCTGGTTCACCTTCCTTGATTAATAAGATTTATGTAACAGGAGATGCATATTTTATCCCTATTTAAAGTCAGCTATAGAGAGATTGGAGAATATATTCATAGACCTATATACCATTAATTAGTATCCTTTTTTTTCTGTTTGGAAGTATTTTAATTGAATTTTAGCTATTGGTATATTTTGAGAAAATCAGTCATGAAGATCTATTTAACTAGAATAAGAGTACTTAACTAGGAAATAGTATTATGTGTGCACACTAGCATTTTGCCAGTTGTGCCTGGATGATGAGAACTGGATGAAACAGTCAAATAGGAACTCCTTTGTTGTTGATCATACAACCTTGTTTTAAGTTTTTCAAGCTTGTAATGTACCACAAATAAGTTACTTCGGGATCCATATCGGTACAGAATACAAGAAATGTAATAGTTCACTATGAAACAACATTTTAAAAGCATGGGTGAATACAAATCTGATGATCACTTGGCTTGTTTGGTTAATAATATTTTATTACTAATAATCAAATTATTGGTTTTTGCATCTACTGCAAAGGGTAAAGTGACCTAGTAAACAAGATATGTTGCTACTTACTATTATTGTTGTGAGTGTTTACTATATTGTACATTATGATACATGCATCTCATTTTAAATTATATTTTTCTTAATTTTTAATATATAGTGCAAATGATACCACTTGAAAACAAGACTTGATGATTTAATTCCACCGTTAAAAAATGTATATTTAACAGAATATGAAATAGTAACAATTTTTAAAAACTAAAAGGCAGAAAGAAAAAAACCCTTTAGAATTGTGCTGTCTTGCCTCCTTGCCAATAACAAGACTGAGACCTGGAAGATTTCATTAAACCAGTCTTCAGAATGTGTCACACATGCACCTTTCCAAGAATATATAATCATTTTTATTATGAAAGTTGTAAGTTTAAATGAGGGATCTAATTATTTAATATGATCTGAACACCAATCAGTTTCTTCTCTTTTTTTAACTAACTTCTATGGGTACTTTATAATACCACTTGGCATAATGCTGGCTTTGCTGTTTATCTTTAGGATATTGATATATCCCAATAGTAGTAGTTTATTTCTAAAGTAATTTGGATATGTTTCTTGTGAAGAAGCATTTTCTCTATTTTTACTTTGAATTTTTATCTGGAACTAGATTCAAATGGTTTTCTGAGTACTAAGTTATTTGTAAATGCCTTAAAATATTTTCCCATGTATGCCTTATTCCTTAAACATTTGTTGCAAAAGATATATTCTTTATAGAAAGTAAAAAATTGAACTAATAATTCCAGTGCTAATCAGAAGTTAAAAATTTGCTTTTTGCATCTCAGGCTCAACAACTGTTGTCTGCTTGTATAGAGAAGATAGATGTGTCAAGCACAGAAGGATATGATTTGTTTCTTGCACAATTGAAAGATGGATTAAAAAATACCTCACATGAAACAGCAGCGAACCACAAAGTTGCAAAGGTAAGAAATCTTATCACTCTTTTTAATGCCACAGAGTTATCTGCTTTGCTGTTGCTATTCTATATTTGATTTTTAATAGTGGTTTTCCCTTGCAATGAATCTGTTAATCAAAGCTTGAACATGAATATGCCATATAAGGGTTGGGAAGGGAAAGTTGGACACTTTGTGTTTGGTTACCATCTTGTGTTTATAATACAGAGAGGATCCATTTTTTAACCGTTGTTGTTTCTGTCTTAATGCTGGATATTGGTTCCTTCATGGTAAGCAAAAGTCTGAAAGAGAAGTCTTCGAAACATTTTATACAGTTATTCTTTTTTAATGAACTGTTTTCAGAACAAACATAAATCTAGTTTTTATGTTTATATTTGTAGGTTTGAGTATATGCAACTCCTTATGGTAGCTATGTTAGGTAGGGCTGCTGGGAACAATAAGTCACCAACATCTGGAGGGCCAGAGGTGTACTATGTTTGCTCTGTTTCAAAGCAAAATATCTCAAAGATGCTGGGGTAGCATATTTACTTTTAAAGACCTTTTATACCCATTAGCCTTGTCTTTTTATTGCATTTGTATCCTAAAAATACATTCCCATTGTGTTTTGGAAGCTGAGATCTTGTACTCAATAACTCAAATTTTATTTATTTTTTGTAGTGGGCAACTGTTATGTTCCATCTCCCTCACCATGTATTGAAGTCTGTTGCCAGTGCCATTGTAAGTGAACTCAAGAAAATAAATCAAAACATTGCTGCCTTACCTGTAGCTTCATCTGTTATGGATAGATTATCTTACCTCTTGCCCAGTGCACGACCGGAACTTGGTGTGGGGCCTGGCCGATCAGTGGATAGGTATGGAGAAGTTAATTCACATTTTTAAAAACCTTTGTTTCACTTATATGTGTATTTTTAGTCCAATCTAAAGCAATAGCACAAAGTTATTGGGATGACAGATTGGCTGTTTTCAATGCTATGTGTGACAGTTCCTCAATGAATTCAAAGAACACTTGCTTGAGGAAGAAGGCAGAGAAATGGTAGGTTGCTTTTTGGAATTGTAAGTTTCCTATGTATACTCAGTATCACATGATTTATGTAAAGAAGTCACTATAGCAGCCTATATATGGGCAAGGACTATATATTGTGGTGTCAGTTATAATGTTATCCTTGTGGATATGTTCCTTAATATTTATTAGTAAAACCCCAACCTACAGAATCATATTTATTTCTACAAGTAATTCAATTTCACTTGGACTCCACAGGTTTCTTTGAAAATAAACCTGCAGAATGCTGCATGTGCAGCATACACATTTCTGTGCAGGAAGAAAAATGCTAAAGTAATTTGGGTAGTAGGGAGCATTCTTCCTAGAATATTGATATATTGTAAGTGGTTGTGCTTCCTTGTCAAGCCATTTTGCATCCAGGATACAGTATTCAAAATTTCCAAAATGTCTAACATTTGAGAACTGGCAATTTGTCTGATGATTGATATTCTTCCTGTTTTAGTTTCAGGAGTAGAGTTAGAATGGTTTTAGACTTATTTCTGGGTCATCTTGTATAGCTAATCATAGCACATCTTAGATACTCAAGTTACTTTATGCAGAAAAACTTGTAAAGACTAGGCACTATGCTGTTTTGTTTGTTTGTTTGTTTAATTTGTGGAAAGCAATTACATCTATACGAGGAATATAATTAGTATTGTGTTTGTAGGTACTTTAAATATGTTTTTAGATATATAAAACCAATGTGAAGATTGATACGGGGGTGTGTGTTCTTACTGAGCTCAGTGAATAGGTACACTTCTGTGTGCTGCTAGTTTTGGCAATGTATTCTGTGCAACAAAAAAAAAACTGATTGTAGGGAACCACATGGATTATGGTTTATCCATTCCTGTTTTTTGAAATAATTCATGAAGGGAAAAGCCCAAATTCTCCATCTTGTATCTTCTTGCAGAGATACAAGAAAAAGATTGCTACAGCATTTTTTAACTTTTGCAAACTGGATGCTGCATTATCATTGTGTCTTGTAATATACCTATGAATTCACCTGTTAATTTTTTACCCTTTACCCTTAATTGTGAGCATGTATCTATAGTGGAGTACAGATTCTATAAGGGAGAATTATAGTATGGGTGATAGAAGGAGTAAGAAATTCAGCAGAAGAAATACAGGTGATTATTTAAGTTGTGATTTTATGAGCAGGGTGCAAACAGTAAATACTTTTGCTTCTTCTGGAAGAGACAATGGTCACAAGATTGGAGAATTAACAACAGCTAGGGAGCCTTTGAACTGTTTGTAATTCCTTTTTTCTTCTTCCAAGGTCTTTAATGTATAGTGAAGCTAACAGACGGGAAACCTTCACCTCATGGCCTCATGTAGGTTATAGGTGGGCGCAGCCAGATCCCATGGCTCAAGCTGGGTTCTACCATCAGGTAAATAAATAGTTTTCTAACTGAAATCATAGCAATGTATTATTTTTAGTGTTGTATATTCAAATACTTTGTCTTCTGAAAATACATTTGATCATTTTCTGTTGGCCCTGACTGTGCCTTTAATCCTTTAAAGCAGTCACATGTTCAGTTTTTCAAAAATAAAGTTTGCCTTGGGGCAAAATAAATATTACAAATGTTAATTTTAAAAATGCTGCCATTCTGGTCAAATGTTTATAAAATATATTTTGACTCCATTTGCAAAGCAACTTAAAGGATATAAGATGGGGAACAACTACATAACTGTCTTTGCATGAGGTGGAGTAAATGGTATATGCCATATTAGACCCTGAAGCACAACTCAACCACTTAGAAATAAGCCACTTAACCAGCATATTAATGATGTCGTGTTTAGTCTCAGTAAGTGGCATCCTCTGTATAACCTCAGTAATTAAATAGGAGTGGGCCTTACTTGATTGGAAGGACTCCAAGGAATACCAGAACTATAGACTAGACTGCAAAGTAGAAAACATCCCAGAAGATGGCAGTGGTGAGAAAACTCTTTGAAGACTGTTTTATCATAGGACTTTAAAAAAACCTGATGCATTCAAACATGGGTGAGGAAAACACCCTTGTCCCTAATCAACTTTCCAACTCTCCCATTATAGCTTTTTGCCACCACTTTTAGCAAATAAATTCTTTCCTCATGTGACCTATGCATGTTCATGAGGTTACCTTTGTGTGTTTTCTGGGTAACTGGGTTTGTTTCAAAACAACCTGCAATCCTGCAGCCTCCTATCTATTCACTGTATTCACAAAAGTCTCTGAGGCTTAATATATAAGAGCTTTCTAGAAGTAAAAAGAGCCCTGAGGCAGACAGTTCTTAATATGTTATCCTAATGGTTTCTTGGGTTTTTTATTACTTAAAAATATTTTAAAAAGAGGGGCAAGAGTATTGACTTTTCTTTGTTAGGTAATTGTTGAAATATGTAATCTTTCCCATATTTTTATTTTAGTATGCCAATATTTCTAAATAGAGAAATAATAAATAAAATACTTTATTTAAATTATACAGATGGCATATACAAATTATTAGGGACAGGATGTCATACTATGTTATTTTATTATTAAAAATAACTAAGATAGTAGCAAAGGTAGGTTCTCTGCTATGTGTGGGTTTGTATATATGGGATACTATGTCACATTTAAATTTTCATTTGTTGTTTTCAATTCTGTAGCCTGCATCATCAGGAGATGATAGAGCCATGTGTTTTACGTGTAGTGTATGTTTGGTATGCTGGGAGCCAACAGATGAACCTTGGTGAGAATGTAATATTTGAAACATATCTGCACTGCTTTCTGTTCTTTATGTAAGGCTTACCTTAGAAACTGGGTTAGATCTATTAATTTAGATTTTTTTCTGACATACTTAGGTTCAAATTTGATTACAGTATTTAAGTAATTAAAAACATCAAAATGTAGCATAGAATTCTTTTAGAATTTAATATTTAAATATTAAATAAAATATTTTTGAATGTTCAGTAATAGACATAATTTTCATTTGGGGAATTTTTCTCTTATTTAAAAAGAACATAAGACTGTTTTAAAAATTAGATTAAATAATGATGTCTTTAGATAATGGAATGAAGAACCAGCCATTATTCCTAATCATCATTCTTAAATAATACCTGTAAGGAAATCATAACAATTTTAGAACCAATCATCCCATTATTATTCTGGAATTTAGGGATCCAACTGAGTACATCAATACTCCCTTTCTTATTTTCCAAATTGTCAGTTGATTTTAAGTTATTTACATATCAATTCACAAATATGAGAGAAAAATGTTGATAGAAAGTATCTTATTTTTCTAATCGCTCATCTTTATACACTTTTTGAAGTATGCATGTTTACAGTTGATTGGCAATATATTGGTTTTTTTCTCCTTTCCCTAAAATTTTATTCATTTTTGAATTACATCTCAAGATGCTGAATTGTGAACTTTAACATGTACAATAGATGCATTGTGTATGAATTCATGTTATGTGAACCTTTATGTAAATGTTTTTCTTCAAAATCCCAAATTTCACATACATTCAGGTAAAAATTAAAAGTGAATGAGTTCCTTAATACTTTCTGGATCTATACTGTGAAAGATAAGATGGGGGAAGTACAGCTATCTATGTCAGTGGCTATAAAGTCCTAGAGGGTAATCTCAGTTTTCCAGATAAGATTATTTGGGGGTACAGAGAGCTGCAGTAGAGGAGTAATGACCAAAAATCACCTTTGCTCCTTCTCTGCAAAAGTGGCTATGAATAGGGTTTTGCTCACAGGAACTTTGGAATCTATATTTTATCTCTTTAACTTACCTAGGTGAATGCTTTTATCTTTCAGGCTAATTAGCCAAACACCTTAGCTTATATGCAGCAAAATTACTAATGAGAAAAAAATAGTGCTTATATTTTAACACTTATCTTTCTAATTCATTAAGGTCTGAACATGAAAGACATTCCCCTAACTGCCCATTTGTGAAAGGTGAACACACGCAGAACGTGCCCCTCTCGGTCACGCTGGCAACAAGTCCAGCGCAGTTTCCTTGTACAGATGGCACAGACAGAATAGTCTGCTTTGGATCTGGAAGTTGCCCTCATTTTTTAGCTGCTGCAACAAAACGAGGAAAGATCTGTATATGGGATATTTCAAAACTTATGAAGGTACCTTGTTGTCTAGCGTTGTAATGCTAATTATATAAATAAGAATTTGCATCTAAGTTTAATTATGTTTTTAAATTTGCATAGGTGCACTTAAAGTTTGAGATCAATGCTTATGATCCAGTAATTGTACAGCAACTTGTATTGTCTGGGGAACAGAGCTCAGGGGTTGATTCAAGAAGACCAACAATAACATGGATAGAAGATTCATCTAGCTGTTCCGATATACCAAAATTAGAAGGAGACAGGTATGCTAATAAACATTTGATTGAATGTGAGTGTGCTTATTTCTTTGGAAGAGGACATTAGTCATAGTGTACTTGGAGAAGGAAAACATCGTAGTGTTTGAACTAAAATGGTCATTTGTTCCCCATTACTTGCAAAGGTTTGTGTTAAAAGCTTTTAGAAATACAAATTGAAAGCTAACATTAAAATATCAACTTGTTTGTAATACAGACAGTAAATGAAGTACATTAAGAGATTAAGTTCAACAGTGATTTTATATGAATTGCGGTGCAATTTAACTACTGTTGTAAGATTTATGAAGAACAAATGAATAGTCCATTTTAAAATGATTAATAAATTTATAAAATCTGAGGATGCTAATAACTTCAGAATTTATATTAACTATTAATTTAAATTTATGAGTTTCTATTAACTGTTAACAATTAATACATCAAATTATTTATAGAATAAGTTCAGTTAAGCCACTTTGCATTTTTCTTCTCTTGCCATTTGATATAATGTCTTGGTTTTAATTATTAATCCAGAAGCCCATAGTTCATGTTAGTTTATGAAACCTTAGTTTATCACTTGAATGTCACCAATACAGCTCAATCCCAACTACAGATTGAAAGAACAGACATGAGTTGCCTTTCCTCCTTTGTCTTTATATATTTCTTATATATAAAGTTTATTTTGTATTTGTAGCAGTAGCAGTTAGACCGCTTCATAGTGCTTTACAACGCACTCTAACCAGGTTTACAGAGTCAGCATATTGTCCTCAATAATCTGGTCTTCGTTTTATCAATCTTGGAAGGATGGCAGGCTGAATCAACCTTCAGACGGTCAGGATCAAACTCTTGGCAGTGGGCAGAGTTAGCCTGCACACTGCATTCTAACCACTATAGTAGTTGTTACTAGTACATATTTGTCGTAATGTTTGAATAGCAAAATGCTCGCTTTTCAACAAGAACCAGAAACTACATGATTGACACTATTTGCAGTATGTTTTCTCTTGATTTCTCTTGATTTATAAAAAACAAGAGTATATGTCTTGATGATCTCACAAGTATGAGAGTTTAAGGTCAATTGACCCTCCTTATGGTTAACTTGTAGTCCTCAACAAATTCTTTCCCATATACTTCCTAAAGCAAAAATACAGGCTACTTGCTTCTGAATTAGATGATTATATAGGTTAAATCACAGAATGGATTTAAAATAAGTATAATCATCACTGAACTCATCAGTAGCTTACCTAACTAATTATGAAAATTATTTTTTTCATAATATTCATATATAATATGCTGGTATATTAACGTGTTTTAATGCTAAAATTTATGTTTAGAAGTAGGTATATTGTATTAAATTGTTTTCTTGGCTTAATTTCTCTAATCTTCTTAACTTTAGTGATGATTTGCTTGAAGATTCAGACAGTGAGGAGCATTCCAGATCAGAATCAGTGACTGGTAGGCAATATTTTATTATGAAATAGTAATAACATTACTTGCAATTATTTGCAATGCTTTTGTCAATAAAGAGTAAGGATTATATACCTTGGTATTAGTCTTAATACTTTGATTTAGAATTAAGAAATAAACCTGTTTTTTAACATAAGAAACAGGGCAGGAGGAATGAGTGCAGTGAAAGTGTGCCTCATGATCCTTTTTCTTCTGCTCCTCCCTGCAATCTTTTCAACAAAGAAGGGGCAGCCCCCAAATCAATATCTTTTTAAGGCTGCTGATTGAGAATAATGTCTTCATGCTATTCTCTGAGGACAAAATGTATTTGAAACCCTTAAATGTTTTGGAGGTGGGAGATAGATCATTCTGACTGCCCCTTATTTTCCTTCAAGGTTACCACTGATGCTGAAAATATGCATAGGTTTTCTCTTATTTCTGCTTTAGGCATTGGATATCTTATATTTCACTTTACCAGTATCGAAATTATACCTGTTCGTGTGATGATCCTATATTAACACATTATGCAAATGTCTTATACCCTATTTTAAATGCATTTCTCTACCTGGTAATTTACTTTTATTCTGTAAAAATTTTAGGTGTCTGATGTTCACATGACAAAGCATATTTTGCCATCTTCAAGCTTTGGCAAGCTATAATTATCTGGTTTGGATAAAATAGAAATATTTGAAGATATCATTAGATGTTGGTTTGCGTGCGTGTGTGTGTGTGTGTGTGTAAATTAAATAAATAAAATGTAAAGGTTTACAAAAACACAATGGATAAGATTTGGTTTTTTACATTGTATATTTTATCTTTAAGGACACACATCACAAAAGGAAACCATGGAGGTCAGCCTTGATGTAACTGCTCTCAGCATTCTTCAGCAGCCTGAGAAGCTTCAGTGGGAAATAGTTGCAAACGTACTTGAAGACACAGTGAAAGATTTAGAAGAACTTGGGGCAAACCCTTGCCTAACTAACTGTAAAAGTGAAAAGATGAAGGAAAAGCATCTGGAACACCACAACATTCCCTTTCCTTGTTTGTTAGCTGGAGGTTTATTAACATACAAATCGCCTGCTACCTCTCCTGTTAGTAGTAATTCTCAGAGATCACTGGATGATTTAAGCAGGACTCAAGCTGGTAGTATATCAGACCTGGGATCAACTGACAATGAATCCTGTACTAATTCAGAACTGAATTCTCCTCTGGTAAGGAGGACTTCACCTATACTACTGCTTTACAGCATTAAGGAATCTGATGAAAAAGCAGGAAAAATCTTTTCACAGATGAACAATATCATGAGTAAAAGTTTACATGATGATGGTTTTACAGTCCCACAAATCATAGAGATGGAGCTGGATAGCCAGGAGCAATTGCTGTTGCAAGATCCTCCTGTGACATACATTCAGCAGTTTGCAGACGCAACAGCCAGCCTAACTTCTCCGGACTCTGAGAAGTGGAACTCAATGGTTCCCAAACCTGGAACTTTGGTTCAGTGCCTAAGACTGCCAAAGTTTGCAGAGGAGGAGAATTTTTGTGTAGATTCAATCACTCCTTGTGCAGATGGAGTTCATTTATTAATAGGACTGCGGACATGTCCTGTTGAATCCCTGAGTGCAATAAATCAAGTAGAGGCCTTGAATAATTTAAATAAATTAAACTCGGCACTGTGTAATAGAAGGAAAGGAGAAATAGAATCTAATCTTACTGTAGTGAATGGTGCAAATATCAGTATGATCCAACATGACTCACCAGCAGATGTACAGACGCCCTTAATAATCCAGCCAGAACAACGAAGTGCTAGTGGTGGTTATCTAGTGCTTTATAAAATGAACTATGCCACTAGGATTGTGACTCTGGAAGAGGAACCTATAAAAATTCAGCACATCAAAGACCCCCAGGATACCATTACCTCATTGATTTTGCTCCCACCAGACATATTGGATAATAGAGAAGATGACTGTGAGGAACCTACAGAGGAAATACAATTAACTTCTAAGAATGGCAGCGAGAGAGAAAAAAGATCGGAAATCTCTGCTCTTGGGCATCTAGTAATAACCACTCAGGGAGGCTATGTTAAAATATTAGATCTTTCAAACTTTGAAATCCTGGCCAAAGTGGAGCCACCTAAAAAGGAAGGTACTGAAGAACCAGACAAATTTGTCTCAGTAATATACTGCTCAGGCACTGATAGACTCTGTGCATGCACTAGAGGTAAGATTTTCGTTTGTTTTAAAAAAATGCTTCATTTTTCCAGGTTTCTCTGTTTATACCCTGGGGTGTCAACTGGGGAAAGAAAAGTCAAAATGGTAGCCATGACCATCTTATCAAAATCCTGCCGTCTTGTTTGTTTGTCATCCATAACTTCTGCACATATATGGGCTTCAGTCTCACAGTCATAGCTATTGTCCTGATCTTTAAGAGCCTACAGATAGATGCCTATTAATTTCTTTCTTTATGTTTTTATTTAAATTTAAAATATTATTTTGTACTATTATCTATTTCAGAATAAAAACATAATTTATTTTATGGGTAAAATTTCAGTGAAAAAAATGGTGAAAATAAGACTCCACTTAATAATATAGAACAAAATAATAATGCAAAACACACAAGTATCTAATGTAACTCTGTGTGTGTGTGTGTATGTATGCACTAATTATATATTAGAGACAAAAATAGTACTAAGATTGAAGAGAAGTTTTTTCCTGAACTAACCAAGTTTGTAAAAATTTATTTTTGAAATCTTTTTAAGACGTTTACTAATAATACATTGTTGTCTTAGTTTGCATGCGCCATTTCCAATACCTTTAAAACTTTAAATTGCTGATTAAGGGTAATGATTTTGTTATGATGATATTTTGTTTTTGGGTTTTTTGAAAAATCTATTACCAGCCATTTTCAGTCAGTTTCTCATAGGAAGCAAGATCAAATTTAATTTTTCCACCTGGTAGGGCCCAGATATGTCTAACAACTGCTTTCAGTGCTGGAAATATAACCAAATTCCTACTTTAATTAGTGCCCAGGACTTGCCAAAATTACAAGAACACTAAATCATACTTTGAAGCCATGCTTACATATTCAATATTACGCCCATTCCAATACATAATTGAGGTTAATAGATAAGCCCAATGATACTGATTAAAATGAAGAAGATAAAAACTATTATTGTCATAAGAGTAACACAATTTTTAACAAAGAAATTCTGGCTATTTAATTAATTCATAAAATATTAACTATTAATTTAGCAATATGTTTAAAATAAAAATCTGTTTATTGGGCCTAGAGGGCATTCTTGTCTTAGTACCTGTTTTCATCTGGGTATTTTTACATTTTTAAAATAATCTTATCAACTAAATTAGATATTTTCCTGGAAATAATAATCTCTGGGTAATAACTGGGCAATAAACAAAACAATAATAGTTTAACCATTAGCTATATTTGACTTCCAATTAATTTTATTTATTTTATGAAATCTTGCAAGTTCTACAAATTTAGATAGAGAGCAGTGGTGATCATTGAAAAACCGTGAATGTTATTTGCATATAACAATAGCTTCCCTTCAAATTCCTCTAGCATATTCCATTTATTTCACATGTTTGTCTTGTAAACCATGCCAAGGGTTCCAACACCAGATTGAAAGTTAAATGTAATAAAGGACAACTTTAATAAATTCCATGTTGTATTAGTTGGGTGAGCTTGTTATTGTGATTTTTCTCTGACAAGTCTATGATTACAGTATAACATTGGAGTTTGAGAAATATTAATTGTAGTTTGCTGTTATTATTTATTATTTATAATTATTATGATTCAATTGGTTTTAATCCTGTCTTCACCACCCTGAGGTGTGATTTGGCCTTTCCAAATGTCATCTTATCAATAATATCCTAGATTTCCTAAAAAATTAAGGGTGCGGCCAATTCCTCTGAGTGTACATCTGAAATTATTGGAGGATTTAAGATATTTTTTAAAAATTGCTTGCCTGCTATGTCCAAAAAAATGAAAATTAATTGCATTATAATTGGTATGCATTGTTCCCAAGGAATTTTTTATTAGACTTATTATTTTACTTCATTGTAAATATGTCATTTGAGAAGGCAATGATTTTCCAGATTTTTCTCTGTATTCCCAATGCAGTTGTTTTACTTGTTTTAAGAAATATTCTATGTCCAATTGAACTAATTCCATTTTAGTAAAACTGTTTTGCTGCCTATTCTTTTGATGTTGTTTTAATTTTAAACAGGGTGGATAAAAATCAATTATTTTTTTAAAAAAATCAAAAAAATCAGATTTTTTAAAATTTAAATTGGATTTTTTTGATTTTTATCGAATTTATTTTAATAAAAAACTTTTGGGGTAAAAATCTATTGTAAGATAGTTTTCTATTTAAGATACATAAATAGTTTATTCAGCATGAAATGGAGCTTAGTTATGTAGCATAAAGCGGTATATTCTGCAATACTGGGACTATAGGTGAGTCAACAGTGGGTCAAAGGAGTAGCGGAGATAACAGTTGCTCTTTAAAAATTATGATTTAAATCGAGTTGATTTAAATCAAGCCTTTTTACTAGTGATTTAAATCATGATTTAAATCAAATCCACCCTGGTTTTAAATCAGTAATAGTAATTAATGGCTACTATCATTATCTGTTATGAAAAAAATGCTTGGAATATACCACAAACTATATACAAGTTAGTACAACGTCTCTTTATTTAAGGGAAGAAATGTTTGTTTTCCTTGTGGTTGAAATACGGTTAACTTGAAAGAAAACATCAATTAAATTTTGTTTGTCTTTTTAATAAATCTCTTAAAGGTTTGAAGACTTTTCTTTTTTGTAACATGGCAGGATTAATATGAAAAAGTAACATTTTATCTTCACTCCAATTTAATTTCTTTAGTTCACAAGCTTTTTGCATATTTTTTCTTTTATCTGTGTACAAATCTTGTTACTATATATTTCTTGGTTTTTACATTTCATTGGACTCAGATGACTCTAAGGATGCATTCTTCATCTATTTGAAAGCTGTATATCTGGTAGTTTGTTGTTCAAGTTTGAGATAAGATTTCCAATTATATTAGTATTTTCTGTTTTTTTCCCTTTCCTGATACCTTTAAGTCTCAAATTAATTATTTAGTTCTAATCCAGTATGTCAGACAGATCCACTCTAATGTCAGTAATACCTTTTGAATTTTTCCAATATCAAGCTCATTATTCATACACCATCATAGGGTTTTTGTGCTGTCCCACTCACTCTCTCTCACACACACATAATGGTGATTTAGTGCCCATTTAGCTAATAGTAATTGAACGCTTAAATTTTTAAAAACTATTAAAGAAAATCTAATGCTTATATAGCATCTCACTGCAAACAGGATGATAATGTGAAAAATCAAAGGAAGTGAATGACAGGAAATGACCAGTACTGAAAAGATTATTCCTCTCATATTTGTCATCTTCCCTTATTTAGAATGGAAATCTAGCAAAGCTTTTCTGAAGATGATTTTAAAATCTGAGCATGTTATATTAAGGAAGATTCCTCAATCTATTCCTAAATTGTTTATGATTTTTATTATATTTTTGATACTTTATCAATATGCTGATTTGGGACTGGAAATAGACTGTAAATTATAAAATATAGTGTAGATTATAATCAGTATAGATTATATATTCTTGCTATCAGTCATGCTGTTCTAATTTGAACTGGTTTTAAGTTTCTAGTTCCTCTACCAAGTCAGCTCTGGATATAAGGACTGTTAAAAGCTAGCAAAAGCTAGAACAAGCCATCCTAGCAATAAGGAATCTAAGAGCAAACTTAACCCCAGAGCCCCCAGAGATAAGGAGAATCCAAGACCTTAGTGCCTTCCGCCGTGCCCTTAAAACCCACTTTTTCCAGCAATCCGGGCTGGTTTAAGAAGAAATTTTAAATGTTTTAATTGGTTTGTATTTTTAATTTTGGGCCAAATTTATATATATTTTAATTGTTTTTTAATATTTGTATTCCATGTTTTTTAATTCTGGCTGTACACCGCCCTGAGTCCTCAGGGAGAAGGGCGGTATATAAATTTAAAAATAAATAAATAAATAAACTAAAATGCTTTTTAAGATTATGTTAAATTCCACTTAGAGGGACAGCAAGTATCCCTCCACTGTATGGATAAAGTATTATTTTCATCTTTTAGACCATTATTATTTTAATGTGTTTCTTCTGGATACCCAGTGGCTCATCTGAAATTATTAGAAAATAGAGGTGGAGCTAGGTATCATCTTTTGTTGATATCTCAGAATGTACCTCTTCATAACTCTCCTAATGTTTTATATGGATATTAAGTAGATTAGGAGAAAAACGATCATCTGCTAACCTGAAAGAATGAATGTCCAAGGAAATGAACAACAGTTCTTTAGCACCATGAGAACTGAAAATCCAAGTAACAATGGAACTGCTGCCAGTGGTATTCCAAGAATAACAGCTCATCAAAACTCGACCCAGGGGAGTCAGAAGAATCACAATTCCTCCATTTTCTTAAGAAAGATCATCCCATCAGGAAATATTACTGTGCCATACAACATACTCAAAACCTGATTCGAAAAACCTGTCTCGCCCAAGAAAATACACTCCATTGAAGCATTTTGTCAAAATGAGTTCGTGCGTGCATGTGCTTAATTTGGACTGTTGTGGACTTCCATTTAAATTCTCAACTTTTTCTTTTAGGTGGAGAACTTCATTTTCTCCAGATTGGAGGAACTTGTGATGATGTTGATGAAGCTGATATTCTTGTGGATGCATCTCTGTCTAAAGTGACTGAGCAATTAACAGAAGGCACAAAGCCTTTATCTAATCCTTCAAGTCCAGGCATTACAGGTAAGTCTTCAATTTTACATTCATATTTTCAGAAGGTATACTATTGAATTGAAGAAACACAATACAGTACCATTTTAAAATCATAAATAAGCAGTATACTTTTGGGGGGGGGGGTTGTTCCTGCCTGCTGCAAAAATTCTCATCTGTTTTTATGTGTGTTACTTTTGCAGAAATGTGTTTTCCAAACTAAAGTGAATATTGAAACCTGACCCAGAATGTTCATAGATTGTTTCTCCCAGCAGCAGATGGCTAATCAGTTTTATTTCTAAATGCCAGCTAGAGGCTCTGTAACGTAACTTGCATGAAAACATGGTGCCATGAAATATGTGTGTGTACTTAGTTTTAGTGTAGCTGAACCAAAAGACAAATTAAATATTTTAAAAAATCTTTTTACCTTCGAATTAAAAAACAGGAGTTGATCTTCTGGTGGACCAGCCATTCTCGCTTGAAACTTTGACATCTTTAGTAGAGCTTACTCGTTTTGAAACGTTGACACCACGATTCTCAGCTACAGTTCCACCATGCTGGGTTGAAGTGCAACAAGAACAGCAACAAAGGCGACATCCACAACACTTGCACCAGCAGCATCATGGGGATGCAGCTCAACATACCCGGACTTGGAAATTGCAAACTGATAGGTAAATCATTTTTGATAGACCATTTGCCTCCCTACTTTATTTAAACATTGAATCTCCTGTTATCTTGAGTTATAAATGGAATTCCCTAGTAGGAACCTTCTTTTATATTTATTTTTTTTAAATCCCTGCTTTATTATTTTTATAAATAACTCATGCTTGCGAATATACCTAAAACTCCTTCCTCCTTCAATTTCCCCACAACAACAATCCTGTGAGGTGGGTTGGACTGAAAGTAGGTCAAAGTCACCCAGCCAGCTTTCATGCCTAAGGCGGGTCTAGAATTCACAGTTTCCTGCTTTCTTACCTGGTGCCTTAGCCACTAGAATAAACTGGCTTTCATTTGTATTATATTACATATAAAGATTGGAAGTTGATGCGTTCTATAAGTTGATTTTAAATCCAGAATTTTCAGGAGGCCTACATCTATATAGAAGACAACGTCCCTGAGGTGTACAAATATTTCAAATTTGAGCCATTTCAACTCAAAATGCCCTGTCACGTATGCTACCATGTTGCTTTTTATTTTAGAAGTGCTCTGAGTTCAAGATACTTTTTAACATTTGCAAAATGATCAGACCATTTTACAGTTAATCATGCTGTGTAAAACATTTGAAATTGGGCATTTTTAATCAAAATCAGTGCAAATTCAAAATGTTCTATACATTCCTAAAGGTATTTCAATTTGAAAATGTTATTGCATCTTAAGTGACTGAATTAGATAGGCTTTAAAAATTAGGTTCATACTAAAATAGAGAAATGGGAAAGTTGTAAACTTTCATATTTTCTTATTGTTCAGATAAAAATAAATTGGAGCTCTTTATCTCATTGAACATTATTTCTTTCTCCATTTTTTTCTTTGTAGCAACAGCTGGGATGAACATGTCTTTGAACTGGTTTTGCCAAAGGCTTGTATGGTTGGGCATGTGGATTTCAAATTTGTTTTGAATTCAAGTATCACAAACATTCCACAGATTCAAGTGACTTTATTGAAAAATAAAGCTCCTGGCTTAGGGAAAGTCAATGGTAAGAAAATAACTGAACAATTTGCTTTCAGTAATATTTATATATTTTTAATGGCATTATTAAACCATCAGTAGCTTGAACATGTTAAAGCGATGTCAAATGAAATGAAATATAATGGGTGAACAGTGCTCCATGGTGAACAGAAAGCAGTAGGTATCACTGAATGTTAAAATGAGATAGTATCTCCTTCAATAAATATTTTTGCTTGTTTTAAGAATGAGGAAATGCTCTAAATGCTAACTTTGATTTCGATACTTTTTCTTTGTGTTGCAGGAATTCATTTCAGTTCTATTTTTAAACAATCCTTTTTTATTTTCATTTTATTAGCATTTTACAGATATATTTGTCTTGATACTTATTTAATATAATTTATTAAATTATATTAATTTATAATATAATTTTAAATTATATTATAGGGCGGCATATTAATATAATTTATATGCCGCCCTATCTCCATAGGACTCAGGGCAGCTCACAACAAGTAAAAACAAAGCCAATACTATTTAAATAACCAAGAATATTGTGAAATTTAAGATTTGAGGATAATATGGTAATTCCCATTTCTCAGATTTAGCACTTTGCTAATAATTGCCCCACAAGCCCACTCTCTATCAACATCATAATAGCATTGGTGATCATATTAATAGTAATTAAATCTATTTTAATTTTTATCTTTGCCATGCTTCAATCTTAGAGCATAGGTATTGATATACCACACAAAAGCCAAGAAATTTCAAGCACCAATTGTTTCATGGTTCATGATAGTTTTAAAATATTTAAAAATATTTGTATAACACATCCACAACATATTATGTAATAAAACTATGCTCCAAAAGAGGTTGTGCTAATTAAAAAAATCTGAAAGTGTCTTTTATCTATGTATTTGTTCCCCAGAAGCAGCTGTAGATAGACAGATAACTTTTCCGCTGTCACCAGCTCATCATGAAATGGAAAGAAATGGAAAAACAGGGTTGGACGATTTGAATGAAGAAATGCAAAACATGGATGTAGAAGAGTCACAGTGTAAGTTTTGCTGAAGTATAACATTCTTTTAAATAGATTTGCCACATAGAAGTTTGCTAGATATGTTTTAGAAGGAAGTCTAGTGAACTTTTGCTTCTGTGTTCCATTAGTAGTTTCCTCTAGTGCTGTGATGGCGAACCTATGGCACACGTGCTGGAAGTGGCACGCAGAGCCATTTTTCCAGGCACGCGAGCTATCACCCAATGCACCTGCAGCTGTGCATACATGTGCGCCCCAGGTGGTGATTGGGCCTCCAATATGTATGCCGCAATTCAGGGGACCCAGCTGGTCTTTGGAACTCTCCTGCGCATGCGCGCATTCGCAGGAGAGTACTGGTGTGCACATGTGCAAATGACATGTGCATTGCAAGTGTGAAAACCACATGCATGTGCAGATGGTGCAATTGCGCATGCAGCGCACAGGGGAGCTGTGCGAAACCTGTGCATATGCACAGATAGGATTGTGTGCACAGTGCACAGCCTGCGTGCAACCTGTGCATGCGCAGATGGTGCGGTTGCGCTCACAGCGCATGGGGAGCAGTGCACTAGTGTAGATGCCTACGCTAAAGAGCCTTGGTAGTACAGTGGTCTAAGGCACCCTGTTATTAAGCTGGTTATTAAGACCAGCTGCCTGCAATTACTGCAGGTTCGAATCTCGCCAAGGCTCAAGGTTGACTCAGCCTTCCATCCTTTCTAAGGTAGGTAAATTGAGGACCCAGTTGTGGGGGCAATAAGCTGACTTTGTATAAATATACAAAAGGATGAAGGCTATTGCTGAGCACATTGTAAGCCGCCCTGAGTCTCCGGAGAAGGGCGGCATATAAATCAAATAAAAAAAAAAGATGGCACGCGCGTGCAAAGCATGTACCTGTTCGGCACTCGGTGAGTAAAAGGTTTGCTACCACTGCTCAAGTGCTTGTCTTTACTGATTGAAAAAGGAATGGTTTTAGGCCCTGGATGTATGTTACATTGTTATTTGGACAGGATAGTGGGTAGATTGGGAGCCTCCACATGTTTGTTGGACCCATGTCCCTCCTGGCTTGTCTCGGCAACCAGAGAGGGGACTGGAGACTGGATCCGGGCGATTACTAATGCTTCTTTGAGGGATGGGGTCTTCCCTGCCATACTCAAGGAGGCAGTGGTTCATCCCCTCCTCAAAAAGCCAGCCCTGGATCCGGCCTCCTTAAACAGCTTTCGTCCTGTCTCCAACCTTCACTTTGTAACGAAGGTTGTTGAGGCATGGTGGCTTACCAACTCCCACAATTCCTGGAGGAAGCTGATTACCTAGACCTGTACCAATCGGGTTTCAGGCGCGGCCACAGCACGGAAACGGCATTGGTCGCCCTGGTGAATGATCTCTGGCGGGCCCGGGGTGGGGGTTGTTCCTCCATTCTGGTGCTACTTGACCTCTCAGCGGCTTTTGACACCATCGACCATGGTATCCTACTGCGACGGCTCCGGGGGTTGGGAGTAGGGGGCACTGTGCTACAGTGGTTTTCGTCCTATCTCTTGGGCCGTACACAGTTTGTTTGGGCGGGAGGTCAGCAATCCTCCCCTAGGCCCCTCACTTGTGGGGTACCACAGGGGTCGGTTCTCTCCCCCCTGCTCTTTAACATCTATATGAAGCCGCTGGGTGAGATCATTCATAGTTTCGGGGTGAGGTAACATCAGTACGCTGATGATACCCACTTGTATCTCTCCACCCCAGACCAACCCAGGGATGCCCTTTCCGTGATGTCTAAGTGCCTGGAGGCGGTACGGGTCTGGATGGGTAGAAACAGGCTCAGACTCAACCCCTCCAAGACCGAGTGGCTATGGATCCCGGCATCGCCTGATCTAGTTACCCCATCACTTTTGATGGGAGGGGAGTTACTTACTCCCTCTGAAAAGGCTCGCAATCTTGGCGTCCTCCTTGATTCACGGCTGTCCCTGGTGGATCATCTAACGGCCGTAACAAGGGGGGCCTTTGCACAGGTTCGCCTAGTGCGCCAGTTGCGGCCTTTCCTAGACAGGGATGCCCTCCGTACAGTCACTCAAGTTCTCATTGTCTCTCGGTTGGATTACTGCAATGCCCTCTACATGGTACTGCGCTTGTGGTGCATCCGGAGGCTCCAGCTGGTCCAGAATGCGTCCGTGCGGGTTGTTACGGGAGCTTCCCGTTACTCCCGTGCAACACTTCTCCTGCGCGAGCTGCACTGGCTGCCAGTGGCCTTCCGGATCTGCTTCAAGATGCTGGTATTGACCTATAAAGCCCTACATGGCATGGGCCCGGGATACTTGCAGGACCATCTCCTACCGGCCGCCCAGTGCATTCACATAGAGCTGCCCTCCTCTGGGTGCTGTCTGCCAGACAGTGTCGGCTGGCGATCCCCAGGATGAGGGCGTTCTCTGTGGCCGCACCGACCCACTGGAATGGGTTACCCACCGAGCTCTGGATGGCTCCCGATCTCTGCACTTTCCGCGCTAGCCTGAAGACATAGCTGTTCCAGCAAACTCCCTGATCAACTACAAGGTTTTAATTTTGGAGATTTTAATTTTCATATTGGCTTTAGGTGTCATTGTTATTGTTTTATTTGTGTGAGCCGCCCCGAGTCCTTCGGGAGAAGGGCGGCATTAAATAAATAAATAAATAAATAAATAAATAAATAAATAAATAAATAAATAAATAAGAGATGTTTGTTTGCTAAGATATTCATTTATTTAATTAATTTATTGTGTTATATTGTTCTTTGGTTTTAACCCTGTAGTCATCATTAAGAATTACAATTGTGAAGACAGTGGCTGCATAAATTATATAAATCATAATTAACTAGATAAACTTAGTTTCTCTTATCCTGGGATCCTACTTATACTGGTTTTACTGACTAAAATCTGCTTTACCTCATTCATTCAAATATGAATGAATTTATTAGAATGAATTGATTACTTTACATTCATTCTGATAATCATAGTTGGTAATTAAATACTGGAATTTCAGAAATCCTTCCATAAACAATTCATCCAAGTGCTACTATTTGCCAGAAAGAACCATCAGAAATTACTGTAACTCAGAAAATCAAAAGAATGGAAAAGTCTTATTGGTTCCTTGAAAACAATCCAGGAAGGGATTACAGTAGTCAGATTACAAATGTCACCAAGTTTTACTTCCTGCTTGAGAAGTTGGTAACTTTGAAGAATGATTTTCTCTGACAGACTTGTTGTATTATATTACTATAACTCTTTGAATGTGTCCTCCCACTGAAAGGAATGCAAATCCTGATAAATTGCTACATAATCACAAAAAACCAGTGCAACAATAATGAAGTTCTAAAAATAAATTTTTCGCATATTGTCCTGTAGCTTTATATTTTCTTATTATACTGATGCATGAAGAATTTCTGTTACTTAGTGGTATAACAATTGCAATTTGAATGTCTAGTTAGAGGAGGGAATAGATGAAGCCGTCCACTTCTTTTAAATGCTAATGTTCCAGGGAGATCTTAGTTTATCCTAATTTTAAAATAAATTAATGAACATTGGAATAAACTGAATGTCTAGCTCTTAAATATAATCATGGAGGCATTATAAATTTAAGGCCACTTGGTATGCTAGCATTGGAGACAACAAATGTGTTAATTTTGTACTTGGTGTAAGAGAAGTAACTTTCTAAAAGCATTAGGCTCATGAATGATAAATTTAAAAGAGAAATTTGATAGAGCATAACATTCTATACTACAATCATGGAAGTACTTGAAGACAGTTCTGTTTAGATTTTAAAAAATCTCACTAAATAGAAAAGCAAAATGAGTCAAGAGTTGGCTTTTCAAGAATATACCCTACTATCAATATTATTATTTTACAATAATTATTTTATATATATAAAGTTGTTTGCTATGATCAGTGTAATTTTACTTTTTTATATACTTTTTTAAAGGCCTTCGGCTATGTCCCTTTTTAGAGGATCATAAAGAAGATATTTTGTGTGGACCTGTATGGTTGGCTACTGGACTTGATTTATCCGGACATGCTGGAATGTTGACACTCACAAGTCCAAAGCTTGTAAAAGGTAATACTCTTGGCAGAATATTTTGGGGAACAAAATCTAAAATGTGTTTGTTTTTTTAAATGATTAGATGCAGACCTGATATTTAGAATTGATTCCTGACATTTAAAATGTGAATATTTTTCTGATAAAAAGTTGGCCAGTAATTGTTTCTACTGTAAGCATGTATAACAAGTTTTCAAGAATTACTTAATTTTCCTTATGTCTGTTTTATTCTAGGCATGGCAGGCGGCAAATACCGTTCATTTTTAATCCATGTGAAAGCTGTGAATGACAGAGTAACAGAGGAAATCTGCAATGGAGGAATCTGGCCTGTTTTAAGGATACCATCTCTGAAACCTCAAAATAACAAGGGACATTCACTTGCATCACTTTTAGCCAAAGTTGCAGCAGGCAAGGTATTTAAATGATATATAAACAAAGAATGGTCAAAAATATTTTCCTTTTATCGGTCACCTAAGGCCATCTTGTTAAGATTGAAGTGTCAAGTGGTGTAATGACAATGTAGATACATAATTAATATAAGATTGATAATGCTAGAAGTAAAATAGTTGTGTGTGAAATTTGCCTGGTGAACTATCCATCAGCAAAACTATAGAATCAGGTAGTCTTGGAATTGGAAAATACCATGGAAGTCATAATCCAAATACTTGCTCAGGGCAACATCCACTAGATTCCATTGACAGATACCATTTAGCCTCTGTTTAAATATCTCTACAAAGGAGATTTGTTCTATTTCCAGTCACATAGTCAGAAAGAACCGGTACTTTTAATCCTTTGGCTAAACGTATCCAAACCCTATAATCATGCCTCATGAAGTTTGGATTTCAGATTCTACATCATGTTGAAAATTCTCTGAATTTGTTTCAGTTTGTCACTATTAGTTTTGAACTGTTATGTCCAGAACTAGATATAGAGTTCCATACATGGTCTAAGGCAGGGGGTCTCCATCCTTGGCAACTTTAAGGCTTGTGGACTTCAACTCCCAGAATTCCTCAGCCATGTTTGCCCCTGGAATAGTGGGATAGCTACTTGTCCTGATCTGAACTGTCTGATCCTATTTATGTACTCCAAAATATAGTTATCCATAATCAAAATTAACCACAGTTCTAACCTCTCCACACAGCAATTTTACTTTTAATATATAATAGAAGTTTCAAACTAAACATTTCTGGCTATTCAGGAAGAGGATAGAAGATAAATGCAGGATTGCAGTCTGTTCACAACACACTAGCATGCTTAGCATGACATACAAATATTATCATTATACTTTTCAGAATCTGATATTCCTGATAATATTCCTAACTGCTGAACCTAGTTTAAAATGATATGCAAGCCTAACATGTAGGACATGGGACAATTTTTGATAATACAGCTGTATTGTTTTCTAGTCATTTCCCCTTACGTAGTTGATAAAATAAGCAACATACTAATTTCTCCCTCCCTCTCTCTCCCTCTCTCCTCGTTTAATTTTTGATAGTTCTATCTTCATGCTTGCAATATTAAGAACATTGTAATATATAATATGCTTACATATTGAGAAACAAAGGACAACTTTTATGTTGATGTTTCAAATTTTTGTATAATGCAAGATTTTGAAATTCTGAGAAAATGTGTTTTGGTATTAGTTGATAATAATTTAAGTAAATTTCATACTCTGGCAAAATGAAAAATACTTGTATGCATGCAGAGTATGACTTTTCAAATATATGAGTTGTTATTTTTAAAAAACAGGACAAGTCTTCTAATAAAGCAGAAGCCAGTACTTCCTCACGGAAATCTGACAACCTACGAGGATGTGATTTGCTGCAAGAAGTCTCTGTAACGATTAGAAGATTTAAAAAAACATCTATTTCAAAGGAAAGGTTAGTTGGTTATCAGTGAGTATATTTCATAAATACATTTTTAAACATGCATTCAAAAAGAACGTAGGTTAATGCATTATTAACATTATTTCATTGAACTACATTGTATCTCAAACAATAATATATAAGACAGGCTAACTATATTGAATATAAAAATAAGGATTTAATTTTTAACTGTTTAATTTAATTTAGATTTAATTAAAATAATTTAAAAATATATAGCAAAATCTTAATTAGAACAAAACTTTTTTCCCCTCAAGTCAGATTTGACAACTATACTTGCATGTCCATGCAGTTTTATAGATAGCATTTTTAATAGTTGTTTGCTGGTGCCTTTCTACAACTGAGACAGAGTGACTGACTCAAAATCACCCAGTTGGCTTTTATGCTTAAAGCAGGACTAAAAATCAGAATGTCCTGCTCCTAGTCCAGCACTTTAATTATTAAACTGGCTAACTCTACAGGTGGTGCTTGACTTATGACCAAAATAGAGCACAACATTTCCATTGCTAAGCAAGGCAGTGAAGTGAATTGTGCCCTGTTTTAGGACATTTTTTTGCCAGTAAAGCAAATCATTGCAGTTGTTAATTGAATCATGTGATTGTTAAATGAAACTGGCTTCCCCCCATTGACTTTGCTTGTTGGAAGCCAGCTGGAAAGGTTACAAATAGTGATCACACATGATCCTGAGACATGGCAGCTGTCATTAAATATATGCCAGTTGTCAAGTGCCTGAATTTTGATCACGTGGGGATGATGCAATGGTTGTAAGTGTAAAAACCATAAATCATAAGTCATTTTTTTCAATGCCGTTATAATTTTGAACAGTTACAAAAGAAAAGGTTGTAAGTTGAGGACTAGCTGTATAGTAGAACATTTTGATGAAAACAGAATCTTTAGAAAGCATTTGTAAAATAGTAAACAGGAGAAACACATTTAAGATTTTCTACCCTAGCTTCTTTTGCCCGTTGAACTAGAAGACAAATTTAATAGCCATAGTCATCTTCAAATTACAAGTAGTCTTTAACTTATGGCCACAGTTGGGATCAGAATTTCAGTTACTAAGCAGTGTGCTCGCTTTACTAAGTAAAGTAAGAATACTAAGTAAAGTGAGATGTCAGTTGCTTAGCAATTGCAATCCCAGCACTCCTGGCTACCATCACCCAAGAATCATGGGTTGGTGAAGTGCGGATGTGCCATGGGGATGGGGAAGGCTTGGTGTAGGCAGGTGAGTTGGGGTGCTGCAGTTTGGTGCAAAACCACAGCTGCCCCTAGAAGCCTCAGCTTCCCCACCCAGCCTAGCAGTGTTTATGACTGTAGGCTGTAGCAACTCCCACCCACCCACGTAGGGCAGATTTGCATCCCCCATGTAGTCATAAGTGCAGGTGGGCTGCCAATTTTGATCCTGTGACACCCAGGGACATTGCAAAAGCTGTAACTTTGGGCATGGATTGCAAGTCCATTTTTCCAGCACCATCATAATTATGATTGCTGAACAAATGGTTGTAAGTTGAGCATTACCTCTTATCTAATTAAGAGTAGTTTCATCAGGTTGTTTAAATAACATGGATTTCTATAACGACAAGTTTTGAATTTCAAATCTAAAAGAGAAAAAGCAGTTTCAAGACTTTTTTAAAACCACATTAGAGAGAAACCCTAAGCTTCTTTTCTTCCTTCTTGAAAAACCTTAGCACTGCTATAATAAAAAGCAAGAATAGTTTATCCCCAATTCACTGATTAACTTACTTCTTTCTTATTGTATATTATTTCTTTTCTAGAGTTCAGAGGTGTGCCATGTTACAGTTTTCAGAATTTCATGAAAGACTTCTTAACAGCCTTTGCAAAAAGGCAGAAGATGGAGTTGTGACAGAACATGCTCAAAGTCTTGTATTAGATATCCTGTGTTGGCTAGCAGGAGTTCAATCCAATGGACCAGGAAGGTAAAAATAAATAAATAAATAAATTTCTTACCTTTGTTAGAAATGTACTCAAAAGTAACGATTGAGTTGTAAAGTCTGCTTTTGTTTTTAATGTTTCAGTTCAAGAGAAACAAATGAGAGCTTGTTGTCTAAAACAAGGATGTGTCTTTTCCACATAATTAGAGTATGCTTCTTTGAAGCTGGGCGAAGCATAGCACATAAATGTGCACGATTTCTAGCTCTTTGCATAAGGTAATAATGTTACTTGTTTTTTTCAGCTTAAAGTTTTCTTTTACTTGAATATTCTAGCTAACATGATGTAAAATATGTTAACATAGATGATCTTTTATAGAAAAAAATTAATATTTTGTAGCTCAATGCTGTGTCTATGTGGGAGCCATTTCCACCTAATTTAGTATTTCTAGATAGATGGAAATTGGATTGCACATTGATTAAGCCCTTTCTCTGTTGAGACCTATGGATGTAAAAAACAACAATCCTGAATAATGTTTGCCGATGAACAAAATAAAATATTAAAATAAAACTGATTATATATTTTTGTAGTAATGGGAAATTTGAACCAAGTCAACAAGGATTTAGCTCGGTCCTTCTGAAGGCTTTGCTTGGCAATATATCTTATTTACCTGCAGCTGCAACTGGAGGTAAGATTAAGGCTTTTGTTTTTGGAATCAAATTTGATTTCTTCTGATACTTTCTGCCTGTTTTTCTTCGTTTGATATTCTTTTTTGTCTTAATACTAATCTTGCGTTTTACTTATTAGTCAATTCTACTCTGTTAATGTTATAAACATACACCCAGAGTAATATAGCCTAGGAATATTGCCTGAACAGTTATCAATGCAAACTTACCACAATCTGATTAACGAAATATTATATTGAATGTCCCAAAGGTGCTTTTTCTGGAGGCAATTGGACTTTCTTTCTTTTTTCTTTGAAGACGTTTCGCTTCTCATCGCAAGAAGCTTTTTCAGCTCTGACTGGATGGTGGGGAATGGAAGGATTTATATTCCTTGCAGACAGCTGGTCATTTGCATTGTTTTAGAGAGTCATTGAGGCCACTTGGAGTTTTATCTGTGTCCTCAGGGTCACCTGAGTAGTGCAAGTGGGTGTGGAGCCTTCTTGGCTGCAGGATGTTTTCTGCCCCATGTCCCTTCACCATTGAAGACAGGAGCAGGCGGTTGGGGACAAGTCTGTGTTGTCTGCATCTCAAACTGAAGTGCAAATGGTTCTGTAGTCTGCAGTTGTTCTGGAAATCCGTTCATACCCACACACCATTTGAAGGGTGTTCATCCCAAGGTGCATAGCTAAACTCTATGGAGATTCTCAGTCATCCAGTTCATGGTTGTCCCAAAGGTGCTTTTTCAGGAGGCAATTGGACTTTCTTTGAAGACGTTTCTCTAAAAGAATGCAAATGACCAGCTGTCTGCAAGGAATATAAATCCTTCCATTCCCCACCATCCAATCAGAGCTGAAGAAGCTTCTTGGATGAGAAGCAAAACATCTTCAAAGAAAAAAGAAAGTAAGTCTCAGCGTTCCAGGAACTGTCTGTCCGAAGCTGGGTGAAGCACAACACGCACACAAAATTGGCTAATACAACCCAGGGTTTAATCTCGGTTAACATGATGGACTTACAGAAAACGCTGGCGCCGTGACTTCAGCTCAAAGACGGAGTTAGCTGGCTGCTCAGTTGCTGCGGTTTTATAGGCGTTGTAAATGAGTTTACTGCTGTAGCATCTTTGAATATACCGCCAGCTCCCGCCCCTCCCATTCGAAGGCTGAGAATGCTGGTGAATGATGTCATCAGCTGTCGTCACCACTTTTGCTTCAGATTGCCTGGGTCCCCCCCGCTGGTTTCCTCTTTCCTATACCGTCCGTCACCTATCACCATCAATGTGTTTCCTAGATGCGCACCCCCCTCCACCGTGCTTTGTTGCTGAATCCGGATGTATTCTTGAACACCCCTTCCATGCATGGGTAAGGTTCTTGCCATCAGGTTCATCACGTGTGTGTTGAGATTTGCTACTCGACAGAAAGTCCAATTGCCTCCTGAAAAAGCACCTTTCGGACAACCATGACCTGGATGACTGAGAATCTTCATAGATTTTTATTGAATGGATTTTGTAGGTGTCTGTAAACATATAGTTAAAGATTGCTTTTCTGTCTACTTAATGCTGAACATTTATATGTGTTCCTTTTAGGTTCTGTGTATTGGTATTTTGTTTTGCTGAATTATGTAAAGGATGAAGATTTAGCTGGCTGCAGTACTACTTGTGCTTCCCTGTTAACTGCAGTCTCTAGACAATTACAGGACCGATTAACACCCATGGAAGCACTCCTTCAAACAAGGTAACAAGGGAAAAACTGCATCACTTTTTATTCATTTGTTCAATTGCTACGGTTACCCACTCATCAACAACCATGGGTGCTCATAAAGGATTAAAATGAAATAATATCAGTCAGTTAAGAACAATAATAAAACAGCTATGGAGGGTGGCGGATACACAACAATTAAGCAGAATTGTCAGAAGTGGCATCATCACATAAAGTGAGTTGGGCAGTCTCTAAATGTGATAAATAAAAATAAATAAAATAATGTCCTAGCTCAATGCCTATGTTACAAGCCAGCTATTTCAGGCTTTCTTAAAGGATAGGTCTGGGGTCATAAGGGCCTTGGAAGGAATTGCTGTTTCAAAAGGCAATGCAATAACATGGAAGGCCTATCTCATGGGTATGACATTGTTTAATATTCAGTAGCTTGAAGTATGTGTGCACTGTCAGGTCCTTACAGTCAGAGATAATTGGAAGATGCAATCTTGCAAATACCCAGATCTTGTATCACAGGCTTTGTTAATGACAACCAGCATCTTTGCTTATACACCAAAGCCCACTAGTAACTAATGAACTGTAGCTTGCAAAGAAGAGGTATTAACATAAGGCATTAAATGTAATACATGTACCAAGCAACACCCATAACTGTTACATTTTGGACCCCTTGTGAACTTTTTAAACTCGTTCTTTTTAGTACTTATTCTTTGTGCTTGAAATAAGTAATATTAGGCATGTTGTTTTGTGTTTGCATTGTTTTTAAATAACAATTTGCTGAATATACTTGATGGTAATGTCAGTTTCTTTTTTCTTAAAATGCTAAAGCTTTGAGAAAAATATTTAATAGTATTGTTCGTTCATATCCTTAAAGCTATATATATTCGATTGATTTTATCCCATTAACCAAATTCTTCACATCGCCTAGTATCCTGCATTATGTTCTTTTTTCAGGTATGGATTATATAGTTCACCTTTTGATCCGGTGCTCTTTGATTTGGAAATGAGTGGTTCTTCTTGTAAGAATATATATAATAGCAGCATTGGCGTTCAGTCAGATGAAATTGATTTATCTGATGTTCTCTCAGGTAAGCCCATGTATCCACTTGTAACTGTGAGTCGAAAGGTTTTTTTTATAGTCAGTATTGTTTGCTTTTGGCAACAACATGGTTATATTGTCTTCATGTTGCAATTTGCCATTGAAGAAAATCAACCTCCTCAAAATAGGCTGAACTTTGTTTTCAACAGAGTTGCATTGCCACAAGGAAATGGTTATTTCTTCAGATTAGATTAGCCTTTGAGATAGGTCAGGGTGGGATACAGAATCTGTAAGGACATCTGGAACTCTGTTAGTGCAGGATATAATAACCAAATCTTGAAAACTTGACAGAGTTCCTTTGTCTCTCATCTTATATCCAAGAGAATCCAGGCAAGGCAATTTTGAGTTTCTTTAGGAATTCTTCTTGAGGTCTCTAGGAATATGTACAATTTTTTTTTATGTCAGTAAAAATGTCAGTATGACAGTTTTGAGTATTCTGAAATCAGAACAAACAATCGGTGGCATTGTTCTGAATGTTTTGATCAGAGGAAGCAATTTTAAAATTAGTATTTGGAATTTCCCAAGGAAAACAAATTTTGTTTTTTATATCGGGGCAAAATATTCTAGTTGCTTTGAATTTGATTCCAATGGAACATTCTGACAGAACGTTGAGTTTTATCTTGAAACAAAACCTATTCCCTGTTTTGTGCAAACCCCTGGTTGCAGCATTCTTAAAAACAGAATAAAAGAGTTAGGACTATAGGAAAATTGGAGACAATTCTTTCCCCTCCATTTTTAGAGAAAACTTGAGCTGACTCCCAGTTCATTCTTTGAAAAAAAAAAAAAACCCTGATAAATTTGGTTTTGACCAATCATGCAAACAGGTATGTTAAACTGTTTTAAAATTTTGAATCTAAAGGGTCCAATTGTGCGTGGAAGTCATTTTAGCTGTTAAAAAGAGAGTAGGAGTTGCTGATTTTTCTATGGTACTTCTTTCTGCTATGGTTTCTTTGTGTTTTCATGCCATATGAGTTGTACTGAGATATGGAAGAAGCAAGGATTGAGATTTACAAGTTATATGTTTTTCTCATATGTGTTAATTACATACATAGGGGTTTTTTTTGTTTGGATTGGGTACTTAGTCATTTATCTTTTCTTTCCCTCCTCATTTTACATACATGATAGCAATAAAAATCAAAAGTTACTTCTAGTTATAATATGAGTAAACTGAATTATGTTATTTTTTTTTTCCCAATTCAGGGAATGGAAAAATCAGTAATTGTACAGCAGCCGAAGGTAGTTTTACTTCCCTCACTGGACTTTTAGAAGTTGAACCTCTACACTTTACTTGTGTTTCAACTAGTGATGGAACAAGAATTGAAAGGGACGATGCAAGTACGTTTACTGGTATATATATATTTTATTACTTTTTTCTATGTAAGACAAACTGTATTAGTAATGTGATATAATTTTTCCAATAAGAAAGTTATGATAAATTTGAACTATTAATTGTTAAACAAAGGATATTAACACATTGTAATTAATCACATAATTCAATGTTTAATTTAATGATGAGAAAAATCTGAGAAACTGCCTAAGAAACCGATATTTTGATTTCCCTATTTGCACCGTGAATGTTGAATCAAAGTTCCATTAAAAATTAGATCGTTTGTGACTTTTTTTTCCTTTTGAGATTGATTTCTTGCTCATTACCCAAACTGTACTGTTTTCACGATAATACTTTGTGTCTTGCTTTTCTTCATACGTGTCTTTTTCTTTTGTTTCTTTGTTTCATGCCAGTGAGTACCTTTGGGGTTACCCCAGCAGTTGGAGGCCTCTCATCTGGGACAGTAGGGGAAGCCTCGACAGCCCTGAGTTCAGCAGCCCAGGTAGCTTTGCAGTCTCTCTCTCATGCAATGGCCTCAGCCGAGCAGCAGCTCCAGGTGCTTCAAGAGAAACAGCAGCAGCTTTTGAAGCTTCAGCAACAGGTTGGAGGCCATCTCTTTCATGATGTCTCTAAACTTCAAAAGCTGAGAGAATGGTTCCCTTAATTGCAGAAAGTCTCTCTTGTTTGTGAGAGAGAAAGGAAGGGAAAAAGAAATCAGGCATAATTATCAAAAGTACATCTTTAGAAACAGGTTAGAATGTAACAAACATTCTGACCTTGAAAGTGCACATGGGCTTTTTATTGGTGCAGAAAAACCTTTCTTATATATGTTATTGTTCCATTTTCAAAAAAAACCCACCTTATTTTGGATTATGAAAAAAATGTGAAAAAATGGAAAATGTACTTGGATTTCTTTCAATTAGAAACAAATAGATTGCTGTTTGATTAAGAGCCATAAAAGCAGAAACTTCTTTTCATTGCACTCAAGAAAAGATACAGAGTTGTATTCTATTCCTTCTAAAGTGTATGTTTAACTCCAGTCCATCTTAATCATTCTAACCTGTGCTTGTCAAGCTCAAAACTCAAGAGATCTTCCGTTAACAAATTTCAGTCGTAACATCTTCAGAAATGCATCCGAAGCAACCTGGATGAAGCATTTAAATTTACATTAATTTTATGATATCTGTGTTAATTTAGATCATATGGTGCAATGACATACTTTTGTATTTAACAGATTTTTGTAATACACATTCCTACACTGAGTAGTCTATTAAAATGGAACTTCCCTGAATATGCAAATTCGTTTTTTAAAATGTTTTTAATATGAAAGAACCATCACACATAGTATAAGAATTTCAGGGTGTATTCACAGTGGAAGGATGTACATCTGTTGTCCCATTGAACATAATGGGATCCTAGATGTTTACAAATGTGTGAACTAAGGACTTTGATTAAAGCTTTCCGTTTCATGCATTCGTAGATATAATATTCTATTGAATGTAGTTATACTAAATATATTTAAGACAATTGGGCTGCACTGGACAACTTCAGCTTGCATGGTTTATGCAACAGGTTATCTCTAAGAGACAAGTTCAGTAAAAAAAATTAGGTGAGTCTTGAAGTGTTCTACTTTCATTTCTTGCACTGTTGTTCACTTTTTTGTGCTCCTTTTTGCATTTTTTTGGTAAAAACCTTTGGTGTGTGAAATGAAAGCTGAAGCTATTTGCTTTTTTGTTTGTTTTGTTCATGCTGCTTATTGCTAATGCTTTTAATTGCTACTGCCTTCACGGGCAGCACCAGCCTACAGTACATATGCTGCTTTTATTTCCCCTGCAGAAAGCAAAGCTGGAAGCCAAACTACATCAGACAACAGCAGCAGCTGCTGCAGCAGCATCAGCAGTTGGTCCTGTTCACAACTCTGTGCCTTCCAACTCAGTAGCAGCCCCAGGGTTCTTCATTCATCCGTCGGATGTCATCCCACCCACTCCTAAAACAACCCCCCTGTTCATGACTCCGCCTCTTACACCACCTAATGAGGCAGTTTCTGCTGTTATCAATGCAGAGCTTGCACAGCTTTTTCCGGGTTCAGTCATTGATCCTCCTCCAGTTAACCTTTCTGCACACAACAAAAATGCACACAAGTCCAAAACGGTAACTAAAGAAAAAGAAAAGAAAAGAAAAAGAAAAAGAGCTTTCATAAAATTCCAATCTAACGATCATTAATGACAGGAACTATTTTGACTGCTTGATAGTTTGCCTTTTATCTATAAGTGTTGAGAATATATTTTGACAGGGAGTTTTGTTAAAACCTCTTATATAATAGCCCCAAATCTATTAAACCTACATTCCATATAAGGAAGCTAGTGCAAATAGCTTGTTAATGCTTTGAACTTTTCTATTGGTATGCTTAAAAACTAATCCGTATACAATATGAGTGATCAGTTTTTCAACCTTGAGTTTTCAGTCTGCTCTTTTTTACTTTTGCATGTGCAGTAGCAAGTGACTAATACCAAATACAATGTATTTATATATTGATCAGGTTTTTTTCTTTCAGAATCCACTTGGAACTGGCCTTGCTCTTGCAATATCTCACGCTTCACATTTTCTTCAGCCACCTCCTCATCAGTCTATCATCATAGAGCGAATGCATTCAGGTAAAATAGTAGTTTGTTGGTTAATTCTTTCTAAGTTAACTTGATTTGGATAGCTAATATAATAACTAGATTCCAAAGCTGATACAGTGGTACCTTGGTACTCAACTGCTTCAAAACTGATGCATTTTGACATGAAAATGTTGTTCCCGGTATTCAACATTGATGATGATGTTTGGTACTGGATGTGGTGCAAAAGAAAGTGGGGGATAGCTGTAGAGGGCTGACAGGAAGTCGGCCATGCTGGGAAGGTTGCTGCAAAAGGAAGCAGAGGACAGCTGTAGAGGGTGAACCGGAAGTCAGCCATACTGGGAAGGTCATAAAAAAAGGGACAGATAGGAAGTTCTTCCCGGCCAAAACAAAGAGTTACATGGTAAGTCACATGGTTTGTTTAATACTCATCCTCCCGGAACCAATTAAGGACAAGTACTGAGATACCACTGTTTAGGTGTAACCAAGGCCCAAAGGATGACTTTGGGATTCTTAGATTTAAATTCCAGTTGGTGTTTTATAACAAATCGATTTTTCTATTTCCCTCCATTTCAGAAGTTTGCTATGTAGCCTAGAAGCTGCTTAAAAACCCATAGAGTTGTATAATGAATCATATGTTTTTTGTGATTTATTATACAACTCTATGGATTAGAGTTATACAGAAATTTTATGTTTCTGTAGGTGCAAGTCAGTATTTTTTTGTTTTAGCTGAAAAGATTTGCACATTAAATGTAGGTGATGTATATTAAAAAGTGAGAAGGGAATTATGTGAGCCACTTTCCCACCAATTTTGAAATAATTATTAAATAACTTAGTAATTCTTCAAATAAGGGGAAGAGGGATTGGGAGTGTAGTTAAGGTTTACATTACATTTAAAAACATTAGTCCTGATTCAGGTTTATAGGGTTGACTTTGACACCTCTCTGGCTATAGTTTGAGCTGAACCAAAAGACACAGGCATTTGGGTAGAAAAGACTATCAATGTCTCAGCCATAAATTCCAGAATAATTTGTACTGTGCCAGCAGTAACTAAACTGTAAATATTTCTTAGTTAAAATTAAATATTTTTGGCAACATGAGTTCTGTTTGTTAAGTTGTGGACCATGACTGCCTTTCTGGCAAAGGCAGACTGAGATCATTGTATTGGTATTTCATCAAGACTATTTCTGTTCAAAGGTGCAAGGAGATTTGTGACATTAGACTTTGGTAGACCCATCTTATTGACAGATGTGTTGATTCCAACTTGCGGGGATTTGGCTTCCTTATCGATTGATATTTGGACACTGGGTGAAGAAGTTGATGGAAGAAGACTAGTTGTTGCTACAGATATTAGCACCCATTCTCTTATTCTGCACGATTTAATACCACCACCAGTCTGCAGATTCATGAAGGTAATAATTCTGTCAATAAAAATAATATATTTTAATGAATATATACTCCAATATGGTAAATGTTCTTCATAATAAGTAATGCTCAATTTTACAATATATTTTCTATTTTCAAAGAATGAAGTGAGATGGAAAGGCTGTGTGTCTTTTGTTTCAGATTACGGTCATTGGTCGCTATGGAAGTACAAATGCTAGAGCCAAAATTCCTTTGGGATTTTACTATGGACATACGTACATCTTGCCTTTAGAGAGCGAGCTGAAGATTATGCACGATCCTTTGCGAGGTGAAGTTGAATCTGCAAACCAGCCAGAAATTGATCAACATTTAGCTATGATGATTGCACTGCAGGAAGATATACAGTGCAGGTAAAATGCGATGTTTTGTTTCTGTTGTATTGTTTTGTTGATGTTGATGTGTTAGTGAAATAATGCAAGTTGTCGAATGTTAGCAAAATGTTACCCTGTTTAAAACACTGTTATTTAACTGTGTATAAGTATAAATATGTTTGTGATCTTTATTAATAATGTATGTATAGTTATGACTTTTTTTTCCTTATTCCACTTACAGGTATAATTTAGCTTGCCATAGACTTGAAACACTTCTGCAAAGTATTGACCTTCCACCACTGAACAGTGCTAACAATGCTCAGTATTTTTTACGCAAGCCAGATAAGGCAGTGGAGGAAGACAGTCGAGTATTTTCTGCTTATCAGGATTGCATTCAGCTACAACTTCAATTGAATTTGGCTCATCATGCTGTACAAAGGCTCAGAGTAGCTCTAGGAGCAAGCAGGAAGATCCTGAAAGAACAGAGTGATCCTAAAGAACTAATTCAGATGTCCTCCACGGAACAGTTGCGCACAATTATCCGATATCTGTTGGATACTTTACTTAGTTTACTCCATTCTTCCAATGGTTGGTAGATCAATTATTTTTATTAATAAAATAACAAACTTGCTAATTGATTGTCAGTGTTGAAATTATATGTGTTAGTGTCACTGGGGATTTTGAGGCTTTGTAGAATTTTCCAGATTAAATGAATGAGGCAAAGGAGTAAGAGAGTAAGACTATAAAAAGCATCAAATTAAGGTTAATCTGAAAACTTCAGCAACTGTGTCTCTTAATTTTCTAAATTTACAGGAACTGGAGATTTGTTTAACTTGTCAGAAGGTCGCAAAAGGTCACAAAATGATCACAGAACACTGCAGCTGTCATAAATATATGTTAGTTGCCAATTTTCAAATTTTGGTCATGTGAAAAATGATTTTTTTCAGTGCCTTCAACTTCAGTCACTGAACAAATGACTACTGTAAACAAAAGACTACCTGTAAAGTTAGACCATGAAAATTTGTGATAATAGTCATTTCATAGACAGAATAGGTTTATAAACTACTCAAAACAAAAATAATGGATTGCATTAAGAACTGATCTATTGCAAGAAATTATTTCAAGCTGCCATCATTTTTAATAACATCTTGATATTTAGAATACCTTCCAATTTATGATATATAAATATATGGACTTTGATGGTGTAGCATCTTTAACTGGGAAATGGCCTAAATTTTATTCACAGACAGGGCTCTTGTGATAAGTCAGTCAAAAGACTTCCAGATAATTTGCAGTAATGCAGAATTAATTAAAATGTAAATAATAAAATAAAAATTTAAAGGACCACATTAAAAAAACAAACTTATTTCCTTTCATGTGAATGTGTCATTCAGTTTGATTTCTGCCAAGACATGTCAACCAAAATACTTTCAGGTCATATCTAAACTGCCTTTATTCAGGAACTGGAAAGAAATCTTCACTAGGGGGGTGGGGGTTGTATATATTTTATTTGCAATTTTCTTCTAACAACCGACATATTTTGTGGACAGTGTATTGGCTGGGTCAATATATTTTTTACACAGGGCTAACAATAATAATACAATTAAATATACATAATCTTTGTCTTCCAACTTCTAACCTTAATATGCTCATTGTAATTATAATAGATTCTTTTATGTATCAATATATATAACACTACTTTCCCAATTTGTACTTATTCCCCCCCCCCCATTTGTTGGGGTTCTACATTCACATCTTTGCCCTTAAACAATATCATTCTCTCTTTATGATTCTTTAACACTTTCTCCATAAATATATTTAAAAATCAATAACATTTCTTCATACAATGTATTTGTTGACCGCTGCTGAATCACTAATATTTTAATATTTTAATATTCATAATTTCAATATCTCAATTTTCTATAAACACCAATAAAATAAATTATTAATAAAATTTAATCAATCCCGGGATTATATCTCTAAATCTCCTGAATTTATAGTCCTTGAAAGCTATAAATTTCAATATATTTTTACACACTGTTAATAATAATAATACCTTTAAATATACCTAATCATAGTCTTCCACTTCTTAGCCTTATAATAGCCTTTGTGATTATAATAAATTCTATTATATATCCATATGTGTGCTGCTATTTTCCCAATTTATACTTTCTACTTTTTTCTATTAGTTTTTAATACAATCACCATATTGCAAGATATTTTATTCTATCAATCATCTCATAGCCTTTTTAGAATTTTATTTATTGACTTTTTGGTAACTTTTTTATATTTCTGTCTTGGGATCCTATACTTCTTTCTAACATTTTTACACAACTGAATATTCATACATACTTTTAAACATCACTAACATTTCTTCATAGAACTTTATTGTCTTCTGTTGGGTCATTTTGTACCAATTTAATATATTAAAAATTACTCAATATACCTCTAATATTCCAGTATCCCAATATCTAAAACTCCAAAGAAGTTATTAGTAAAATTTAGTCAATCCCAGAATTATTCCTCCAAATCCCCTAAATTACTATTCCTTAAGGCCTATAAATAGATAATTTACAATCTTTATAATTTTCCAGTTTAACACCTTGCCAATTGTTCAAATTTTAAAGTCTTTTTTATCTTTTCTTCTTTCTTTTTTTCCTTCTATCACCTTTCTTCTTTTGCCTCATAGAATGTTTTATCAAATAGTATTAGTAATCCAATTCCAAATTGGCCCACTAAGTTCCCTCAAGTCTTTCAAATCCACCATCCAGTAAACAGTTTCAGTAGATTTTTAGTTATTTGCAATTCAGTTTGCTTAAAGATCTTCAAAAAGTTCACAAGATATTTCCAAACATCCAAGTCACCTACTGAAATAGAATCAAGGTCAAATAGCCTTCCAGGTTTTATTTACTTTCACTCCTTTTCTTTTGTGTATCTTAAACAATTATCACTTTCATTTAAGTTCCCACGCTGCAGTAATCTTCTTCCTCCAGTAGATGGCTCTCCATCAATTAAACAGCCTGTGAAAAAACAACAGCTGATTGTCAACTGATCAGTGGGGGTTAGAAATATAAGTAAAAAAAGCAGTTTCTCCCAATAATCACTTTTCAAAGTATTATTAAATCTTTTCCAGGCTTTCTATATTTTAAAGTTTCTATTAAATATTTCTTTCACATCTGGGTCTTTAATCTTTCTCTTTCTCTATGTATCCAATTGCCACTTTCTTAACGTTTGGAGATTTTTTAAAAAAAATATTTTACTTGGGTTAGGTCTCTAGAATAAAAGTTGGAAGTTGTCTCACCCAGTTTCAATGCTCTGTCCACGAACCGCTCCAGCACAAATCTTATTGTCCCGGTTGTCACAGCTTGTGACTTGCCAAAAATGGCCATCGTCCCTGCTGCCATTCGGGAGAGCTTTCTTCAGACCTAAGAGGAAATTGCAGTTTCCTTGTGGTCAACGAAGCACCTCTCCTTCCTTCACCACCCCTCCAGGGCGGCTTTGACCCCATAGGGTCTCCTGACATGCAGATACTGGCTGGTTTTCATGCAGCTCGGTAGAACTCCGCTATTTTCTAGCCGTTCTCGCCACAACGCCAACCAGTCTTCTTCACTAAGTCTTAAATGAGTTGAGGGAGATCTAATCTACAGGCATAAGAAAGGGTGTGTGTGTGTGTGAGAGAGAGAGAGAGAGAGAGAGATCTTGATGTGTAAAACCAGTTCTGTATTTTTTAGACAAGTATCCATGTGTTCTGTTTTTTTAGTGATTCACCTTTTCATAAAAATAGAAGACGAAAGGTTTCTAAATCCTCTAAATTAAATAACTGATAGCATATTTAACTTTTTACTATATTGTAAATCACTCAAAGTTGCAGTATTATGAGATGGGCAACATAGAAATTTAATTAATTAATACAACAAAACCTGTGAGACTGCTAGTAATATTGTCACTGCTGAGAGATAATGTCTTAAACAAACCTGTGTAATCTGTATTCACTTCTAGACTCACAATCAACTAAGCATAGGATGAGTTTTTTTCCAATCTAACATACTTAATTCCTTTTTTTAAGGGCACTCTGTTCCTGTGGTTTTACAAAGTACATTTAATGCTCAAGCCTGTGAAGAATTATTCAAGCACTTGTGTATTAGTGGGACTCCCAAAATACGTTTGCACACAGGTCTTTTACTCGTTCAGCTATGTGGAGGTGAAAGATGGTGGGGACAGTTTCTGTCAAATGTCCTGCAGGAATTGTATAATTCAGAGCAACTTCTTATTTTTCCACAAGACAGGTACTTTTCACATTACTTTTAATATATCATCAAGCAGCATCCAGTCTATATATTATTGAAATATAGAAAGATAAGAGGGGAAAAGCCTTATAATAATTGTAATAATTTGCAATTGTAATAAATGAAGACCATCATCATAATTAAGTCTGTAAGTGGTTGAAATATATTCTTTTCGTATTAGGATCTGCATATTGCTATACATAGCCTATAACGTACCTTCAAAAAAAAATTTGTCATCTGTATATTTAATGCTATCAGTATGATTTAGTTCTTTATGCCTGAAGAACAAAAGAGAAATAAATGATTGATTCCCTAGGATCAACTTTTTTTTCTCTCTTGTGAAGTATTGCTACTTATTAAAGAAGCCAGGAATACTTTTAAACTACTTGCTTTTTATATTTAGGGTCTTCATGTTGCTTTCTTGCATTGGTCAAAGATCACTCAGCAACACTGGTGTCTTAGAAAGTTTGTTGAATCTCTTGGATAATCTCTTGTCTCCTCTTCAGCCTCAATTACCTATCCACAGATGCTCAGAAGGTACCATACATTTCTAAAATAATATTAGATTTAAAAAAAAGTCAGTCCAACACTATTAATATAACTGTTTTATGCAGGATTGTAAAATACAGTCCAGATCACAATTAAATGGAAACAGACAGATAACAGAAAACCTTAATTCTTGGCTACCATCTATTGGTTGTCTGTTATGAGCTGGGCTTTTTTTTTTTAAGCCCATGCACATGAGCTTTAGAAGGAAAAAAAAATCACAGACAACCATTGCACACTAATTTGACTGAATCTAATTTCAAAGCATTCATTTTAGGTATTAAAATTTATTCCCAAGTAGTTGAGCAAATAATTTCCTCATGGTTATCAAAGTTTAAGCACTTTTTTTTCTGCTTTTCTATGTGAGGAGAAGAGAGATATGTAACCTATTTTGAGATTCTGGGGAAAAAATCTGTTAGTATATTTTGTCTTAATAATTACTTAAACAAATTCTCTTATTTTGAAGGCGTTCTGGACATTCCTATGATTAGCTGGGTTGTAATGTTGGTATCTAGACTCTTAGACTATGTGGCAACAGTGGAAGATGAAGCAGCTACATCTAAGAAGCCTTTGAATGGAAAAGAGAGAGAAAGATTCTTGACAGGTGTAGTATATACTACTTAAGATGGTAAAACATATTAATGAGCATATAGTACCTGAAAAAGGGCAGTCATGTTTGCATAGAATAATAAACTACAATTTTTGATAAATCTTATTGTAAACAGCTATGAACTTGTTTGTCAGGCATGAAAAATCAAATCCACACATGAAGGTCCAATTAAACTGACTTATTGTTAATCATCCCTTTGCACAGGAATCTTCTCAACTAATGGTTAGCATCTGCTTGGGGTTAAATAATAGAATTTGGGTGGATGGGTGGGAGATTTACTTTGCTTGTAACTATGTAGGGATTCTAGACTGATCTCTCTTTTAACTCCACCCCCAGGTTTTGCCACTCCTTTTACAATCTTTTTACTCCATTCAATCATTGTCTAATTAGTCCAATGGCTAATATAACCATTGACACAGTGGTGAAATCCAATTTTTTTTACTATCGGTTCTGTGGGCATGGCTTGGTGGGCGTGGCAGGGGAAGGATACTGCAAAATCCCCATTCCCATCCCATTCTGGGGCCAGCCAGAGGTGATATTTGCCAGTTCTCCAAATTACTCAAAATTTCCGCTACTGGTTCTCCGAACTGCTCAAAATTTCTGCTACCGGTTCTCCAGAACCTGCTGGATTTCACCCCTGCATTTACACCTTGGAATATTACTAGAATTGAAGGTCCTGCACTGTTGTTCCAAAACAAAATAATCTTAATTTTCCATTTTAGAGAGAACCAGTATCCCAATCTCAGATACTGAATTAAGCATTCTGCTGATTAGCTATTTGATTAGTTCAATACTTGCAATGGCAAGTAGAAACAAAGGGCGGGGGGGGGGAGTTGTGTGTGCTGGACATCCTTGCTCCTCAGTCTAGGAGCACTGTTATTGTGTTGGAAAAATTATTTATTTGACAAATTTCCAGGGTACCATTTGTTCAGCAATATAGTAACTTTAAACAATTGTTGAACAAATGTCCATTAAACGAGTACCTGTAATAACCAACACTTTGCATTGCACTCAGAAACCAACTGGTAATCAGTTCAGCTAACATAGCAAAGGCTTCATGTGGACATAGTGAGGTTTGCCTGTCACTGCTTGGGCTGCCGCATTCTGAATCTATCATTTTTTTCTAGGACAGTCCATGTAGAAAACATTATTGTATTCCAACCACAAGATAACCAAGGCTTGACTGTAAGGAAAGCCTATCAATCCAGAAATGAGCATAACTGGTGCAGAAGCTGGATTTGCGGTAATGCCACAGGTAGTACCAGCTTCTAAAGCAGAAACTGGAGAATCCAGGAAGAGCCTTAAATTGCAAGCTCTTCACTGGCCAATGCAATCCCATTCAGGATCAAAATTAGAACTCTCCAGAACTAGGAAGACCATGTATTTAAAGTCACACCATCTTGCCAGGGTTGAACCTGAACCTGTTTCTCCCAGTTCAGACCCAAACAGCCTCTAGGTCCTGCAACAAATTTCAGAATCATCACTTGGTCTTGTTCTTCTGTTTCTAAATAGGCTACAAAGTGAAAATCAGAATGTCAAATACTTGCAAGAGTAAACATTGTAAAGAATAGTTTTTAGTCACACCCTTCTAATCAGTTCTTCGGTATTTACAAATAAATTTAACTTGTTCCATAATATTCCCAGTGTTCATTAACAGTTAGACAGAAGTAGGAATAAAGTTTGGTGGGACTTGTCTATTCACAAAATGACTGCCAAGATACATGGCCACTCAAAAAATACTGAGTTACTGTAACACAGCCTGAGGATTTTTTCCACCAGCTGCTATTTTCTCAGGTTGCTCTTTACCATTTCACTATTTTTTTTCCTGGCCACATTTCCAGTATCTCCCCATTTCCAAAGAGAAAGCCCTGAGCAACAATCACCTACTTTCATTTTCTCAGATTATCTATAGATCTGTGTTATATTTGGAATTATTCCTATAAGAATATTATAGTCCAGCTTCATTTCTGTCCATCTATCAATTTATCAATTGTTCATCTGTTTAAAAAAATGCTTTAATAATCAGACGGGGCAGGAAACCTGCTGTATGCCAAGGGACATACCTGCAGGCATATTAATTCCCTTTGGATTAAGCCATTAGGGAAAACATAGGGATGGGCAGCACTTGATATCCAGAGCTGAAAAGGTGATACAAAGTAGCAATAAGTGTATACACATTTACTTTTAAAGAAAGGTTCTTCTTTTCCTGGAGTAAAGCAGTAACTATGCAATCCAAGTAAAGTGTATATTTGAGTTAAGGAGTTACCAACAGTTATACCCATGTTAGTCCACTTTTTTCCTCCTTTCCTTTCCTTTTTCCTTTCCTTTCCTTTCCTTTCCTTTCCTTTTCCTTTCCTTTCCTTTCCTTTCCTTTCCTTTCCTTTCCTTTCCTTTTTTTCATTATTCAGGATAGAAATCCTTCCCGCTTGAATAAATAAGTATGAATAAGGGCTGGGAGAGTCTTTTGGTTTGGGATTTTGTTCACTAGTGTTTGCTTATAATTTTATATTATAGAAAAACAATTGACTGCCATTTATTTACCTGTTTGAATCGTTAGCCTGCTTTTCATTAAAATGAATTCCAGAGTGGAGTGCAATAAAACTGGTGGTAATCATGCAAACTGACAAAAGCAACAACCATAAAGCAGCATGAGCCACACCTTAAATAACACAGCAGCCCAGGTTTAAGTTGAAGTCTGGGTTAGTAGGCTTTTAATTGACATAAATGCTAGCTGCTGTTTTCTCCCTTCCCCTGCCATACACGTTTCAAAAAATTCTGGAATTGTATCATATGCTTTGTAGTAACAGATCTATGGTTCTCAGATTTTTGGATAGTTTTCCAATGGTTTGATTAAAAGATACAATCTGTCAGTTAAGTTTAATTTTAAGATATACAGATTATAAAGTAATTGAATAGATTCTTAATAAAAAGAAATATTTGGGATCTTAATTGTTACAAAGGAATGTTCTAAGCTCCACTCAGTTTCAGGCTGATCTGAGTTTTTACAGGCAGTGCCAATCAAGCAGTTCCTGTTCAGTTGCCTGTGAGATGCCATGAAGTACAGGTTGTCCTTGACTTAACAACCACAATTGAGCCCAAAATTTCAGTTGCTAAGTGAATTTTGCCCCATTTTACGACCTTTCTTCCCACAGTTAAGTGAATCACTGCAGTTGTTAATTCAGTAACACAGTTGTTAAGTGAATCTGGCTTTCCCATTGATTTTGCTTGTCAGAAGGTCACAAGAAGGTGATCACTTGACCCCGAGACACTGCAACGGTCATAAATATGCACTGGTTTAATCATATGACCATGGAGATGTTGCAGATGTCATAAGTCTGAAAAAACGGTCATGAGTCACTTTTTTCAATGCCATTGTCACTTTGAACACTCACTAAATGAAGTCGAGGACTACCTGTACACTACAAAACGATTCACACTGGCTCTGAAAATGCTGGTGAAATGTTAGGATAATATAAGATGAGGGCAAGGTTATTCAGCCTGAAAGCTTATCACTGGCTGATATATACAGATTTATTGCATAGGACTTCCTTTCTCATCTGATTTTCTTGTGCAACATTTAATGTCTTTTTTGCTTTCATTTTAAAAAAGACTTGTTTGTTTGTTTGATCATTCAGTTAACATTTCATTTTTAAAAAGCCCTGTTTTGAAAGATATAAACTAGCTGTTTCTAAATGCCATCTGTGGTCCTTTCAATGAAGCTAAATCAGTTATTTTCCTAGCATCCATAACAATAATTCAATCAATGTTTGTACCCTTTAACAAACTAACAAAATACTTTTTTTTCTTTTTTCAAGATACGTGTACTGATTTTCGTGTGTATATGTGGTCTGTGTGTAAAACATTGACTACCAAATTTGAAATATCATTTTGTTTTGCTTTTCAGGCAATCAGTGGAGTTTCATTAACAATAATTTACATACACAGAGCCTCAATAGATCTTCAAAAGGCAACAGTAGCTTAGATAGGTTATATTCCAGAAAGATCAGGAAACAGCTTGTTCATCACAAACAGGTAACTTCTAGCTCATATTAATGATTTTCTTTTTTCCCTAAATTATAGGACGATATTATGCTTTTGAGATGCAATTCATGTTTTATATTCAGAGCAATATTTTATAAGTTAGGTAGCATATAGCTGGAATGCACTGAAGCAAGTTAAAGGAAATTCCAGTTGCCTGACTTTCCCACAGCAACCATGAACCTAACTGAAAGTGTGACTGATACTGACAATATAATAATTGCAGACAAGGGATCTAAGGAAATCCTATGCGTGCCCTGCAGGGTAGAATCAGAGATTTCCACCATCCTGGTAGAAGTTGAGTTCACATAAGTCTGAAACTTTGAAGGGAGTAATGTGAGAAACCACTGTTCTATTTAACTTGCTCATTATACAACGTTTGGAAAACTTGACAGTGAGGACAAACACTTGGCAAATATCTGGTCCTATATATAGTGTTTGAAGCCTCACCAGTTTCTGCAACCTTAAATCTGTTACTGAAACTGGCTTAGTAATTCAGGTCTGTTGGCAGCCTGTTAAAGTTTTGTAAATATAAAAACTAAAATTAAAAAAAAACTTTAACTTGACCATCCTATGAAAGTGCATATCTATTTTGCATTTTATTATATACATTTTTATATAATGTTAACATTTTCTTTTAGCAACTTAACTTATTAAAAGCAAAACAGAAGGCTTTGGTGGAACAGATGGAAAAAGAAAAAATACAAAGCAACAAAGGATCATCCTATAAACTTTTAGTAGAACAGGCAAAACTAAAGCAGGCCACGTCAAAGGTATGATGTTCTGCAATTATATTTATTGTCTCGCGCAGAAATATCTTTTTCTGCAAATTAAAAATATGTTTTGGGTTCATTTTTTCCACATATGATTTTGTTATGCCTCTTAAGGCCTAACTTGTTTATTCAGCTACCTGCTATATCTCTGGTTTTAGAACCAATCAATTCTAACATAGATATCTGTTGATATGTATGTATGTATGTGTGTGTGTGTGTATGTTTATATATATATACATATACATATACATATACATATATTATAAACTGCTTTCTAAATAATGCTGTGGGTTATTCACATCAAAATACTTCCTTATAATAAAAAATTAAGATTAAATTAGAATATTTCAACAATTCTCCAATTGTGCTCTTTTTTTGAGTCATCAGAAAAGGTGCATGGGCTGTATCCAAATAATTATGCTACTAAGTAAGGGCAAAGGAAGTTGGAATTGTCTTTTTCAAACAACTCCCCTTCACTATCCATTCTTTTATTATGTGGTATAGGATGCTCTTCAAATAAAATGGTGTTTTAATTAAGCACTTTTTGGTCCACAGAATTGTCTGAAATAGTTTTGGCTATCAGTTTCAGTTATTTCTTTTAGGAATATTTATTTTTGTATTTTTGAGGCAAGTTGTACAAAGTTTTGAGAAATCCTCCCTTGAAGTCCAATAATCATACATTATGTTTGTGTTTTCACACCATCTAATCTAGATAGTAATATGTTCCAATTACTATCCCTTACTGATAAGACATTAGGTTTATCCAGTGTCTTATCCAAAGGGTTCAGTGTGATAATAGTTGAGTAATAGTTTATGTAATCAGTTAATTTGATTCTTACAAGAATTATAAATTTGAAAACAACAAATGTTGTGTTGTGATTTAGGAAATAATCTTATGTATGTTTAGTTAAATAGACATGTATTTATTTGGACTAATTGTGTAATATTGTAATCTAAGGCTTACATAAAATAAGAGAACTCAATGTTTTCTTATTTCTTTTTGATTGAAATACTGTGTTACTGATACTAGTGATTTATGTGGTGGTTGTTTTTTCCTTTGTGAAATTATCGACTCATATGATTCAATGAATAGTTGAATAATGGCAAATGTGTTTGTGTTTATAATTTATGTAGCACTTTAAGGATTTGATACGCTTACGACGGACTGCAGAGTGGCCTCGTTCTACGTTAGACACTGAAGTATCAACTGCAAAAGAAACTCCAGAAATTGAGCCCCTTCCATTTACATTGGCACATGAGCGCTGTATTTCAGTAGTGCAGAAACTGGCCCTCTTTCTGTTGTCAATGGATTTTACTTGTCATGCGGATTTGCTGTTATTTGTATGCAAGGTATGAATTATGCAATGCAGTTAATAGAAATAAATCTTGAAGCTTGCATTTCAGTACGCTAGGTTGGATCAGCAGTTCTCACAAAATTCTTTCCCAATAATTATTTGTCATCTAAAAGTATGATGACTTCAGCCCCTTGAGGAAGAAATAATAAAATAGCATGATTTGAGATGATAAACATTTTAAAACATCCACTGTTGTTCTGATCCCGAGGAGTTTTGCTCTGGTAGGATTAGATTTCAATAAGTAAGTTTCCACAAGAGAAGGAAGCTGGTTGTTGGGCTTTAAATATAATTCCATCAATACAGTGTACCTTTTCCTAGCTGTTGTTTATATAAAATCATCTATGTTTTTTCTTAATCCTCTGTGCTGAAGCAAAAGCTGTGGATTGTATCAAATAGCAGTTTTGCTTTACATGAACCTTTAACTTATGCTAACCAGAGCACCTAAATTTTGCTTCTTTCCCCCTCTTGACTTAGCCTTCAGACTTAGACTAACCCTCAGACTTAGCCTCTGAAAAAAGTTGCCATTGTGTTCCTTATAACTGGCAAAAATCTGAATCATTATAGCACAAAAGTGGTGGGAAATAAACCAAAATTTTGTTGGGAGTTTTTGAAAGTGTTGTTCACTTAGATAGAAACACTGTTGGTTACAGCACAATAACTTTTAGTAATTTATATTTTCTTGTGTTATAGTTTTCAACTTTGCAATTTCCAAGATAAAATTAAAAATAAAGAAATTAGAAATGGGGGAGGGGGACTCTTTATATGAGAACAACTTCCCCAACTACAGATGGAAGACATCAAACTAAAGTTACATATACTCTCAAACCAGAAGGATTGTCTTATTTCTTCTTTTGATCTATCAATATTTCTGATATCATTCTAAATTCCTTTACCATTATTTATAAATACATGTGTAAATTACAATTGCTAAATATTCAAATCTTTATTTTGTAGAAGTGTTGTGTTCTCCATAGATATGAAACAAGTTGCGGCAAAGAGAATTTTGTCTACCTGTTTTTATTTCAGGTTCTTGCTAGAATTGCAAATGCAACAAGGCCTACAATTCATTTGTGTGAAATTGTGAATGAAGCTCAGTTAGAAAGGCTGCTACTGCTTCTGGTTGGAACAGACTTTAACAGAGGTGATATCTCTTGGGGAGGAGCATGGGCTCAATATTCTCTGACATGTATGCTGCAAGATATTCTAGCAGGTTTGTTAAAAATTATATTTTATCTATGGAAAATGTTTTGGTTACCTGCAGTGGGAACAGTGAAGGAGTAGTAGTTAATTAATTAGTCTTGAACCATATCAAAGACAATAAAATAAAGGTAAAATAAAGGAACTAATTCCATGATAAAATAGATAAAAAATGCAACAATAAAATATGTATGTGGTAAATAGAGAAAAAATATTTCGTCTGTATATAATATCCCAATTTGTTTGGTATAACGGGTTCTTAGCTGAACTGCCTTCTCTATACATCATTTTATAATACGGTAAGTGAGGGAAGCACCTATGTTTAGTCATGGAATCTAGCACCTCAAATCCTGCTCCAGAATAGGCCCTTCATAAGAATCGCATCAAATTCATTGGCAGGTATTTTTCCACATTGGAAAATGGCTTCATTCTTAGCCAATCAAATTAAAGATCTATTTTTTTGCCAATAACTTCATGTTTCCTTGGATACTGATATCCAGGACTCTGTTTGAAAATTTCCTTTGCCTGGGAGGCAGTTGAGAGTAAATATTGGGTGGAAAACCCATGCTATGAAACAAGTTTATGCAGGAGATAGGCTAAGCCGTACTTAAACTGTTCCACTAAACATATTTTGGGTAGTCTATCAGGGCCCATTGAATGGCTTCTCTGCCAATAGGTTAAAAACTATTTTAACTAATTATTGAGTGACTGTATGGAATGAAAACCTGCTTCTGCTCTGACCGCTGAAGCTTACATGTGCTTGTCAATTCCCAGTGTGCTTCTTTAAAAAATGGATCTGAACTTATTCCAGTGAGGAAGCTTTTGTAAGGCCACACAATTCCACACCATACCTCAGCATTGGGACTGTTTTTTGCCCTAAATATTTTCAATGGGGGTGGAGGGTGGGGAAGGTACCTGGGTAATTATATTTAGATTAGATAATCTTTTGGTACATGTCTCAGCCTCCACCAGGCTTCTTTTTAAAATGATACCCATCTTTGTCTATGCCAGTAACTCTTCCTTGTACCATTCAGGAGAACTGTTGGCTCCAATAGCTGCTGAAGCCATGGAGGAGGCTGCAGTAGGAGAGGAGGCAGGAACTTCAACTGTAGATTCAGATGACGCTCTTCAGCAGTCTGCAGCTCAGTTAGTGGAAACTATTGACGAGCCTTTATCACATGACATTACAGGTAAATCAATATAACTTGCATAATGGCATTGAATTGTTTAAAACTGTTCTTTTTTTGCTTTGGCAATTCTGCTAAACATTCTTGGACTCCAGTAGTTGTTGGGAAAGTATACAGTTCTGCTGGTGTCAAGTAGTACTAAGCAACTTCAGTACTCAGCGGCTAAAAAGCTACACACAACCAGGCAGCATATAAACGCCACACACAAAATAGCCCAAAGCACACAGTCTGCTAGAGAGAAGTTCCCTGAGGATGGGCTCCAGCTCAAGTCTGAAAGCTCAGAAAAATAAATCTCTGGTCCCGATGACCAACCCCATATTGGATTTTGCAAGGTTATTCTGGGACATATATATTTGCCTTCTAAGCTTGCTTGTTTTCTTGCAGATATTTCGTTAACCTAACTAGTCACCTAACATCACCAGTGCTAGTAAGGAGTGTGGTTTGCTGTCAGTTTATATTCTGGTGCCTTACCTGCCTGTATGGGTGGAGGTGGTCTTAGAGATTCTTTGGTTGGGCTGTTTACTGATGGCCCTTTGGCAGTTTTTTGACTGGGGTATTGCTTATTTGATTGTTGGTCTGAAGTTAACCTTGAAATTAATCTATGCTGATCTGAATGCTGATTACTGGTGGAGAGGTGCTGGAGTCTTTTTCTCTTTTGGGCTGGTTGATTATCTCTTTTGCATAGTTTCCAATGCCCCAATCAATAAACTGCCAGTAAACAAAAGCAAAAAGGTTAGCCATCACTGCTCTAGAGTGTATAATGTAAGCCTCATTTTACTTTCCTCCCTCACATTTTTGTGCATAATAGAAATTCAGAACTCACATTCCAAGACTTAGTGAGTAGATAGATAAAGAATTTCGATTTTCTGTTGCAAACTATAGGTAATCCTCTACCTATAACCACAAATGGGCCCAGAATTTTTGGTAGTTTTAACACTTCATTCACCAACTATGATCCTAGTTCTCCCAGTTGCACTTGTTAAGTGGAGCACCAGAGAAATGGTCCAGGCTTCCTGTGCATGCTATGGAGACAAAGGGGCCAGGGCTCCTGTACCTGAGAGGCCTAGACACTCTCTCCATCCCCACTGGGGAGAGCAATCCCTCTGCACACTGGAGGAACAGACGTCAAATCTGGCAAATACACTAGCAAATGCCATTGTTCTCACAATTTCTCCTCTCCCCACCCCCCGCCCCATGCCCAGGAGGCCTGGATCCTCTCTCTGGTGTTCAGCCGTTTTCAGAATCCCACATTCATGTAACCATGATTTACAGTGTTTTTGCCAGAAATCTGCATTTACGTCTGGTTTCCAGCAAAAAATGCCAATTGCAAACAATGTATTCAGTTAATGACCTCAGCATTCACTTAATGACCATAGATTTGATTACAACCATGGTGATTCACTTAATGGCTTGTGGAAAAAATGTAAGATTGGGTCATCACATAACAGCCCTCTTAATAACAGGCACAGCTGGCATCATTCCGGGCTCAATTATAGGTAGAAGAAAAGAACTGCCTGTATTTTTTTGTAAGCTTCTGTTTTTATTGTTGTACTTGTTGTTGTAAGCTGCTCAGAGTCATGACAATGGGGTAGTCTATAAATTCAGTAAATAAATACACTGTTTGAATCACCCAAAGGTACTCCACCTCTGTCATCTTTGGAAAAAGACAAAGACATTGATCTTGAGTTATTACAAGACCTGATGGAAGTTGACATTGATCCACTAGATATTGATTTGGAAAAAGATCCTCTGGCAGCAAAAGTCTTCAAGGTATAGAACATAATGCATTTTTAAAATAGCTGCAAAACCCTATGACACCATCTTAGCTCTTTTCCAAATGGGTGTTTCTGATATTAACATGATAGAATCCTGTACAATACACAGGTATCAATACCATTTTCATTATAAACTTCTTAGGTTTGTTTTGAGATTACTTTTATATACAAGTTATATTTTCATTCTAACAAATATTCTTAAGAGTAACAAATACAAAGAACATAGTTAAAGTGTAAGTGGTATTTCTAGACATTCCCTAAAATCCTAATGATTGTAAAATGCATCATTTTAAGCATTTTTATTATTTTTGTATGTAAAGAAATGGAAGAGGGGAAAAAAACTTATAAATATATTTTTAAAAATAATGGAGAAAAATATATTTTATTGCTTATAACAAAAATCAGGTGTTTTAAACACATCATTAAAACTTGAACACATGGAGTAATATTATAGTACTGTTCAGTATTATATTGGTAGGACCAATTCATAACCAGAAAGTGGGCACACATTATTGATCTGAGATTGTAAATCTGAACTACAGATCAGATTCTAGACATGTCACACTACAGAGGCCACTTAAGCATTTAATTATAGTTGGATCTGTAAGTATAGATTCTTTAGATTCTTTACATTCATGTGTCACAGCGTATGATTAAAATAAACTCTGGAAGGAGGGACATTCAGAGGACTTAATGGTCATCATAGGAAACATGTCTGTGCTAGAATTTGATTTTGAGAATAATAGTAATAGATCTATTTATACACCATTGTAATTTTTGAATTTGAATTATTTGATACCCTGTTTCCCCCAAAATAAGACATCCCCTGATAATAAGCCCAATCGGGCTTTTGAGCGCATGGCAATAAGGCCAAGCGCTTATTTCAGGGTTCAAAAAATTATAAGACAGGGTCTTATTTTCGGGAAAACACGGTACTTTATAATTCATTTGTTTCCATTCTGGGCATATGATCATGTAAAGCAATCTTCTTCAAAGATACTTTGAATTTCAGCTCCTTTCAACGTGGCCATTTAGCAGGTGATTGGAGTGATAATACAAAATAATGGTCCAATAATGAGTTGGGAAAAAGTGATGTAAATATTAGCTGGGCCATTCCCTTTATACTGTCAAAATTATAGTTCAGTGAAAGAACATATTGATCTGAAAACTGCCAGTATAGTTGGCAGCTTATATGGCAAAAATAAAAGACTGTTGATTTCCTTATAAATATAGATCATGATGTTAGGATACAAATACTGAAAACACGATCTAGTTGAGAATCACAGAAAAAAAGTTATAAAAAATTATTTTATTTTGAGGAATTTCAGACCATTTTTTTTTCTTTTCTATTTTATAAAGCCTATAAGTAGCACCTGGTATGATTACTGGGGTGCTGATTATGGTACATACAATTACAATCCTTATATTGGAGGTGTTGGAATTTCTGTGGCAAAACCACCAGTTACAACTGAGAAGAATGGATCACAGATTGTGAGTGTATCAGTCTCTCAAGGTAAGCTAGTTTTACTTTGCAGCCCAATTTCAGAAAATACTGTATTTGTGGTAAAAAAAAATACATGTTCTCTTTTGCACAATTTCAGTTATGCAAACTATGCTTAAAAAGTGTTTTTAGAGATAATAATTAGGAAACTCTGATTCAGTATCCTGTTAGACAAGAGGTGTACAATGTTGTATTTTTAAAAAAGTCTATTAAAGAACTGGACATTTTTCTGTTTTGGAACCATGTCTTGCTACTTAGAATAAAGATCTTTCTGACTTGATGTATTTAACTCTTTGCTCATGTTTGCACATTTTTATAATTAGTTTCTATTTTAATTCATTTTAAAAGTATTTCCAAATGTATGAATCAGTGTAAACATTTATATAAGAATAAACAAATATTTAATAACTTATTAATGTTTAATACAATATTAAAATATGTAGAGTTTTACCTTTTTGATGTAATTTACAAATGTGTTTATTTGATTCTATTTGATTCTTTTCAAAGCTTTAGATGCACGTTTAGAGGTTGGATTGGAACATCAAGCAGAACTGATGCTGAAAATGATGTCTACTCTGGAAGCCGATTCCATTTTGCAGGCCCTGACCAATACATCTCCTACATGTAATTTTGCACAGTTAAACCTAAGCATCTCTGAATGTTATGGTAATCTTTCTCTTGCTATTGTAGATAGTCTGGAATTTGTAGCTGAATAGTGGTTGTATTATGTCAATTATATCTAGTAACAATTAGGTATAATTGACATAATTACATATTAAGTACACCAAGGAGTCTTGGTGGTGCAGCGGACTAAACTGCTGTTAAAGTAGCACTTAGCTGCCAGCTGCCTGCAATTACTGCAAGTTCAATTCTCACCAGGCTCAAGGTTGACTCAGCCTTCCATCCTTTCGAGGTAGGTAAAATGAGGACCCGGTTTGTGGGGGCAATAAGCTGACTTTGTATAAAATAGAACACTGTTCGGGGGGGCCAAAAAGCCCTACTGAGCAGGTATATACAAAAGTATGAAGGCTATTGCTTAATGCATTGTAAGCCGCCCTGAGTCTCCGGAGAAGGGCGGCATATAAATCGAACTAATAAAATAAATAAATAAAATAAATATTAACTTCCCAGCATACACCTAGTTTTACAAACCCTATTAATTTCTTAGTTCATTATAAATATATTATATATATGAGAGGGCTTTTGAAGTATATTGGAGTTCCCTATTTGGGAAATCTATTTATCTTTTTAGAATGTTCTTAAGATGTTATTTCAACAAGTGTCAATTTGTCTAGCTAATATTTATCAACTTGGTGGTTATTTACAGTATATAACAATAAGCATGCAGACATAAACAATAGCAAAACATTAAATAATATAGGTGTTTTCTAGTAAATAGGACATCATGCACTGGCCACACTCACCCCCCTTTTAACGAAGGGGGGAAAAGTTGTGATACATCACGTGATGACAATGTGTCATCATGAGTTTGACACCCCTGACATAGGATATGCAAAGAATTTAAATAAATTTCCTAGCAGTATGTTTGCCAGACTAATTACAGTTTGACCTTAAGTTATTGTTACATCCATCTGTTTTTTCAAGTTATTTAATTCAGTTTGAATTCTAGGAAACTGATCACAATATTTTGGAAGAATAACACATTCAGTGACAAACACTATGTGATTCTCTTTTGTAATTAAAAATATCTTGGCTTTTCTTTTTTTGCTAGTAACTCAGTCTCCTGGTGGAACAGATGATTCTTTGCTTCGTGGTTTGCATACTTCAAATCAAAACAATCAGTTTATTATCCAGTTGTCCTCCATTCCAGTGTTAAGCACATGCTTCAATAAACTATTTTCCATGTTACAAGTCCATCATGTTCAGGTACATAATTGTTGCTATTGGAATTTGTAGAAAGTTCATATACTGTGTTGGCATTTAGTATCAAGAAATGTACACTCGCTCAGCCCTATAATTTATTGTGTTGATGCCTAGTCTGCTGTTTGTATTTTCAAGTTGATGTTTCTAATAAAAGTATTGTGACTGTGCCATATTACTTTAATAAATATACTGTATTTGAAAATAAATTGATACGTATTTCCAGAACAGACATACATACACATAGATGAATATCATTTATGATGTACTTTTGCAAATTAAACAATATATTCTAAGGCTGAGATAATTCTTATAGGTAAAGCGCTAGTTAACAACAAAATATTAATAGCATAATTTTAATTAAAAGCTGTTTTTATCATTTTAAAAAATAGGCATGCATTTGTGCTCACATCACTCACATATTATACTAAAACATAATATAATACATTTTTATGTAGATTCTATGAAGCCATGCACTGGTGCTTTAAACTGTAGTTTCGTGGGATGAGTTTGCACATAACATTCATCCAACATATCCAGTTATAATATATATTTAAGCTGTGATTTACAGTATTACATTTTTATAATGTCATCTTCTGGATTCTGAGATGGTTTCATTAGTAAATACAATTATATTGTTAAAATAAGTACCTACCTAAGTTTTCAAGTAAGCAATGGAACTTTAGGGGAACAAATGAAATTATTAAGCTCCAATAAAACAAACAAAAATATTTTCTTGAAAAACAACAAGTCAAACACAAGCAAACATTAATTTGGATGTTATGTTGCTGCTTTGACAAACTGGTTATTAATCTGCTTTTAGTAACCATACAAATTAAAATATGACAGAAATAATACAGTCTGCCTTTTGAATAACAGCTGCTAATATTTGTTCTCTAGCTTGAGTCCCTACTACAGTTATGGCTCACATTAAGCCTGAATTCTGGAACTTCTGGAACTAAAGACAACTGTACTGACATTTTCTTATACAATGCCAACCGGACACCTGTCATTCCTTTAAACCAAGGTGAGCTGCATCACTGTGCACTGCTGCATTGATCTAAATAAGTAGTTTTAAAAATACTGGGATTCTTCTGTATTCAGTATACTGTACTACAGGTAGTCCTTGACTTAACAACAGTTCATTCAGTGACCTTTTGAAGTTAAAATGGCACTTAAAAAGTAACTTTACGACTATTTTTCACACGACCGTTGCAGCATACCCATGGTTGTGTGATCAAAATTCAGACACATGGCAACTGACTCATAGTTATGACGGTTGCAGTGTCCCTGGGTCATGTGATCATCTTTTGCCACCTTCTGACAAGCAAAGCCAATGGGAAAGCAAGATTCACTTAACAACCATGTTACTAGCTTAACAACTGCAGTGATTCACTTAACAAGTGTGGCAAGAAAGATCGTAAAATGGGGCAAAACTCACTTAACAAATGTCTCACTTATCAACAGAAATTTTGAGTTCAATTGTGATCGTAAAGTTGAGGACTACCTATATATTCAGATTGGATTTTTTGTTAGATTGTATGGTAAATTGAAGAAATATCTCCAGTTAAAATTAACTGCCAAAAAGAAAAAGATAGGAGATGGATACTTTGAGTCCTTTATATATCCTTTGTTCCTTTGTATTTGAAAACCAATTCCTGAATCCACTTTTTCTTTCTACCATAAAACATATTGGAATACCTTTTTCTCACATTAAAGTATGCTTAAAAAATGAATTAAGCTTTCAACTGGAGTTAATTCTAACACTGTTTTAAGTGATCTCCATATTAGGTAGACAGCCAAAAGTCATTCTGACAGTAAAATGGTGAATACATAGAGAGATAGAGAGATAAATGGCCTTTAGGGTAAAACATAATACACTTAAGCAATTAAGGAGCATTTAAAATGATAAAATGTGCAGATTACAGAATCAGGTTTCTTTCTCATACCTTAGATTAGTTAGCATAAGTGAATGCTTTCTCATTCTGTAGTATGTTGTCTGCTGTTGTAAACCACCCAGAGTCACTTAGGTGAGGTGGGCGGTATAGAAATTTAATAAATAAATAAATTCCTGGGTTTCTTTTATTTGAAAGAAATTCTGTATTTAACACATGTAGAATCTCCAATCAATTGTCTTCAAAATAAACGTGGGCACTTTTAATCTCTTTGATTGCTTGTATGTCCTCGACTAATAACCGTTCATTTAGTGACTGTTCAAAGTTACAACAGCATTGAAAAAAATGACTTATGACCATTTTTCATACTTATGACCGTTGCAGCATCCCCATGGTCACATAATCATCATTCATATGCTTGGCAACTGGTTCATATTTAAGACTGTTTCAGTGTCCTGGAGTCATGGGATCACCTTTTGCAACCTTCTGACAAGCAAAGTGAATGGGGAAGTCTGATTCACTTAACAACTATGTTACTAATTTAACGACTGCAGTGATTCACTTAATAACTGTAACAAGAAAGGTTGTAAAATGGGGCAAAACTCAATAATTGTCTCGCTTAGCAACATAAATTTTGGGCTCAATTGTGGTCATAACTTGAGGACTACCTATGTATGTATGCATACACACACACACATACACACACACACATTTATATTTCATATATCTAGACTGCTCATCTCCCCCAAAGATTTGGTGCCTGCTTTCTTCCATTTTTCTATCTCTGGGGGCTGCACAATATACAGGTACATAAGCTTGAGGGTTAGGAATATATTACTATCCCCTTTTATTAGTCTGTAAAGAAAAAGAGCAATAATACTTATCCTAGGGTCAGTTGGCTAATTTGGTCATTAATATGCTATATGCTCATTATCTAAATAAGACAACAAATGCTGCTTCATATATCATCAAATTCTTGCATGGATGTCCAACACTGAATTTTTTTTAATGTTGAAAATTGCTTGATTTCTGCATGCATATCTTGACATATTCTAAACACATTGACAACATGTGAAATGATGCCAGGTAGTATGCCTGTAGACAGTCTATGACAGCAACTCTGTTAATTGCTGTGGATACAGAAATAAGACCACTACCAATAAGTCTTGGTCTTCGTTTCAACAGAGAGGAAACAATGAAGCCAAAGCAAAACCAGAATTTTACTTTTTTATCTTGAATGCTGATGAAATTATAACAGTTTTTCCTGTCTCACTCTTCCAGTTTCATGCATGTTATTCCTAAGTGACATACGTAGTTTATTTATTAGCTTGGGAGATCCAAAGACTAAAGAGTCTGGCATAATGATTTTTTTTTCCTTATCTAAAAAAATGATCAGTTCCCTTTTCAAATAATTCAACAATAATACCAAAAACTGCAACTTATCGTTGTGATATGCTATTTTTGATTTCTTTGGTTTTTTTCAGCATCAGTAACTAGCTTCCTGACAGTCTTGGCATGGTATCCTAATACCTTGCTGCGAACATGGTGCCTTGTACTTCACAGCCTAACTCTCATGACAAACATGCAGTTCAATTGTAAGTTCAAGTTAAGTTTGAAATGTAGTTATCGTTTTATAAAATAGGATATTTTAAAAATTGTTTTGCCTAAAAGTAGTAGACACCAAAAATTGATGCCTCATTTTAATCAGTGTATTTGTTAAAATATCAGCATAAAATAAGAACCTCTTATATTAATTCAGTGTATGGAACATGGAGAATTACTGATCAAATGAATCTAGATTTCAATTCACAACATATGCTTTGTGTAGACCAGGGCTGTCAAACTCCCAGCCTGCAGGCTGGATGCGTCATGCACTGGCCACACCCGGTTTAGCAAAGGGTAAAAAAGTTCCAATACGTCACATGACGTCACCGTGACAACATGAGTTTGACACCCTGGTGTAGACCATATCAACTCCATAAGTTTATACTGAATAGTGGATAGCAATGACTGGATAGGGAATATCTCCATTAGCAGCAGTATACCTGAAAATACTTTTCATGCATCCAGCACTTAATTTTTAAAAATCTGTTCTTAAAAAGCAAATTGAAAAATTGACATACTTGAAAGAAAAGATCAATTTCTAAATGCATTTATTAGGACTGTATGACTGTTTGGGGTTCAAAACAGTTGTTCTACCCTAAGCAAAAAATGTTCCCATACCGTTCTAGTCTGAAATGTATTGACTTTGCAATAATTCTGTTTTAAATTCAGATTGAGTCCAAACACTTAAGAAAGGGCTGGGACACTTCCAGTGAAGTCAGAACAGCTGTCTCCAGCCCAAAATACAGATTATGGATTTGAAACAAAGTATTTCTGAGAATTCAAAACATTTTTAATTTGATACATTTTGCAGATCACTTACATTTATTAGCATAGGCTGCATAAGCATTCTTAGCAAGTGAAAACTGGATGGATATAGATTCCTGCTTGTGTGGTATGGTCACATACACAGAAAAGGAAGACAATGTTAAAGTGGAATAGTCATATGCATCCTTAGGTGCTACTGTGTCTTCTGATATTTGTGTGTTTTGTGACTATGTCCAACCAAATACTTTGTTAAAGACTTACCGTACTCATAGTAGCCATTTTGTGAGAATATCTGTAAGCATCCATGATCTGCTTTCCAAATTCTGTAAGCCCCAAAGATGCATTATTTATTCCCAGTTTTGATAACCTTGATAAATAATCTTGATAAACACAGCTGTTGCTCTCCTACATGTATTTCCCCCATACAGCTTGGCTGCTTGAAACTGGTGGCCCTTCTTTTGTTTTGAAAGTGGCAGATGGAGCTATGAAAGAGATCCGGTAGTTTATGACTAAGTATTTAAGACATTCACCAAGGCAACTAGAGACTAGGGTCTCTTTTAAATAACAGAATGAAATCCCTACTTTATTAAATGAAGACATTTAGGAATGTCTTCAGGTACTGCCTAGAACATGCAAATTAATTCTGATAGTTAGAAAGGAATGTATTTTAAAATTCAGAATTTCAGAATGCTGTATATATAGAATGAACATTTCAGAGTCATATATCAGGTACTATAATTTAAGCTGAAGAGCCAACCTCTTATTTGTTTTACAGCTGGTTCTAGTAGTGCCATTACATCTCAGGAAAGTACTGCCCAGCTATTGGTATCAGATCCTAATCTTATTCATATTTTAGTGAAGTTTCTTTCTGGAACAAATCCCCATGGAACAAATCAACATAGTCCACAGGTAATATTTTTCATTCATATTAATTTTGTTTGCTGATTTGGTTTATATACTATCTTTATTTTTGTATTATTCGGGTAGTCAGTTGGAAGCATGTATGTTAATCTTTTAAGAGAAATAATATGAGTATTCAAACCTACCAATTAACATTGCAGTTTTAAATGTGAATATGTAGATCTCTCTTTCCTTGAAATCAGAATGGAATGCAATTTTAATCACATTAAATAGTTTAATCACAAACTATTTCAGACAATGTAGTTATTCAGAATATAATGCAAATATTTCTTTAAATCTCTTTCAGGTTGGCCCAACAGCCACCCAAGCTATGCAAGAATTCCTTACTCGTTTACAAGTGCATCTTTCTTCAGCATGCCCTCAGATGTTCAGTGAATTTTTATTAAAGTTGATACATATTCTTTCAATTGAGAGGTAATGTTTATTATAAATACCAAAATTTATAGTTTTGGACTATAGAAACATTGCATATGTTTCTTTTTAGAATTTGTCAATTTTCAGCAAATGGATATTAAATTACCATGTTTCTGACTTGTTAAACATATTAAAACTATTCCTGGAAACAGGAATTGAGGAGAAAAAAACAGTTTTATCTGAATTCATAATTAAACAATAAACCCTAACCATAATTATTTTGGACCATGCAAAATAAAACTGAAAGCCGTCAGCATGAAATTCTGTTGGCAAGCCAAGAGAATGATTAAAATAAAATAAAAAAATCCAACAGGAGCAATACATGTAAACAATAAAGACGGTATCTAAGATCATGGAAGTTATTTAGTGATGCATTGTTCTTTGAAGTTTACAATAAAAATGAGCAGTGGTTCAGAAAATGAATCAGAAACTAGGTGTATGCAAACAAAGGAAAGGGCTACTTTATGAACCATATTGGCTCAGGCACCCCTGCTTTACAGAGTGCCCTTTAGTTTGGTGGGCTTGTTTCCCCAATCCCTAGTTACAATAATACTAAGATCCTATCAACATTGCTGTTCTTTGAATCATTTGAAGCAGCTGGGGTGGGGAGGGTAAGCTTTTCATCAAGTGTAATGATGCCCAACATTTTGGGCTTAGTGAGTTCTATTAACTGCCACAGAACTCTTCCCAGTTTATGTAAGCAGGAATGGTTCATTTATATATGACGTGCTACACAGCAAGACAAAATTATGCACTTGGAATATGTTTTCTAGAAGAAAAAATTAAAAGATTAATTAAAAATAATTGATGAAATGATTGTTGCTTAAAATATAAGCAACAATCTCCAATGTTTAATGTTCAATATAAATCATAAATATTTAAATAATGGTTAATGGTTGAAAAATGGGAAAAAAGAGGAAGAGTGTGTTACTGAAACCTGTTTGTACTATTTTCTCTTATGTTTCATTCCTTTTTTTTATTTTTGTGTCTTCTGATATTTATTTTTATTTCTATGCGGTTTTTTGGCTAGGCTTATATAACAAAATATGCAGTATGTATACCTGCATGTATTTTGATTTTCATCAGCCGAAATAACCCCAATTTGCATTTCCCTTTATTTCTAGGGGTGCTTTCCAGACGGGCCAGGGTCCTCTGGATGCACAAGTGAAGCTTTTGGAATTTACCCTTGAGCAGAATTTTGAAGTCGTTTCAGTGAGCACCATTTCTGCTGTCATTGAATCCATCACATTTCTAGTGCACCATTACATTACGTGTACCGATAAAGTGATGTCTCGTAGTGGTTCTGATAGTTCAGTGGGCGCTCGAGCTTGTTTTGGAGGCCTCTTTGCTAATATCATCCGGCCAGGGGATGCCAAAGCAGTCTGTGGAGAGATGACGAGGGATCAGCTCATGTTTGATTTGCTCAAGTTGGTCAATATCCTGGTTCAGCTGCCTCTTTCAAGCAACAGAGAGTATAGTGCTCGGGCTCAGGTGGCTAGCAGCACCATGGACAGTGTTTCCGATGAAGAAAAGGTTTCTGGTGGAAAAGATAGCAATGGAAACAGTGGGAATACTCAAGGCTCCACTGTCTATGTAGCTGACCTAGTCTTAGCAAACCAACAAATTATGAGCCAGATTCTGTCTGCTTTGGGCCAGTGTAACAGCAGTGCTATGGCAATGATCATTGGTAGGTATTTTAATTATGCATTTATATAATTTCTGTATCCTGCTTAACCATCTCAAAAGATCAGAGCAATTTCTGTGCAATTCTTAGGTAATCTATAATTCTGCCTGCTGTCGTTCAGCTACACCAGTATTTAAATAAGTTGGCGCTAGAGTTTTTGTTTGTAAGAATACTCTGTATTTCAAATATTTTTATATAACATGAATGAATGAATGAATGAATGGTCATGTGCAATCAAGACATTTTTGACTCCTAACAACAACACAGACGGATAAGATGGAATAAGTTCAGATAATATGACACATGTTTTTTATCCCTGAATTATTATGGGTAACACTGTATATTTTTCAGCAAACTAACAAAAGAATTGGAAATGACACAAATAAAAATCTCAGTGTTAAACCCTATTCTTCCCACATACCAATCAATCTCAAATTTTCCTTTAAAATTTATTTTAAAAAATGGAGAATGGTGTGCAATAATTGGAAAATATCCATACCAAATTAGAAATATTATACAAATAATAGAATAAAATGCAGCAAAATAAATGTATTTAAGGAAAATCAAAACAATTGAAACAGAAAAAGAAACTGAATAACATTTCCTTTAAAATGCTTTAGCAAACGTATATATTTATTCATTAGGTACACATTCCACTTTTCCTCCAAAAACTCAAAATGGCATATGTAGCATTTCATCCTTCAATTTATATCCACAATAACAACTTTGCTGCTACCTGTGAAGTAACTTGAGCTGACCAGCCCAAAGTCACCAAGGGAACCTCCATGGTTTCTAGTCAATTTGAATGTATTTCCCTATTCCTAATCTACCAGTTTAATCACCATACCATATTGTCTCTTAATTTGGCACTGGAAAGAGTGCAGAGTTTGTAGCAGTCAAACATTCTTGTAAACATTCTAGAGTTGTTTTACTATATAAAGTGTCATTGATTTCTATGAAATACATACACACACAAACACACACACTATAGAGAGAGAAAATTCGGTTTCCATCCATACTAAATCAAATTACTTAGTACGTAATTGACTCAGAATATGATGTCTTAATATGTGAATGGGTATGTTTGTCTCAGTAGTCTGTAATGCTTGTGCATTTTCAGAAAGTAGTTCAAGAAGATAGCTTTTGAGGGGGGAAGGTCCCACTCATAACAGTGTGAAGAACATAAAATGATCTACTATTATTGTTATTTTATATTATATTATATTGCCCATTGAACCCTCAAAAATGCACTGAAAATGACATTATAAATCAGCTTTTGCATTTCTGTTTTGTCATTAACATGCATAATAGTGAAATATGAGTATGCTAAACTTACTGTCTTGTATGCTATTTGTCCTTCAATAAGAAACATGAGCTGATAATTTTATAGTACTTTTTTGGAAAGGTTGAAAGATCATCCTGAATTAAATGGATAATGCTATCTTAAATAGTTCACTGTTTCCCAGTGCCTTCAGATTTATACAATTCTTTATATCCTAGGGGCCAGTGGTTTACATCTTACAAAACATGAGAATTTTCATGGAGGATTGGATGCCATATCAGTTGGAGATGGATTATTTACTATACTAACAACACTCAGTAAAAAAGCTACAACGGTGCAAGTGATGCTTCAGCCAATTCTTACCTATATGGCCTGTGGATATATGGGGAGACAAGTAAGTGTTCAAAGAATTACCTTGTAATTGATTTCTTATCCTCTCTCTCCCTCTGCTGAAGACTTTGGGAAGTTGTTTGGACTGCTGATGACAGCCTTTTTTGTGTTATAAACTTGGACTGAATTAAATAGGGATCCACTGAAGAAAAGAAGCAATGAATGTTTAATCTAAATCTGGTCAGTTGACTTAGTTGCTCTTGTAGTTCTTTTCAGTAAGTTCTTTTTTTCAGCCCAGCTATTAAACATGGAGGACTCCTTTAAATTACACTGAGATGAAAATGTTAACTCATATTTTACTCATATAAGCTGTAGACATTATTCTTTGCAATAGGTATAATGGGCATTGGCAGATTTGTTTCACTGTTCTTCAGTTAACTTCAAACTGAATTTTAGTTTCAGAAAAAAAGTTGTTCAGATATTGTGAGAATTGTGTTATTTCATTTATTTTAATTGTTTAAAATAAAAACAGAAAAAAACATAGAAAAATGATCTAGTAGATCATTGTTCCTCTGTAGCATGAAGCCAACTTATATGGTTAACTTATCAATTGATTATGTACATCTAGGTAAATGGTTTTTTGTTTTTTGTTTTGTTTCCACTAGGGTTCTCTTGCCACTTGCCAGTTGTCTGAACCCTTGCTATGGTTCATTTTAAGAGTGCTGGATACCAGTGAGGCACTGAAAGCTTTTCATGATATGGGTAAGGATCTTCTTTTCCATTTTCTATAAATATACTGAAATTACAATCAAAGCAATCAAAATTTCAATCAAAACAGGTTTGTACATGAGCTAAAAGATTCCTTGTGTCCCTACCCAGCCTTCCCAATTTGTGTACTTCAGACTGCACTTTTGCTCTAAGAGTTTTTGATTATTAAGAGAACAGGAAAAAGGAAGGGACCACGTGAGGGGAAATAGTTGCAAAATGGCTGGTCTCAAATATGGTTTAAATTCTGATCAAAGAATTTTGAACATCCTCTCTTTGTATAGGCATAATTTTTTCCAGATTTTTAATAAACTGTTCTCGGCTTTTTGTCAAAACTGGTTAAATTGTAACCGATCATATTGTTATTCTCTTTCTGTTATTGACTTTTTTTCTTAGGAGGTGTTCAGCTCATTTGCAATAACATGGTGACCAGTACCAGAGCCATTGTAAACACAGCGAGAAGCATGGTTTCAACTATTATGAAATTCTTAGACTCTGGCCCTAGCAAGGCAACAGATGGTACTTTGAAAGCAAGAGTACTAGCCTCTGAGCCTGATAATGCAGAAGGGATCCACAATTTTGCACCATTGGGTAAGTTACGTATCCCTATATTTGGTATTATTTTGAAACACAGTAGAATAGAATGTGTTGACAGGTTTTGAGGAAAACTCAGATTTTGCAAAATAATATTAAATTACTAGAGAAAACAGAATGGGGGCTGCAGCCAAGAAATTAAAAGATGCTTGCTCCTGGGGAGGAAAGCTATGGCAAATCTAGACAGCATTCTAAAGAGCAGAGACATCACCCTGCCAAAAAAAGTGCATATAGTCAAGGCTATGGTTTTCCCAGTTGCAATGTATGGTTGTGAAAGTTGGACTATAACAAAGGCTGAGCGTCAAAGAATTGAAGCATTTGAACTATGGTGCTGGAGAAGATTCCATTGAGTCCCTTGGACTACAAGGTGATCAAACCAGTCGGTCCTAGAAGAGATCAACCCTGACTGCTCTTTAGAAGGCCAGATCCTGAAGATGAAACTCAAATACTTTGGCCAGCTAATGAGAAGGAAGGACTCACTGGAGAAGAACCTAATGCTGGGAAAGATTGAGGGCAAAAGAGGAAGGGGACGACAGAGAATGAGATGGCTGGATGGAGTCACTGAAGCAGTAGGCGTGAGCTTAGATGGACTCTGGGGGATGGTAGAGGATAGGAAGGCCTAGAGGAACGTTGTCCATGGGGTCGCAATGGGTTGGACACGACTTTGCAACTAACAACAACAACAAGAGAAAACAGAAGGAATAATATTTGGTACAATAGGTACAAAATGTTACATTAGTATAAAAAGGAGGACTATGCAGGGAGTCATGATCATTTCAGGTATCATGAAATAGGTTTTCTGAAATGTTGAACAAGAATGTTTGCCACAAAATTTTGCTATATATCACAGTTCTAAAATTTGTAAGAACTGTACAGAATTGTTAAAGGTATATATTATCTAGCCTTTGGCTAAGATTTGATATAACAGAATAACAAATTTGGCAGGGACTTTGGAGGTCTTCTAGTCCAATCCCCTGCGCAAGCAGGAAACTCTATATCATACCAATCTCTTACACAAAGAAAAATATGGAGAGATTTACATTGTAACCGTTTCACCATTAAATTTGATTTACATATGTTTTAGTCATGTTTAATAAGTGTTACTTTTAGAGCTTCAGTTGTATAGCAGCTCAGATAAGAACATGATTTAAAGTCATTGCATTTAACCATAGCTTTTTTGAATTAAAATCACTAGATGTTCCTTGTTTCATTGTAACTAAAAGAAAATTTAAACACTTGAGCGTTTTTTAAAGATTTTGCTTCTCACAGTGACCAAAACTCCCATTATGCTTTTTGGTTCAGAAACTTTAGATGTGATAATCATTAGCAAAAATCTTATCTTTGCAAATACTTTCGGAACATTTTTTTAAAAAACTGTTTAGTATCTCCCCACCACCAACACCACTGTAAAAGCCTTTCCAGAGAGTTGTAGTTCAAATTTATATTAAGTGTTTTTGATTGTTTAATGTATCTTTAAATATGAGAGCAGACCATGTAATTAGATGCTCTATCTTCCCCTGAGATAACAAATATTTCTCTGACAGTATGAAGCATGACTGAAAACTAAGAACTTCTATTTAGGCCAATCACAATTTATAAACATTTGTATTAAGTTTCTGTCTTTCTTACTCTCTCTGTGGGAAATACATAAAAATTGTCTGTTGTTATGAGGAATGCATCTACTATTGTGGCAATTTCTGTCAACTAGTAAGGGCAAAGATCATGTGACATATTTTGTCCTAGACTTGTTCCGGGTGGATTTCATTTAAATCAAGTTGATTTAAATCACTAGTAAAATGGCTTGATTTAAATCAACTTGATTTAAATCATAATTTTTAAAGAGCAACTGTCATCTCTGTCCTGCAATAGCTCCTCCTCTGACCTGCTGTTGACTCACCAACCATCCCAATATTGCAGAATATACAGTCTCATGCTACATAACTAAGCTCCATTTCATGCTGAATAAACTAAATTATTAATGTATCTTAAATAGAAAACTATCTTTAGATAGATTTTTAGTCCAGAAACATTTTATTAAGATAAATTTGATAAAAATAAAAAAAAAATCCAATTTAAATTTTAAAAATCCAATTTAAATTTTAAAAAAATGTTTTTTTAAAAAATATCGATTTTTATCCACTCTGGGCTTGATGCCAGGGAACTTCAAATCTTCCTTACCTTTCACCGAAGACAGCATTTTTTTCAATAGCTATCCTCTATAATACTTCCTTTCTCCGGAATGGCCAGAAAATCAAGTTTACACTTTCTTATTTGTTCAGGCAGTCAGTTCCACAGACAATTACTTCCAGCAGAAACAAGATGGGAGATACTTAACTTGTTAGACACTTTGTGGGCCTATATATTCTGTCCAAAGACCATTATCAATTACATTTCTTATATCTGATAGATGGTCTTATGACAGCCCTCCTTTCTAAAGTAATGGGAGGGCTTTTTCTTAGAGACCTGGGTGAAAGATGCCAGGAGAGCTTACTTGAAGAGTGTCATTGTTTACAGGCTTTCTCTATACAGTATATCAGGTTTGCATAGAGATCACCCTTCAAAATTAAATTTTAAAGTCTCTTTCTTTACAATAGAGGTGGGTCACTCTTTCTCTAATCGTTCATCAGTTACCATTTCATTCATTCTGGAGAATAGAGTATAGAGAATTATCCATTCTCATTCTTGCTGCCTGATTAGATTAACAGTGTATCTTTCTACTATGCATACACTCAAACTCAGCCACAGTCAGTACTTGGAAGGATACAATGTAAATGCACAAAGCCTAAAGTAAAGATGTAAATTACATTATCTCTGCCAATCTACGCAATAAAGTTAAGCCTTATGATGCCTTTTTCAAACCAAGTCAGAAGGAACCTTCCCATGAACTGTGTAGCATTATCATTTTAATGGAAGTGAAATACTCAGTGATTGACAGCACACGTATAATATTTATTTGTTCTAGTTGCATATAAAGAACAGTGAGTAGAATATATTTAGCCACAAATGGAGTTCAACTGTTTGCCCATGGGCAACACAGATACTAATATTTTCTTTTCTCTTTTGGCTTTTTGATCATTTGCAAGTTTATCTGGCATATTTTTTAAATTAATGGCAATTATTTATTGAAGGCTCAATTACGTCAAGTAGTCCTACAGCCCAGCCTGCTGAAGTATTGCTACAGGCTACTCCACCACATCGAAGGGCTCGATCTGCCGCTTGGTCTTACATCTTTCTACCTGAGGAAGCCTGGTGTGACCTTACAATTCATCTCCCTGCTGCAGTGTTGCTAAAAGAAATACATATTCAGCCACATCTTGCCTCTCTTGCAAGTAGGTATCTTCACAATACCTCAGTTGTTGTTGTACAGTAAGGAAAGTCTTTTGAAGTGGTATTACTGTGAGAAAATAAGAGTGCTGTTAACACTATCTGATTCTAAGTTCCATCTTAAAGATCTTAAAACATGCTGGGTCTATGCCAAATGATGTACAGTTTTAAATCTATTGTAAAATTCAAACTTTGAAGAAAGGATCTGTCTTAAAAGAACTGACAAAGTTCTAGAAGCTAAAATGGACAACTTTCAAAACTCTTACATTTATTATCGACATTATATAGAGTGTGGAAAACAAATAAATTAAAAGTCATAAGATAAAAAGAAACATAGCTATAAATAGTTCACATCAAAACTATTCACCATACAGTACTTGTCCACACCTTTCTGTCCTCCAAGCCATCCATACTTCTGCTATATTTATGCACTATACTGTTTTAAATGTAAGTTTGTGATCTTTTCTTAATTTAGTTAATTTAGTTCTTGGAGAGAGAAACTCCTTACATTTAATAACTTCATTCTTTGTTGTACCTTTTTTAATTTGACCTATACATACCAGCTATTTCTCTATTGGTTTTGAGTAACCTAAAAGCTATCTTATTTGGCCCTCCCTCTCGTTATAGTTTTATCTACTTCCTCATTTTGAGAAGTTGCAGACATTAATAGCAGCCATTTGTTTCGGATAATCTCAATACTTGTTTTTTACAAAGCTTAATATTTTAGGATTATAATTCCCTCTTCCCTTTGTTAGTTCCATAACCAACTGTTCCAGGTGCTATGAGTGTGTGCAGACATATGCCACAAGATTTCATGGTTTTACTTATGCAACAGCATATAGGCTTATATATCACCCTATAGTCCTTTGCAGCAGTCTCTGAGTGGGTTACAATGTAAGCATTATTTGTATATTGCCCCAACAATCTGGGTCTTTATTTTACTGAACTTGGAAGGCTATTGCCATTCCATATGTTTGTATTTATTTTATGTTTTAAAGTAATGAAATTGATTTCTGTAAATTTTGTTCTATATATAAATACATGTGAACTTTTCTATCTCTACAGCATGCCCTTCTTCAGTGTCTGTTGAAATAAGTGCAGATGGGGTGAACATGTTACCTTTGTCAACACCTGTTATCACAAGTGGTCTTACCTACATAAAAATACAGCTTGTGAAAGCTGAAGTTGCCTCAGCTGTGTGTCTTCGCCTTCATCGCCCACGGGATGCTAGCACATTAGGACTATCTCAGATTAAACTACTTGGACTCACTGCCTTTGGTAACACTTCGTCTGCAACAGTCAATAATCCATTCCTTCCTTCTGAAGACCAGGTATCTAAAACAAGGTATGTTTTATCAGTAGAGATATCAGATTAATTCATTTTTTCCTATGTGAAACAGTTTTGTTATATTATAAGACTTAATGGATATTATTATTCATACTGTCCCTCCAGCAAACCTCAGGCTTAGCAGGGGAGGGGGAGTTGTGTGGAGATATGCCGACTCACATTTCTCTAAATATCATTCCAAGTATGACAGTCGGGCTTGAAAATAGACTTCCAGTTGCAGTTCTTATACAGATTGCACCTGTTTCTGTAATGATATTTGAGAAAGATTTTGGGAGACAGAGCAAAGAGACTCTGCCTAGGGAATAAACAGATAAGAGACTGCATAGCCCACAACTCGATAAGTGGGTAGGGCAAGATGCTGAGAAGAGACCCTCCCTAATTTCTCAGGCAATAACAAAGATGGTGGGAGAAGTGTATTTTCAAGTTTGCAAGATTCTGTTAATGTAGTTTTATAATGAAGAAATAGCTTATCTGATCAATCTCCTGTCTGGTCTACCTAGTGAGTCTGACAGTCCCCTATGGCGACTAGACTTCAACAAACATTTGAATTTCTTTGAAGTTTGTTGGCTTAATATATAAGCCTTTAATGGTTATTGCCCCTCCTTTTATACCTTTGTTCATTTTCTGAAATCTATATCTTTTCCACTAATTAGATTTGGGAAATAACCGTAAATAATTCTTTTCTGTTCGGGAAGCATTGGATTATAAATTTAGGCCTCACAGACAATTTGGAAGTCATGAAGAATCAATTTTCTGACAAGCAAGTCCAGAGGAGGTTTTTTTTTACTTTTAAAATTTGGATTTTGAAGTTTCATATCATTCTCATTGTAACTCATACCAAAGTGGCCTATAACATAAACAACCCTAGCCTGTAATTTTGATCTGAGGAGCTGTGAACAGGGTTAACCCTAATTTCTGAATTTGAAGTCTACATATCTCAACAGAGGGGTTTTCTTTCAAAATAAATACTACATTCTTTTCTTTTTTTTTTTAATAAATTGGATAAACCTGCAAAGTGGGGGGGGGACAGTACTTTCAATTTTGCACTCCAACTTACATAATAATTAAGTTTTGTGTTGAAGTCAAGATGGAATCGGTTTTAATTGTGCTTCTGTCTTTTCCAGCATTGGATGGTTAAGGCTGCTGCATCATTGCCTCACTCACATAAGTGATTTAGAAGGAATGATGGCTAGTGCTGCAGCACCTACTGCCAACCTGTTGCAGACATGTGCTGCTCTCCTGATGTCACCATACTGTGGCATGCATTCTCCAAATATTGAGGCAGTACTTGTAAAAATTGGACTTCAGTCCACTAAAATAGGCCTCAAGCTAATTGACATTCTTTTAAGAAATTGTTCTGCCTCTGGAAGTGACCCTACAGGTAAGAGAATAGTTTGATCTCTTTATAGTTTTAAGCTTGGTGAGATTTCTGCTCACAAAAAGGAAGTTGTATTAGTAGATTATCATGCATTTAGATATAGTGAGAATTGAAAATGTGTCTTGATTTTTCCAATTTGGTAGCTATGTTTTCAAACTGTAATTACAAGTAGAAACTTGGGAAAATGTTTTTTTTTCTTAATTAAAAACTATTAAAATATCTTGGCAGACCAGTGAATTATATGTGTATCGTCCTTAGTAATTTTTTTAAACTTTTGTTTATATGAGAAGATTTGAATAGCCCCTTACTTTTTGGAAGATTAAATGGCCTGTCTTCTGACTCCACAATTGACATTCTCTATCAGCTTGGGACTACTCAGGACCCTGGAACAAAAGAAAGGTACCGTAAATATTTTCTTTTTAAATAGATATAAAAATTTGAGCTTCACGAAAGGAAAACTAATAAATTTGGCATTTGGTAATTAGAACAAAATTTGCTTTTACTCAGCAGTACAGATAGCATCCTCCTTTTTTATTTTGAGTTTCTTGTTGTAAAGTATACTAAAATCCCAAATGTTAGGAGTGGATAAACTCTGTGAAGGCAACCTGTATGTGTGAATCACTGAACATAAAGACAAGATATAAAAACCAGAGCAAATTAATTTTAGACATTTGTGATATTGTTTGATTGTTGTGAGATGCCCAGAGTCATTGAAAGTCAGGCACCTTACAAGTTTAATAAATTGTGGTTGATTACATAGTCAGCCAGATGTTTAGACTGGATTTGACATGTTTATCTACCTACGAAGTCTTCCCCAAGAACCTAGAATAGGCAGATACTGCTATTGAATTGTTTTGAAATAATTTTCAGTTTGAGATTATTTTTAGCTTGTGTGCTGGTTTAAAATTTGTTTTTCTCCTACATTCATATTCACATTTTCTCAAAACTGTTTCACAGTATTGTTACTATGTATTATTGTAGTGCTGTTGTGGGTTTTTTGTGTTTTGTTTTTTTTCTATCTGTGCCACCAAGAGTAATTTTAACAGCGGCAGCATAGAAATAGATTCACTAAATATACCTCAAAAGGCTCCTACCCTTGTAGCCTTTCAGAAAGCTGTAAAAACTTGTCATTTATCCCAGATATTAGGCTAGAATGGGGAGGAACTGATGGATATTAGGTCACCATGGTGGGGAGTGTATGAGTGACATTACTGTTTAAATTGATTTTTTGGTGAGCTGTTTAGGATTATTATATGTAAGACAAGTAGCCATATAAGTTTTACAAATAAATAAATATACCTACCATATGCCTTCTTAATGTATTTCCATCTTCTAGAATTCAAGCTTTGTTGAAATGGGTCAGTGATTCTGCAAGAGTTGCAGCTATGAAAAAAAGTGGCCGAGTTAACTATGTCTGTCCAAACAGTTCGACAAGAGAATATGGTCTTCTCATGCCATCTCCTTCACATTTGCATTGTGTAGCAGCAATTTTATGGCATAGCTATGAATTGCTTGTAGAATATGACTTGCCAGCATTGTTGAACAGAGAACTCTTTGAGTAAGTAGCCTATGCATTAGTTTTACTAAGTGATAGAGGTCTGGACTAGAGCTTCATGTGTTTTTTTAAATCTCTGCAATGCTTGAGTGCCACAAACACTCAAGTACTTAAACATAAATTGTTGATGTAATAAAATTGTATCCACAAAAAATGGCTTTCTCACAGATTCTTTGCTCTCTATATGTATGTTTTACTGATTTTTTTTTCATACATTTTTGACAAAAAGCTGATACAAGTAATCCTTGATTTACTACCATTCGTTTAGAGACCATTCAAAGTTACAACAGTACTGAAAAAAGTGACTTACAACTGTTTTTCACACTTGTTACGGTTGCAAATATCCCCATGGTCACATGATCAATTCGGATGCTTGACAACTGACATGTATTTATGACAGTTGTAGTGTCACGAGGTCATGTGTTCACCTTTTGACAAGAATAACAATGAGGAAACCAGATTCACTTAACAACCATGTTACTAATTTAATAATTGTGGCAAGAAAGGTCATGAAATGGGGCAAAACTAACTTAACTTTTGCTTAGCAACAGAACTTTGGGCTCAATTGTTGTCATAAATCGAGGACTCCCTGTATGGTAAAAAAAATTTTAAATGCACAAAGCTAAGTGACTGTCTGTTACAATGATTATCATTCAGAAATAGGAACCTAGTTTTCCATATACATTCATAATCTAATCTGTTTGTTTGGACAATGTCTATATCTCTTGTGGAAGAGTCTTTTCATTTTTCACTTAAAATGTGGGCATGCAGTAAATGCTTTGATTCTAGAACAGGTCTATTTACCTACAAAAACTTCCTTTTTTTAGGAAGTGTTAATTTTAGAATTTCAGTTTAAAAAATTACCTCTCTTAATTGGCAGGCCTAGTCCCTCTTAAGGCAGTAATTTATTTTGTGTCATTAAAAAAATATAAGAAACTTAACTCTACAAATATTTTCAGTAGGATCTGCATTCAAATAAACCCCAAGTCCTGAACAGAAATAGGGTGGTTTGGCCTGAATCTTCAGTATCTTCAGATAATGAAGAAGGAATCTGCGACAGTCAAGATCTGTAGCTAAACCACAGGAAAACTTCCGATTTACATTAATTTGAGGCTCTGGAACTATAAATTTGATGAATTTATAGTTCCAGAGCCTCAAATTAATGTAAATTGGAGACAATAATACTTTGAGAAAAAAAGAATTTGTTTAGAATTTGAAAATTACCTGAAATATTAGTTTTATTTGATTTTATGTCTCCCTTTTTATTTGCTGACATAAGCTTTTTAGAAATCTCTTGTGTTGTTGTTCTTCAACTATAATGGCAAACTAGTAGCTATTGGCCTCAGTAACTTCCCCAGTGACTCAAAATCCATATTATCAATACTTTGTCATTCAGTCTGCTTTTTCTGTTATCTGTGTTTAAACAGAATGATTGAATTCAAGGCTAGCTTATGTGTCATTAATATATACGGTTTTCTAATTAGTTTTTTCTTTCTCCTTAGGTCTCTGTTTAATTGGTCCATGTCTCTTCCATGCAATGTGGTTTTGAAGAAAGCTGTTGATAGTCTCCTTTGTTCTATGTGCCATATTCATCCAAGTTATTTTTCGTTACTCATGGGGTGGATGGGTATTACTCCTCCCCCTATCCAGTTGCAACACAGACTGTCCATGACAGATGACAGCAAAAAACAGGATCTTACTTCGTCTTTAACAGATGACTCTAAAAATGCACAAGCTCCCCTTGCACTAACTGAATCACACTTGGCCACTCTTGCTGCCTCATCACAGTCTCCTGAAGCTATTAAACAGCTATTGGACTCAGGGTTGCCCTCCCTCCTTGTAAGAAGCCTTGCAAGTTTTTGCTTTAACCATACTTCTGCCTCTGATTTCAGTAGTCCATCAACAGACAATTCCCAAGATAGGATAAGAAGACACCACGTTCCACAGCACTTTCATAAAATGCCCATCACAGCAGATTTAGTTGCTCCTGTACTCAGATTCTTGACAGAGGTTGGAAACAGCAACCTTATGAAGGACTGGTTAGGTGGCTCTGAAGTCAATCCACTATGGACAGCACTTTTATTTCTACTCTGCCATTCTGGTGCTACTTCTGGAGGACATGCTGCAGCACCACAACAAAATAGTGCTAGACCTACTTTGCTTACTTCAGCTTCAGGAGCAGGACTGACTACTCAGCAGAGAACAGCAATTGAAAATGCTACCGTTGCATTTTTCTTGCAGTGTATTTCTTGCCATCCAAATAATCAAAGATTGATGGCTCAGGTAACATAAAAATTAATCTGAATAGTCGATGTAGCATAAAATATCACTTTAGTTGGATTTGAAGGACTGGTTGAGAGCTTCTTTTTCTGAGATTTCCTTGTGGTGTGGCTAACTCTTCTATTCTGGCACCTATGATGAGATCAGAATTTAGTAATTGTGGTGCAGAACAACACAGTAACCTTACAGAATAAAGATCTTGGAACTGCTGAGATTCTTATGCTACTGTATAACATGGCAAGCAACTTCAAGAACATACATAGCAATAGCAATTTTTACTACAGATCAGAATGGGTTCTAACTGTGTTAGGGATCGAGAATGGTCTGTTTCAAGGTCTAGGCACGAGGTAGGGTTGGAATAACTCATTCCAACAGTGGAATGTGAGTTTAGTGAAGTTCCTGTAGGTATACTCTGAAAGACCTGATTTAAGAGTTATAAAGGGAAAAAATTGGTGAAATCGATAGATCAACAAATGTATGCTCTATTGTAGATACAACTAAATAAATATTCATAATTATAGCTCATGAATACTTATAACTGTGTCTGAATGTTTTTTCTCCATTCATTTCATAGGTTCTTTGTGAACTCTTCCATTCCTCTCCTCAAAGAAGCAATCTCCCAACATCTGGAAATATTTCAGGGTTTATTAGAAGGCTTTTTTTGCAGCTGATGCTGGAGGATGAAAAAGTGACAATGTTTCTTCAGTCACCTTGCCCAGTAAGTTATCTCTCCACATTCACTAGTACCACTGCTACCTACCCTCATTGCTAGGTAAAACTCACGGTAGGTACAAAAATAAAACTTCATCATATCTGTTCCTACTAAAAAGAAAATATCAAAATATATTTTTCCAGCCCTGGTGATATAGATTAGCCTTGCTCAACCAATAACTATATATTACACAGTTCTTTTACAATATATATAGTTATTCCAATTTTATTCATAATCATTGATTCGGTAAATTGTCCATATGCATAATCCTGATCTATATAATTCCTTATACTAAAATTTAGATAATAACCTTGAAAATCATAAGGTGCAAAAGGAGTATATACTTCTCACATCTTGACAAATCCTATATTTTACCATCTGTTATTATTTATTATGCCTCAGTTGCTAGTGTAATACATTTCCATGTTAATTACTTAATCCAATTGCCATTCATTGCTCCTGAATAATGGGATCATCTCTATTGCTTTTGTTCTTTGTTGTGTAGCGTGTGCTGTTCCTTTCTTTTTCCTTTTCAAGTAAAGAAGTTTAGAACATCCGTTTCATCTTGGTAGCTGTTCACTGTAAATCACTGTAATTAATCTGTTTCTGAACTTTTTTTTTGGTAATGCTTTAATAGAAAAAGTATACCCTATTTCTTTTAATTACTCAAGGTCACAAAAACTGTGCACAAAGATTCCATGCTTTTCAGAAATCTTAATTAGGTAATATGGCAAACAGAGAGGTGGTAGAAGCTATGGTTGATGTTCATGTCCTGGACTCTTTGTTTAATTACTGTCTCAAGATAAAATCTGGGAGCAGAATTCAGTTATACTGTACAAAATGATATTTTGAGAATGTCATAACTTAGATGTTTCTCATCTTGTTTGCAAGCTGTTGAAATCCCTTGAATCAAATTGCATTCTATAACTAGCATCCATTACAGCTTATTTATGTATTTTATTTTTATTTATTAATTTGTATAGCCTTCCATTTCACATAAATCAACTCTGGCTGGCATACAATAATAATATAAAAGAACAAATGAAAAAATATAAAATCCACATTAAGAGATAAATGTAAAAAGGAATATATAACCCCTAGGCAAAGAGTGGGTAATGCTTTGGCAATGGAGCCATCTAAGCATGTCTCCCGTGCCCAGGCCTGATAAATATAATCAGGTCTTTAGGGATTTCCAGAATGACAAAAGGGATGGAGCTACAACAGTCCAGCAGCAAGTCTTTTGTTCCTGTTATGTCTCTTCTGCCCCGCCTAGGCACTTGGCACACTGAGATGCTAGTGCCTGGAATCAAGTTTGGAGGAAGGTGTTTGTCTTTAGAGAGCTGTCCCTGGAATATCATACACCTGTTATTTTTTATATATATATGTAAAGATTATTTGTTTTGGGGAGTTCCTGGACAGGATACGCTTTCTATTGCTATTACCAAATATGTCCAGTCACAGGTTTCCCCAAAAAAGAAAAAGTTATCTGACCAAAAGAACCAATTTCCCACACCCCAGCCAGCCACTCTTCAAAACAAACTTTAATGCTACCTTTCCCGAAAGCTTATCCTGTCCAGGAATCCTCAAAACAAAAGATCTTTAAAGAAAAAGGAAGGGAACCAGAGTATTGGGTATTCCATGTGCAGCTTCTTCCAAACTTGAAGCTTGGGGCACAAGCATTTTAGAGGCTGCCTCCCTGTTTGCCTTCTTTTTTATTTTTCCCCTTCATTATTTTTGTCCAAGCTTTGGAAAGTGAAGAGATTCAGAAAAGCTCCCATCCATCTGTTCTCAGGTCTTGGAATGTTAGGTTTGCTGGGGTTTGAGCCTTTGGGACATGCTATTCATTGCTGGTGTGCTGCTCCTAAGAGGGGAAGAGAAGAGAGAGTGCAAAAAGAGGGAGATGGGGAGGCAGATCTGCATGCTGGGTGCCTGGTCAGGTTTGGAAAGGAGATGACAGGAACAGGAGCCACAGCTCAGCTGAGTGTGAATACACAAATGGGGGAGGAGGCAAAAACAGGAAGAGAATGGGCATCTGTAGCTGATAAAGCTTCTGGATACTCTTCAAGGACAGCTTCATGTAGACCATGCTGCAGTAATCCAGTATGGAGGTGATCAGTGCATGAGTGACTGTAAGCAGAGCCTGCCAATGCAGGTGCATAATTGGTGCATAAGATGAAGCTGTGCAAAAGTCCTCCCAGCCACAGTTTCATTGAGCAGGAGTTGTGAATCTAGGGGGAATCCCAGATTCTTCACAAAGACCCACTATGAAATGTCTACGGCCTTTTTATTTCAAAATCCTTAAAACAATTTTTATGTTTCTTAACTTTTAGTTGTATAAAGGTAGAATTAATGCTACCAGCCATGTAATTCAACATCCAATGTATGGGGCAGGACATAAGTTCCGTACTCTTCTCTTGCCAGTCTCAACAACCCTGGCAGAGGTTCTTGATCGTGTATCAGGTAAGTTGCTTTTATTAAATATGTATTTTTTATTCTAGTTTATGGAAAGTGTTTGGGTGGGGGGAGGGAGAGGGAGAGAGAAAGAGAAAAGCCTTTCATTGATGGATTTATACATAAAGTAAATATTATTTTATTTCATATATAAATTTATTGCTCAATACAGAATTTTCCATGGTGGAATGTATAATAAAAAGGTGTATTTGCTGTATATTAGAGTTGAAGAGTATGTCTGTATTATTCTATAATAGTCTTTATTTTAGCAGTCTTACAGCAGTTTCATTAAAGTGACTTAACATTTAAGAACCAGATACTGCTCAAAACTGTCATATTTAGAAAGATGGTATAAATAGAGAAAAATATTTCACCAATAAATTACTACTAATTTAGAAGGCAGTATAGCAACATGGGACCTCTTGGTTTGAATTACGGCACCCATTATTCATAGTTACAAGACAGAGGTCAGGTTTGCACAGAACAAATTTGACTGGCTTTAGAATATACAATAATGTAATGAATATATTCAAGTTGCACCAATTCCACCTTATTTTCTTCATGTTTATCACTGATATCAATGCTGAATGAATCTTGTACATGTGTGCATATTAGTGCTGTGCAAGACATGCAAAAGAAGTACTTCACAATGCACACACCACACAAACACACCACCTCTCTTTGACTAGTATATCTTTTGCAGGTTTATGTGACTATGTTGAAAGCTGTTCTTGGCCTTCTCTGCATGCATGTCCACATACAGCCACTTCATTCTGTTGCAAAGCATCTCTTTCAAATACTTTCTTCAGCCCTAGTATGTGTATGTGTACACCTTTAGATACATAAATAATTAAATAGTAATGCTTTCTACATAATATAATATTTTGTTTCCAGATACTCCTAGCATAACAGCAAAATTAATTAGTGAACAAAAAGAAGACAAGGAAAAAAAGAATTACGAAGAAAAAGAGAAAGTTAAAGCAGACAGTGGGTTTCAGGACAATTACAGTGTTGTTGTTGCATCTGGTATGTCTAATTTTATGTCAAGTTATCATACCTGATTGGGATAGTATGAGGAACAGTAAGCTAACTTTAATATTAAATTTAAAGCAGTGTCAGCCATTTTGATGCTTTGCATTCATTGACCAGAAGATTGGAGCATGGTAATTTACAACTTACTGAATTAAAGTTATGCCATGTGTTCAAGCAAAGATGAATGAGGCACTCGGTGTAGTATTAGAGAAAGGGAATCCCAAACATTTTTCATTATCACTAGAGTCTATAACTCTCTCCTGCCTTCCAGAAGAAATACCAGAAAAGACCAAAAAAAATCTGAATGGAGATAGGCTGAGAAGAGGGATAACAAAACTAAATGAAGATGGGGCATGGGATATTAATAATTGGATATGGAAGAAAAATACAGTTTGCCCTTTACTTATGTAGGCTGAATTCAATGAGGTTAGACATAAGGAAAAGCTGAGAGTGATGACTCTACAAAAATGTATGTAAAATCCTGGGATAGAAGATGCTTTGCAGTGAAGCATGGTGAGGCAGAAGTTGCTTCTACCTTGCAACAGAATCTGCTGTGTTATGAGGATATAACATGATGCCTCTGTCTATTCAAAAGTACTTATGTAGGATATTGTCTCTTACAAATTCACTGGTGCTTATATGTTTGGCAACCCTTTTGAATTTTCAATGTTTCTGCTCAAATACACACCTTGTTTTTTGGGGTGATCTTGGTTGGCCAACCACTCCTGGGGAGGGTAGTAATGGTGCAAAATTGTCTCCAATTGTACACAATCTGCCTGACATTGGACTGGTGGAGTCCAAACTCTTTGGCAATAGTTTTATAACCATTTCCAGCCTTTTCCATCAACATCTGTTTTTCAGAGATCCTCAGATATCTCCTTTGTTCAGGCCATGACATACTCCCATGTACCTGTGTTGTGAAGGATAGCTTTAATAGTGAACACCCAGGCATCTGTTCTTTAAATAAGGCAGGCTCTCACACACTCACATTTGATTATCATCCAATTGATTGAATTTTCCCTTGCTATCTTGTTAGAGGTTCACATACTTTTGCCAAACATAAATATATAGCCTTGGATCATTATCCTGAATAAATAAAGAAATAAGTATAATGTGTTTTGTTGAATTGAGCTCTCTTTATCTAGTTTTATTACTTGTATGGAGAACAGATCCTGTTTTGGTTATATTTATGCAGAGACATTGAAAATTTTAAAAAGCTTCACTAACTTTTAAGCATCGGTGTAAATACTGTTCAGTTGCATTGCAAACGATATAAAATGTAACACTTCATTTTCATTACAGGTTTGAAATCTCAGTCAAAAAGGGCTGTATCGTCCACACCACCTCGTCCACCTTCAAGACGAGGGAGAGTGGTGACAGATAAAGTAGGCAGCTCCTCCACAGGAAATGATTCTTCCAGCAAAACTATTAGTGTTCCTGTTTTTCACCTATATCATAAGCTGCTACCAGGTAGTTTTCTGCTGCTTCTTTTTTAATTAGACCATGTTTTCCAAGAATGCTAAAGTACATAACATGAGGTTGAAGACTTAACAAGAATCTGCACATTTCCTCAGAATCACTATAAAGAAACCTTGATTTGAAATCAGAAGTTTTCTAATTATATGAAATAGTCCTACGGAACATTGTATCTATAAGGCCTGCAACCTTAGCATTATAAATATATCTAGTGTTCATGGATAAACTTACAGTTGAATCAGTTATTTGATTCAACATATGATATAATGTAGTAATCTGTTTGGGTAAATATGTCTTGATCAGATTTTGTTAAACAAGTATTGTAATAACATTTAAGTATTTATCCAGACTAATATTGTATGTGTAGTTTTATAAAGGAAGTCCTTGACTTATAACCATTCTTTTAGTAATCGTTCAGTTATGATGGCGCTGAAAAAAGTGACTTACAACCAATCCTCTCACTTACAACTGTCACAGTATCCTTGTGGTTGACATGATCAAAATTCATCCTTGGCAACTAGCATGTATTTGCAGTGCCCCAGGGTCATGTGATTTCCATTTGCAACATTCATAGGGGACCTCTGACAAAGTCAGAAGAAGAAGCTGGGTTCACTTAATGACCTTGGCAAAAAAGGTCATAAAATTGGGTGTGACTCATTTAATGACCACATGGGTTAGCAATGGAAATTTGAGTCCCAATTGTCGTTATAAATCAAGGATTAACTGTAACAGAGATTTTTTTTCAATATTACTGGAAAATCTGAGAAAGAAAGCTTCACCGCGCTTAAGGATGTGCTCTAACTATAGGAACTGATTGCCTAGAAAATGAAAAAAACAGAAGCTGCTTATTCATTATGTTAATGATAATTGCTTATTTAAGTTATGGTTTGAATTTATCAATTAAATACCGATTTAGAGCTTCTTGTAACTTCATGTGATTTAGGTCAGCCGCTGCCACCTGAGATGACCCTTGCCCAGCTTTTGACTCTGTTGTATGACCGCAAACTTCCTCAAGGATACCGATCTATAGACTTGGCAGTTAAGCTTGGCTCGAAAGTCATCTCAGACCCTAGCCTTTCAAAAACAGATTCATTCAAGCGCTTACATACTGAAAAAGGTATGCTTAGAATTGGCTTTATATGGGCATTGTTTGTTTTGTTCTGGTTGTTTGAACGGTACATAAATGTGGAAAATTACATAAACTTATTGAAAATTATACACAGTATATTTGTATGTGTGTGTGTGAAATATGTATATATATATATATATATATACTCACACACAGTATATAACATCCGCTGAAGATGTTACCTAGCCTGGTAATGAAACGTTTGGAAACCAACCCACAAGCTTGGAGAATGAACCTCCACTCTCAGTATTATTGTGTGTGTTTGTTTGTTTGTGTGTGTGTATGTGTGTAAATATAGATATAGAGAGAGATTTGTACATAATGTGGAAAAATAGTTGACTTTCTATTGAAAATAGAGAGAGGGAGAAAGATTTGCCTTGTGGATTGTTTAAAACACCAGAATTAATAGAGGAAAACAGAAACAAAACTTTTGTTCTGTTTATATAACTTGTTAAATCATAATGCAGATTTCAAGATAGTTATCTAACACAATTTCATATTGCTGTTTACTGCTGCAAAGCAAACTAAACTCAGAATAAAACTTGGCCCTTTCAAATTTCAGGTGTTGCATATGGTTTATGTCTTGTGATTGTAAATTTTTGTGCCACTGTTACTTTAGACTGGATGGGGTAATAAAGGGGAGGGAGGTAAAATCCAAGGGCTAAGCAACATTTGCAAAGTATATGGTCAGAGCTGAAGAAGATACAGTTTTCTTGCAACTGTAGATATGTTTGCCAGGCAGATAAGTTATTACAAGATTGAATGTTTTTACTATGGGGGAAAAGTTCTTGTGAATTAATTATTTGAATGTCTTGTGTCCTGCTTTTTTAATTTTTAAGAATTTCAAATAATTTGTTCTGCGCTTGTCATAATGATAAAAACAGCTGGCTTCATGTGTGGACAACAACTTTGAATTTAAAATGGGGTATTTCAAGTTCAAGACAGTACACATTCAATGCATTTTGCTCAACCCTAGAAAAGGTTTTGAGTTTTGTTGTTGTTTTTGCTTGGATCAGGTATGGGGGAAAGCTTGAACAAGACAGCTCCATTTTAAAAGCTGAGTCTATTCCAGTGGCGGAAAACCTGAAGCATTTTCAGTGTTGAAGCCACAGAAAACAAAAATTGGAATGAATTTCTTACTGACCTAATTTAATTCCAAGAATAAGTGAAATGGCTATGTTGTTTCCTAGAAGCCGACCTATATAAAAATTGTCAAAAGTAATAATTATTCACCTTATTTTTTAATAGGGATTTTAAAAATTCTGTTTCAAAATACTATTTCAGGCATGAAACACGTCTAAAATGACTGATCACAAAACTATTCCAGTTCAAATCAGTTCAATTTTATTAACATTTTATACATTATTCTTGTCCCATTTTGTGCATATATCATACTTCATGCCTAGCAAAAAAAAATTATCCAGAACATTATGACAATTCTTATTATTTTAGTAAAATAGAGTGACTTTAAAAATAATTGATGATGATAATGATTCTGTGTACAGAATTAGAATACTTAAAGTACTTTTAGTATTTTTATCTTGCCTCAGAAGTATAGAATTTTAGAATCTCCTCCGTGCTTTTTTCATCATTTTTGACAAACTAGTTTCTAATTTTGCCTAATTCTGTAGAGATATACAAGTGTTCTATTTGTCCAAACATATTTCTCCTATTTAATGTATACTATAGCTAAAAGGTAGTGTGCTAGGCTGTGTAAGTCTATAATCTCTCCAAATAAATGTTATTTAATACTATTTTTATAAGTTTGGTTATTTTTATGTATTATGTTGTGCACAAATAGAGCATGCAGATTTATTGGGACCTTGCCCTGAAGATGAAGCAGTCACTCCAGTTGAAGAATGCATGGATACAGTGCTGGATGAATCTTTTCTTGATGCATGCCCTCTCCAGTCCCCATTGCAAGTTTTTGCTGGAATGGGTGGGTTGGCCCTCATTGCAGAAAGACTTCCTATGCTTTACCCAGATGTCATTCAACAAGTAAGTCAAAAGATATGTGTGTAATTGACCTAATTAAAAGTTTAAAATCTATGAGAAGAATGAAACAGATGGATGGGCTTAATGGTGGCTAAGGTACTAAAATGTGTTCATTGTTGTTTCTATCTTGTCATTTAATAAACATTGGAATCAATATTCCAGTTAAGAATTATTACATATAATTGTAAACCTCTGTGTACCCTGCTTAAAAAAAATCTAGTGAATTTTACTTGTATAGAGATGGATTAATATAATGATTAACAGTACTGGAATTATTCAGGGCTTGCTGGTACAGAATCTGAGAATGTTCTAAAGCACTTTGTCTCAGTTTTATTTGTTCATATTGTAGAAATGAGAAATGTTGCTATTGATACATTCCATGATTTCAAACTCATATTTATCCCAGGTATATTGGAAAATATCTCTTAACTTTGAATTAATGTAAAATAAGAAATTCAATATTGAAAACTGCCTCCAGATCTCTTAATGTCTATTTTTGTAGGGAAAGGCACAGAGGCTCTTGCATCCTCTTACTAAACTTTATCTGGATTTCCAAATAACTTCTTCCACCACAATGAGATATTTATTCCCCTGTTTTCTCATTTATATATTTAAAAATCAGAAAAATGAAACTTCACCCTAGAACATAACTTATCGTACATACACTGATAACTTAACATACGTATGTTGGGTTTATTTTTCAAAAATAACTGGTTTTACTAGTTTGTCTGAAATGGTGTAGGATTTCCTGCCTACGTAGGGGACTAGAAGACCTCCGAGGTCCCTTCCAAATCTGTTATTCTATTCTATTCTATTCTATTCTATTCTATTCTATTCTATTCTATTCTATTCTACTCTACTCTACTCTACTCTACTCTACTCTACTCTACTCTACTCTACTCTACTCCACTCCACTCCACTCCACTCCACTCCACTCCACTCCACTCCACTCCACTCCACTCCACTCTCTTCTATTCTAGTAAGCATTAATGGAAAGATTCCAATCAATTTACGTAGATGAAAATTTCACAACATAGTATTGAAGAAAGTTTAAAAATTCAAATGTTATACACTTAAGTAGTCCTGTATCCTCAGAATCATGAGTCAAATTTGTATTTGGTTGAAAATTATTGTCTAAAATAATTCATCCCCATGTACTCAGTAAAACAACATCTTGACTCCTTGCATATTTTTTTATTGTGAATGAAGTGGGCACATTTGCACATTTCAAGTTACAAAAGGAATTGTTTTCCACTAGTGTTATGGGGATACTTTTCTACTGAAAGTGTAGGTTTAACAGAAATAAGATCAGCCTTCCATTTGAAAAAGGAATACAGCTAGTCCTCAACTTATGATCACAATGGAGCCCAAAATTGTGGTCATAAGTTGAGGCACCACATGACCAGACTCAATTTTACAATCGTTTTTACAATGGTCATAAAGTGAGTCACTATGGTCATAAGACAAACACAATCATTAAGTGAATCACATCATTAAACAAATTATTCTTTCAAATGAGCATTTTTTGACAAATCAAAAAAAATCCCAACTCACAGTTATGTGACTGGGATGCCGCAGCTGGTTTTAAATGCAAACCTATTGCCAAGTGCCCAAAATGCAATCACATGGGGGGACAGCAGTCATAAGTTCAAGGAACGGTCATAGATACCTTTTTTAAAAGTCTGTTGTAACTTCAAACAATTGTTAATTATTGTAAGTCAAAGACTACTTGTATAAGGCCCTTCTTTTTTCAGTAGTGTCTTATTACAGGAGAACTAAAGTTAGAGACATGCATGTATACAGTCATATATCTGTACACTAACTATGTAAGTAAAACTATTAGGTACAGCTTGCACTTTGCAAATATATAACCCCTTTTATATAACTGATTGAATGGAGAATTCTGATTTTACATGTTGTTCTTGGTAATTCTCTCAGGTTTTTAAAGTCATGGCCCTTTTCACAGGAAAAATGGTTCTGAATTCCTTCTTTCTACTTTTCAGTATGTAGGGTTCCAGATCTTTAGTAAACATCATAAAGCTAGGACTGTATTTCATAAAATGTTAATTATGTGACCATAATTTTTAAAATATTTATTTGGCGCAATTTGATATATCATAGGACTTTCTCAAGCAAAACAGCTTTTTTTCCCTGTGGAACAGAGCAAACTAGAAATGATTAAGATAATAGCCCTCAGGGACCCATCAGGTGTACTACCAAATTTAGGTAGCTTTTTTTTAAAAAAAAATCTAAAAATGTTTTTTAGTCCTTTTTAAAAATTATCCTCCTAGGTGAAAAAAATAACAGCAATGTGCAGTGTCAGGTATTGTCCACAAAGATAAGTTTAAAACATACATAAATAAAATGTAGCTTTGGCCAGAAAAAAAAAAAAAGTAGTTATTGACCCCTTGTATTAAACAGGCCAGGCGATTTTATGGAGGCCGTGGACATATTTGGATATATGAGGTGGTGATAAGGGTGTTTTCTGTGAATGGTTGCCATAAAAATGCTTTTGTAATTCATAAAATTGTCATAGTGTATGTTGCTATTCATAAAATATGAGTTTACCTGGTGAGATTCACTACATCATCCTTGTATTTTTCAAGATAATCTTTACCACCCCAGCTATTTTTTTCTATATTTCTAAATAGGTAAAAGTTCCAATCATATTTTGTTTTACATTTTAAAATCCCATTAAAAATGTTATTATTTAATATAAATAACTCGAGGCAAGAAATTTAGATAATGTTCCTTCCTCCACAACAGCAAGCTTGTGAGATGGGTTGGGCTGAAGAGAGTGACCAGCCCAAAGTTACCTAACCGGCTTTTATGTCTAAGGCAGGACAAGAATTTAGTCTCCTGGTTTTGAAGGCAACACCTTTACCACTATACCAGATTGGCTCTCTATTTTTCCCCCCTCTATTTTCTAAATATATCTATGGAACTAATTATGTCTTGAGGCCAAGAGGCATTCCTGTTGTAAATAAAGGTGATATGGAAAGTTTTGCAGCATGCCAGCTTCTCATTAAGTTTTCTTAAGCTTCTAAATTAAACTTATTAGGTACATTAAACAAAAAGCAGAGTCTGGTGAGTGTCAAAGGTGGTTTCTATGGATATTGCGCTGTCTGTCCCCATTATGTGATAAAAAAGAAGTATTTAGAAAATACTGTGTTGAGTTGTCTCAAAATCGCAACAGTGGAAGTAATAATAGAAAATTCCTACTGGTATATTTACTTCCTCTTATATGATAAAAATATAAATGTTTTATTTGAATATATGGCTTAGTTTTTAAAATATGTGGCAGATATTTTCATAGAAACTTTCAAAAATACTTACATATTAAGTAAATCTTGATTGTCAATTTAATTTTCAGTTATTGTTATTCAGTTGTCAAGAATGTTGTAAATCAATCAAGGAATTATTTACCGATACGGTTTCCACCTTAAACATATTATTTAATTGTCAATCTTAGAGGATAGTATTAAGCATCTTCTTTTCTTTCTGAAGGTGAGTGCTCCAGTGGTTACATCCACCACCCAGGAGAAGCAGAAGGACAGTGATCAGTTTGAATGGGTTACCATTGAACAATCAGGAGAACTGGTTTATGAAGCCCCAGAAACAATTGCAGCAGAACCACCACCAATCAAATCAACAGTCCAAACTATGTCTCCCATACCTGCTCATTCTTTGGCTGCTTTTGGATTATTTCTTCGCCTCCCAGGCTATGCTGAGGTGCTACTTAAAGAAAGGAAACATGCCCAGTGTCTGCTTAGATTGGTGCTAGGAGTTACAGATGATGGTGAAGGAAGTATGTACTGTAACTACTAAGTATATTTGGGGACTACTGCTAAACAATTATTCTGAATGTGCAATTAGACAAGTATTTGAAACAGATAAAACTGGCTTTTCCGTGGAATTTCGGATTTTTTCTGGCTTTGGAAGCAAAACATGTGACATTGAAAACTTGTCCTTAAAAACATATATCTTCATTCTTTCTTCATTGCACAGGGTAAAAATTGTTCCAAGCTAAAACAATTAATTTCCTTTCGAAAACAATGAATTATTATTGTTTCCAGGGCTTCTCATGGATTTTTGAATAATAGCAGTAACTGACATCCTCAGTATCATTGGCTTTGTCCTGTCTTTTTGTATTAAATAAGGACATTAGTAGCCTTGCAGAAATTAAATATCTACACATTGGCCTCATTTTTTTATCTGAATTACTTTTTCTTGTTTGAACTTATTAAAATTATTTTTTTCTTAGCTGAACCAGGTTTAAACAGTCTTTCACATAATTAATAAGTCAAATTAAACTTAACTGGCACCTTGATCTGCTTTTGCTTCCTAGGTTTGTGTTGCAGCTTTCTTACATTATGCACACAGTGGGAGACAGTGTGAGCCAAAGTTATCAGAAAGTTGCTGTGTGGATATTCTCTCTGTTGGTGTGCAGTTGGTATTGCCTATAATACTTGATTATAGACAAAACATTTCCCACTTCTTGACCACTGTCATTCTGCTTGTTATTAATGTCTTATTTTTTACATATTATGAGAAATTATTGTTTGATGGAATTCAAAACAATATAAGATTTCTCCAGTTTGGTATTAGTTAATAATCTTCTTCCTTGAGTGACCGGATGTATGATTATGTTTGTGGTACAATACTTCCTTTGCTGCAAAGATCAATATTTCTATGACTTGGAGATTTGAGTTTTGAGAGGCCCATGTGTAAAAAATACAGGAAAAACAGTTGAATTTTATAAACAATTATTTTATTTATTAATTTAAAGAGCAAAAAATTGATTTGTCATGCCTATTAAGTATCCTAATTTTGTCTGAGAATTTTTTATTAAAATCTTTTGTTATATCACTTATATTTTAATAAAAAAATTCTCAGGTAAAATTAGGATACTTAATAGGCATGACGAATCAATTTTTTTGCTCTTTAATTAATAGGTTGTGCATCTGTGTAGAAACGCAACCATATCTTGTATATCTGAGATATTTTTTGGTCAGAAAACTACCCCATTTTATGTGACTAGAGCTCTTACTTTTTCCTCAGTTGTTTTTCCATTGCTGCAGCAATCAGACTGGGAGTATCCCCCATTTAGTGTTGAGGTTTTCTTTTTCAAAGTCATTTTGCTTTTCTTTCATATTTTCTGTTCCTTCTCTATTCAATTATTTTATCTAGGAAGGAAGATTACCTATTTGTAGGTAAGCAAAATTGTCATGTTGCCTTTCCCATCATGGCATAGATACAAAACACAGCAGTAAATCTGTATTTTGTACCTACACCATGGTCAGTGACATTTCCTTTTTTTTGCCTTTTCTGAGGATCAGATTATGGGTGTCTTTATCCACTGTCACAAAATATACTCAGAAACTTCTGCTCTGGAATAGGGTGCTTTTATCAAACAAAACATTACATGCTTTGAACATCTTAGGTGGTTTACACAGCTGATTGCTCTGATATCCAGCAGCAAGAAATCATCTGCTGAGCTATCCCAGATCACACAATTAATTCCCCCCCCACTACTAAAAGAAAGAAATCAAGATTTCCTCCCAAACAGAAACTTCACTCCATTTGTAGTCTTAATACTATTACCTACACCTCCATCATCACCACCCCACACAGAAGTGAATCACATCCCTTATTACTGCCAATGCCTAGGAATTCTGATGGATACTCTTCAGTTTCACTACTGTTGGTTGCATATTAGAAAGAAGTAGGGATGTGTCCTGCCCCTTGGCTCAAGGCAGCCTTAATGACAAAGAACACACTGTTAATACTATAACCCCAGTGTTATGGGTATCTGTTACAGACAATGATGATCAATCCCCAACCACTGATAGATGCTTTCTTTGGGAGAAGTAAGCTTTTTTTCCCGTGAACTTCTTGAAGATAAATGAGATCTAGCATCATGCTACGACTAAGACTATTCATCTCTCAAACCCATAAATAATTGTAGCTAAGTATAAAATGATAGTACTGCTACTTTGGTGTCAGGCACTGTAGCTTTGCGCAGGTGTGCTTGACTTTGTTTGATCCCAGAAAGCCCACAACTGACCTGAACACCTCCCTTTGATGGGAAAGGCCTTCTCAATCAATAGTTTCTCATACAAAATACAGTGTTGTTTTTTAAATTTGGTACTTTGATTCCGGCTTGTATGGAAGCTATTAGCCATATGTGATAGTTCAGATCTAATGGGAAGCTCTAGTTAACTATTATATCTTCAGTTGTTTTCTCATTTCTACAAAGGGAAAGTAACATAGCCACGTACAGCTGCTTGAAGCTTTAATAAGCATTTTTCAACTTGTTAAAAAGAGATTTGATAGTCTGATGCAACCAAAATGTTCTTATGGTATAAATCTTTTAACATATATTCAATGATTTCATAAAGTTACTCATATACAGAAATAAATCTTATATATTATTGTATGTGCAAAATTTATGTTCCCAAAGGAACAAGGCAACACTTTTGAATTTTTAATGTCATGGACGGTTTTGGGGAAGATCTATTTTATCTTCTTGTAAGAAATATTCTCATATAAAAAACATTCTAAAAATTTGGCCTATATTCTAGACAATAGTCCCATGCAAAGAGTATAATACTCATGATGACCTGGGATGTGTGAAAAACATTAATTGGTTTAGTAACTGAAGAAGAGCCATGTTTTGTTACTTACCATACAGCAAATAATTTAATGAATGCACTTTCCTTTCCTGCTGCGGCATTTTCAAGCATATTAACACTATATTCTAGATACACTTCATAATGGAAAGACGATGTATCTGTTTTCCATTGCTTTCCACAAGTCCTGCAGTCAGTAACGCTTAAATGTATAATAAAACAAAAGCAGTATTTTAGACGCCTAATAAAATATTTGGTATGTATTTGAAGATTAATGCATAATGCTAAGCCATTGTGATTGAAATGTTTTATTTCTTTCTTTTCTTTAGGTCACATTCTCCAGTCTCCTTCAGCTAATGTTCTTCCAACTCTTCCATTTCACGTACTGCGCAGCTTATTTAGCACTACGCCTTTGACTACTGATGATGGAGTACTTCTGAGGAGAATGGCCCTGGAAATTGGCGCAGTTCACCTTATTCTTGCTTGTTTGTCTGCTCTTAGCCACCACGCTCCAAGAGTTCCCAATTCTGGTTCCAACCAAACAGAGGTGTGTTTGACTCAGTGGTGAAATGTAAAATTTGTTACTACTGGTTCTGTGGGCATGGCTTGGGGGGGGTAATGTGACTAAGTGGGCGTGGCCAACTTTTATTATTATTATTATTACTTTTAAAAGCATTTTTTTGTCTGAAGAGGTTGTAAAAAAAATGCTTTTAAAAATTAAAAAAAAGCCTCTGATCACGTGGCTCAGCTGGACATGGGGGGGGGGCAGGGATTTTTGCTACCAGTTCTCCAAACCACCCACCGCCATCGCTATCGGATCAGGCAATCCGGTCCAAACCGGGAGCATTTCACCCCTGGTTTGACTCCAGAATAATGATCTCAGAATTCTCATCTCCTAATTATAAAGATGTTGGAGGGGTTTTTTTAAATAATCCAACTTTATGTCTTTTATTATCAATATCTATGAAGATTTTGGCAATAGTATTCTGTGCATGGTTGACTGCCCAAATAATTGCTTCCAGATAATGCTTATTCTAAATTTTATAAAAAGGGAAATTGGAATGTTAATGTTTCTGTTTTAATTTTGGGTAGCTCAAATAATGCTTTCAAAGGTTTTAATTTTACAGCTCTTTTTGGAACACAAGGATCTCAATTTTCTAACCTATTTAAACATATAAGGCTACCCCTATGGATTTCAGAGCATTGCTAGTCATTTAAAATAATATTTGTTTTGCTTAATGATCCAGAAGAGTAGCATGATATTGAAAAGATGGTACAGTAATCAATTTCCACAGTAGTGTGCTTGCTAGAGGATTGTTTTTCAAGATTATTTTACAAAATGAAGCTGTCAACATGAAGCTTTCTCAGCAGGTTCTTTGAGAACAAGTCTTAATTAATTCATTGTTAGTGAATACAGTGTTTTTATCTGCAATGTCCTGAAGTATCTATCCCAAATTCCTTCAGTCTTTCTAATAGCAGTTCTTTGTTTATTATAAAGGCATTATTATGTCCAGTTTTTGTAATCAAAGCTTACATAAGCATTATGTGCTTTTTGGAAGTTCAGTGGCCTGGAACTTGGTGGAAAGATGTCAACTTTGTCTGAGTTCCAGAAAAAATTGCCAGTTCATATAAGGAGTCCCTCCCCCCCTCCAAAAAAAACCCTGACTGATAATATTTCCTAGCTTCACATAGCCTTTCATGTTGTGATTTTTCCCTATTTGTGAGGTGCAGACCCAATTAGTACATACAGATATTGATGGTAATGTAAAACATTATGGAAACTGTCCAGTTTTGCTTTTAAATCAATATAATTGCTTCAAAGACACATGATAATATAACTTTGTACACACAAAGTATTTTGTGATGTAGAACAGAATGTTTGCTACTTAGGTGATAAGTTGTGATTATCAATTTATTCTCAAAACTGAAAGCTATTGATAAAGAATATTCATGAACATAATAGTCATTCAGATCAACCTTCCAGGGAATTTGTATTTTTCCAATTAATACCACAAATGATTTAAGTAGTTATTTAACGTAACACAATAAATAATCTGAATTTATGGATGGATGGATGAATGGGTAAATTAGCTTTCTGAATCATCAGATGAAAAAAAAAAAGTATTTTCTCAGAAACACAAGCCATTATACCTGGTTGACATTTCTATAAAAACCTGCACCCTCATTTTTGTTCAGCAGATAGGGAAGCAGATTTTTTTTAATCTAACTTTTGTTTACTGTCTGTGCTTGTCACTGTTAAGCAATAGAATCAGATCTGTCTTACTGATATACAGTATGTAAAGCATTTACATTCAGCAAAGTAGATAAATGATATCCTACAGTTCAGGTACAATGGATAAGCACTGTTTGTAAAGACCTGTTAGAATCTTTGCTGAGCAAGCTTTCAACATATCCCTTCTTATCCATAAGCCAGATACCAAAATAAGGAGGGCTTATTCAGTAGGGTTTTGTTGACTGTTTTGCTCTAGAATATGAATCTATGCAATTCCAAATGGCAGAATAATTTATTTTTAACTAGCCGCAGATGTCAAGCACACACAATAGTGCATCAACAGAAGAACAGCAACTTTACTGGGCTAAAGGCACTGGATTTGGAACTGGTTCTACTGCTTCAGGATGGGATGTGGAACAAGCTCTAACTAAACAAAGACTGGAAGAAGAGCATGTCACGTGTCTTTTACAGGTATTAGAACAATATATAATATTTATATACATTCACTTGACCAAAAAGTAAATCTTTCGTTTGGGAGTTACATTGAATTGCCCTTTTATTGGTATTGAGTACCATTTCTTCCATTATTGAAAACTTTCTGACATTAACATGTGGCATCTGGGATCTGTTTTGAGCAGAGAAGTATGAGGTTTAATTAAATCTGATGATTTCTATAGCGATATTTATATCAGGAGTGCCTACATTGTTCACTAAATGGGCGTTTGAAGTTGATGAAAAACGCTTATTAATTTTATTTTAAATATCTTATTTTTCTGTAGTAATGAAAAAGAGGTTTTAAAATAGTTTTCCTACATATTGTATATAGTAAGAAATACTATTATCTTGTAGTTCATATCTTTTATGTGGACATCTCAGTTAAATTCTTAATTTCTTTTTCTTAAATTTCAGGTTCTAGCTAGCTACATAAATCCTGCAGGCAGCATATCAAATGGAGATATCCAGTCCAGTCATGAAAGTAGAGGACAAAACAGCAGTGCCCTTCCATCAGTTTTGCTAGAGCTTCTTAGTCAATCATGTCTTATTCCAGCAATGTCATCTTACCTCCGCAATGATTCAGGTAGTGTATTGCTCTTTGTTTTTCAAAGCAGCTTGTTTTCCAATCCAATGTAGAAATGCTAGGGTTTTTATATATGCATCAAAACATATTATGAAATCATGAAATTCAAATGCATTGAAATTTCTGTAAAATATGTGAGAAACTAGCAGCTTGAAGATGAATATAATTACACTTCAAACCATGAGATGTATAATTTATCTTCTGTGTTTTGGAAGTTGTAGATTATACATATTCATTTCTTTATCACATGTTCTTATATAACAAAAATAACTCTTTTTTTGTTTTCAATTTCTGTAAATTGTGTATAATAGACATTTGTGAATGTAAAAGATGAATATTTAAAGCTTTTATAAAGTATGATCCTGTCTACAGCAGTGTGGCTTAGAGGTGTTTCATGATAACAATTATTTTTTCATCATGTCAATTCAGTATTAGCTGAAAGTGCACAAAGTTGAATCCAGTTCAGTACAGTTTGTCAAAAATCTAAAATTTATTTACTCAGTTGTAAAGTAGGATTCTATCTTTTGTGCTTACAAATCCTACAGTCTTTCTAAATCTCACTTGCACATTATGATTCATAGGGATGGCAGAAGTTCATAAAGGATATAGGTGGTCAAAAGAAGCAACTAACAACAGTAGTTGTCCAATCAATTCAACTTGCAAGAATCAGTTATAAAAGATTTTATGATTCGGTGAAATGATAAGGAATGATTCTAATAGGCAATGTAACCTGTTCAATACTGATTTTTGTAGTCTTTCTTATGCAGCTTAATTTTATTTAATTGCCTGCCCTGAGAAACTGAATGCCTTTTTGGCTTTGTCAAAAGATTCTCAAATGCCAGAAGTCTGATTCCTGTCACATTGGACTAAATTATACTGTCCATGGAAACTTTGTTTTGTTCAGTTAACTTTTTATAAAGTATAAGTAAGGTACCTGTGCATTAGGGAACAGGCATGATATTTGCCTGGTGTTAATGTTCAGAATGCATAGCATGCATTCCCTAGAAAAGTTTTGCGTTCTAATATGCTTTGAGGTTTACCTATAAGCATGTTCTTGTTACAAGAATCAGTTTTCCCCAAGCCTCAATTCAGAGCTTTTAAAAGGACATTGAGTTCACCAACTTTATCTCTTAATCACTTTCACTAGCAGTTGTTTGTAAGTTGCTTTTTGCATACTAAGAGCCTTCAGAAGGACACATTTTATTATACTGGGTAATTTTCCTTGAAATCTCAACTAAAGAAATTTCATGTAAGTTTAAGAATTTAAACGTTTTTTATTCGGAAATAAGCCCCAATGGGTGACTAGAATGATTACTTTTGAATGTTTTAAACAGATTAAGAAATCAGATTGATTCTGGATAAGATTTTGAAATAATTATAAGAATACTTCCGGTGGTTTGTTTAAAAATACATGAAGATTTTCAATTTAAGTGTAAGAGATCTTTCCCTGGGGAAAATGTTGTGGCTTAGAGAAAACAGAATAAGAGGCGACCTTGAATTTGGTTACTAGAGACTAGTAGAAAAAAACCCTAAAGATTATAATTAAAGGAAAAGATCCACTAATTCAGAATGGAGAAAGGAATTTTAACTCTGGAAGAATTCAAAGATAATTGGCAACAATCTACTCAGAACTTTCTTTAAGATTGTCTATTACAATAAAAATGGGTCCAAAAGAGGAGATAGAAGATAGAATTCAGAAATAGACTATTTTGAATATGAACTTAAAATTGACTAGATACAAGAATGTTACTGATTTTATACAAGGTTTACAAATTAAATCAGCTGATGTTTTAATAGCTAAAAGGGAGATACAATTAATAAAACAGAAGAGTATTTGGGATGTGTGGATTTCAACTCAGAAGTGGGTCATGGACAACTTTCTTTGAACAAAAGAGATGTGTTTTATTTATGAAGAAAGAAATTGGATTTTGAGATACTATTTGAAAGGAATAATTATGACTTTTAAAAGTAAAAGGAAGGTTTATAAAGTTGGCTGCATGACATTAAGTGAAGTCTCCCACTTTTGGAGGGTTTGTTTATGTTATACAGTATATTTTATTTATTTGTTTGCTTTGTTTTGTTTTGTTTTTAGACTGTTTTGAGGCTTTTAACTGTTGTTGTGTTGTTTGCCACCCAGAATCACATGTTTGTGAGATGAGGAGCTATATAAATATAAAAAATGTTTTACCTTTGAGACAGAAGCCATCAGGTCGTGATTTGCCAGGAGAATATGAAAGAATTCTGGTAAAACTGACATTCATGCGATAATTTGGGCAAGGTGCCTTCTGTTGGATTAGGAAAAGGAAAGGATGCTTCAAGAGTGGGCTAAAATAACACTTTTGGCAGTTTATAAGATTACTTCATAACAAGAAGTCTTTGGGGAGAAAAATCTATATGGGTTTTTTAATATGGCAAGAACAGCTATTGTAGGAGGGTTTCTTAATATCAGGCTTTGTGATTTATCACTTAGTAAAGCAGCAGTTGCAACAACATGCAAGCAAGGTGAAAGACATTTGCCATAGGATAACTTCCATAGGATAATAGGTTTTTGTGTGGCATCCATCCATTATACCAAGAAGTTCACTCTTTTTATAACTATATAATTTAAATAGGTTTTTGAAATCAGGTCTCTCCAAAGCAGAAATGGTAGAAAGCAATTGCTTAAGAGAAGTAAATTATCCGGAACAGAAATAAAGATTGAAGCATAAAAAGGCTTAGTCAAAGTGGAATACTTAGGGATCTGTTGATGATAGAAGTTAATGGTCCCTAGAAAAATTCTCAGAACTTTTTAATAGAGTTATGAAACATGTTACTGTACAAGTAATGACTGGGTTTTAAATTAGATTCCTAAATTAGGTATGTCAAGTAAAAAGCTCCTGAGAAGTAAAATTGCAGTTTTTTGCTGCATATTTTATACCCCTTCAATGTCATATGTGACAAGAATGCCTTCCAATGTGGTTTTCAAGAGCTACCACTAGCAGGTTGTTTTAGTTTTGCTTCTTCAGGAAGGATTAGTGTTTCTTCTAAACTCATTCCTGTTTGTTTGTTTATTACATTTATATAGCTGCCCATCTTTCAATTAACTCTGAGTGGCTCCTAATCAAAATAATGTTGCAAATATCCAAAATCCCTGGAGTAAACATGTCCAAGTGTACTTGATTCTCTGAGAGGTAAAAATAACAGGTACAAGTGGATTTTGATTAGTGTGGCTAATTAAGCCTTGCATTATTTGAAGTGATGTTTCTATAGAAAATGTGGCAATTGGTTCCAGCTCAATAGAAATACACAGTAAATTATTTAAACAATTTTTATATCTATATTAATGAAATATTATAGTACAGGGTAAAAATATAAATCTATGGTTAAGAAAGTCACAAGGATAATTTTAAAAAACAAAAAATATATAAATATTATTCTTAAAGGTAAACCTACCCTGACAAAAATATCTTAATAGCCTCTCAAAATATTTTAGCAGCATAAATTGAACTATTTTCCCTTTATTTAAATCTTTATAATATGCTGGTAGATGCAGAGTGCTCCAGCCACATCTCAGCGAATTTGCATGCTCCAATTGAGGTTAGGGTCAGCATCCATAATTAGCAGCATGTAAAACCCCAGCCATAACTGCTCATGTGCTAGCCTCAATTGTGCATGTGCTAGCCTGACAGTAACTGAATTTTGGGTTGCCTTAAACACAACCTGGCATCAATTTATAATTTGTACTAAATCAAATACCATAATACTTGAATTCACATTAATTGCAATCTATCCGAATCAAGAATCTGTTGATAAAGATACAACAAAGGAGACAGAACAAAGATTTATGTCAGTAAAATGTGGTTTGGCAGGGATAGTAACAAATGCTACAGTAGTATTTGGAACAATGGGAGGGAAAGGAATTGCATAGTGATTAATGGTTCTATAATCCCAAACAAAGTGACATAATTTTTTCTCCGTTTGTCCATCCTGCCATATTTTGGATTGGGGGAAAAGGGATCTTTACATAAGTGTACAAGCTAAGATTCCCTGGACAAGGTAGAAGTTTATTAAAGGTGCTAGCCCTCTTCTATTTGAAGAGATAGTTGATATTGCAAAATAGAAGAATTTTTCCACTGGAAAGCACTTTTATTTTTACCTACTTTGAAGAGACTCACTTCATGGGGAGTTGCTCACAGAGAAGAGTTAATATCAAAGTTATCTTCAGGTTGACCACTTCAGTGACCTCTGGTTTCCCCCTTTATAACAAGGAGAATCTTCAGCAAAGCATGTTCTGGTACATCCAGAGAGACCCCATCTGAACTACAGTTTACCTAATGAATGCCTAGCCCTAATAAGTTTATTAAAATATAAAAAGCAATATTAAATCTAAGTTATTCTAGTTCAGAAGTGGAATAAGAAGCATGTAGTCTCCCTGCTTCCATGTTCCATGCTCATGTTTCACTGAGGCAGAAAGGACAAGAAAAAGGTTTGCAGAACCCAGTAAGTTGCACCTGAATGTATTAACAAAGTATTCAATCCTAAGAAAGGTGGACCAGACTGATCAAAAGTAGAAAGAGGGCCTTGGCTGTGCAAAAAAGCAGGATTAAAGTTTTCCTTTAGAGTTTCAAATTATAAAGGGTGAGACAAAATATTAGTACTCTGTTTCCCCCAAAATAAGACATCCCCTGATAATAAGCCCAACCGGGCTTTTGAGCTCATGGCAATAAGGCCAAGCGTTTATTTCAGGGTTCAAAAAAATATAAAACAGGGTCTTATTTTCAGGGAAACATGGTAATTTGGAAATGAGTTGGTATAGGAATGTAAAATTGATGGCTTATGAGTATTGTCTCTGCATTCCAGACATTAAGATTTCTATCTGTGTTTTTTACAATAAAAGTGGACAGTATATGGAATTTCATCCTGTGGTTGACCATTCCATTTTCTGTTAGTAGGAGAGAATTTGGTTTTAAGTTGTTAAATCTGTAAAGCTAACAAGTGGTCAGTTTGCATATGTTGTATTG